TAAATAATAATAATGAAAATCGGTAGTCCTGTCTCGTTAAAAGTCCGATTTTCACTCACCAACTTGCGACGCTTGGATTGAAATGTTGCCATTTCAAAATCAAGAAGATGTGCTTACTCATATTATAGCTTTCAATGTTTGTACCTCAGTAACATAGCTAGATATAACAGCTGCTATAGAAATTATCAGGGTTGCCGACTACGACTACGACCAATCTCAAGTAAATTCACGACCAACAATCTATGGGACTTGAGAGTTCCAGCTGGTTCTATCAGTTCCCATAATCAGGATTCCGCATTCCGAGATGGGCCGTTAGGTTTTCCTATAGTTCTAATCAGCTGGAGAAATGTTCAGGAGAAAAGGTTTCAGCCAGTGGCTCAACGAGATGAGTGGGGGCCGTGTACTTATGTGTTATGTGGGTTCGGGTCCCTCCCCCAGGAATTTTTCAAAAAAATATAATGCTGCATTCTACAGAATTCTGAGACCTCCCTGTAAGTTAATTTTATGCTTGTTAATTTATTCATTAGTCGTCAATCGTAAATTTGTGCACAGCCTTTTACGGAAATAAAGTATTCTTTTTCAGATCTTTTCTCACCCAATTCGGACAAACCGCAAGGTTTATTTTAGATGTTTTTTTTCTAAATGTCAGCTCTGTAGCCTTGTAGCTTTTCAAGATAAAAATTTATTTGGATGTAAGCACTTTTCGTGCAGTCGTCCCTTGTCACAAAAAATATATATTTTTTTGCTCTAATTCCTTTTAATTAGGTTTTAAGTGCAGGAAATAACATGGACCAAATCGGTTTATTTCCGTGACATAAATGGTGTAAGGAGAAACTGATGGTATGTGTGTTTCCAAGTCGCTGTCTAAGTAGTAGGTCTATATGGCCAATAAAGAAGAAAATCGACCTTATTTGCTACCATATGGCAGATGGTTCTGTTTCTTTTCAAATGTTAAAATGGTAAATGTGGATATTCCATACAAGTTTCTACTTTGTAGCTTTGTAACTTTTGAAGATTTATTTTATATAATCACTTTTGGTGCAGTAGTCCCTTTGAACTAAAAGTTTCCATTTCTTTCTCTAATTGTTTTTAAGTGGGTTTTAAGTTTTTCCAAGTCACTAGGGACTAATTAGTAGGAAAAGACCCAACGCTTGGACTTATTTGGGATTTTTAGCAAATGTGTTTTTTCAAGTCCCTGTATTTCAGCTCAAACCACAAAACCAATTGAAAAAACGGAATGACACTTTAAGCATAATTAAGTGTTTTACTAGACTTATAGTCCTTCTCCATGTAGGCTACAACATAAGTGTGTGAATGCACTTTCTGATTACATAAACCCCTATGTGTCATTTTCCTCATTGCACAATTCATGATATCATTTTCCCAATAAAAACTCCATGTCAGCCTAATTTTCAATAAAAATCTGAATATTGAAGATTTCTTTAGTATTACAATTAGCAGTTGTACAAGCTTGGCTAAATTATATATAATAATAGAAAATACAAAATAATAACAAAACACAGTACAATTAAAAACAGTACAGACATATATAATACATGTACACTAGCTCATTACAATTTTTTTTAAGTCAGTCAGTTACAAAGCTCTGAAATAGAAACATTTTCATTTGAGAAAAGATATTTGTGTACATCCAGGTAAGAGTCAAAACTGATTTTGTAAACATTCTTGATTTGCAAAAATATCACAGTTCAACCTTAGTGATAATGAATTATTTTCTTCAAATGCTCAAAAAATAAAACAATGAATCCTTATACCTTCAGAAGTTATGGTGAAAATATTTAGGAGAATACATTATTGCCTCCAGCCAAATAAGGGAATCACATTTCGTGACCTTCACAAACAGATCAAAATATTGGGTTCACTTTCCCAAAATATTTTATAAGAACAGTATTTTTCACTGTAAATTCCATACTTGTGACTTTATCATAAGACTTAACAAATGGGTCTGAGAATTGTAGTTAAAGTCTTTGAATATTTTGTTCCCTTTAACCGTATTCTTACTAAATTCTTACTGCAATTTTAAGCCTTGTGTCTATATTACAATACACAAAGAAAGAAAAAAAAACATGCAAAAAGTCATGTCTATGTACAAAATGTAAAAGATGCTATTTTACATATAAACATTTTTAATTTTTACTTCCATTTTTGACCCCAAAAAATTGTGACTGTACATAATTATACATAATGAAACACCACTGTCTTTTGTGAAATTCGAAATATTATTTTTTTCAATTTTAGGAAATTTACCTAAGATTAAAATTGTTCTTCAAAATTGAAAGGGTAGGGAAGTAAAAGTTTACTATAAAAAGGTTGTAAAATTAAACTTTCCTTTATAATATCAATATATTTTATTAGAAAAAAGCTTGTATATGTCAAAGAAAGTTCAATGACAATTAAAGTACTTCATTACAGGTATTTGTTATTTTTAAAAGGTTTTATCATGAAAGGTTTTGAAAGAATCAAAGGTCAAAGAAATGGGATACTTAATAATCAAAGGTCCAAGAAAAATGGAAGATTATTAATTAATCAATGGTAGATTATAATTTTTCATTATTGATCAAAGGTTGATTATAATTTTTAATTATTTATCTAAGGTTGATTATAATTTTCATTATTGATCAAAGGTTGATTATAATTTTTCATTATTTATCAAAGGTCAGTTACTACAGTTTTTCATCAATCATGGTAGACTTGTGTGTATTGTTGAGATCAGAATGTGTTTATAACGGAAGTAAAGTACCCAAGAGCTTACAATGACTTGCGGTCCACATTAATTTTTTGTTTTTCTTTCAAAATGTCATATATATCGTGGGTGACCGCTTGAAACCTCATATATGCCATATTTGGTCATTTTGACTTTCCACTACCGTTAATAAGCTCGTAAAAACACAGTTCTTGTGATAAACCTCTTATTCTTAGCTTGATTGTAAATAACCCAAAAACCACCAAATAAAAAACAAGTGTATAAACTAGTCAGATTTAAAACCTCGTAAAATATTATATTATACGAGTTTCTTTTTCTGCGGATGAAAACGAAAAACCTCGTATACTGTACTGTTATACTAGTTATTGGTTGAATAGGCCAAAAATATTTAACAAAATATGCGTACAAATAGCTTTTTGCGTTTTTCTTGAAAAGTAATTTTGGCATCATATATCATCATATGAGGTTTCAAGCGGACACCCACGATATATTTATTTGAAATAACCACACTTCCCTTCCAGAAACTGAATGTGAAAATGAGCCATATTTTGGACTGAAAATTATCCTCTGTAAAATGTCAAAAAAATATTTTGTTAAATCAGCATTCTTTCATGAACCCAAAGACTCTTTGTAGCTTAAGCCCACATAATCTACAGAAGACAGTTCATTCCTCGACAAAGTGTAAGAAATACAAAATCAAATTATTGGACTAATAATATTTCTTCATGTATCTATTTAATTATGCAATTTATTTTGAAATTAATCGTGAATTTCAGAAATTTTTGTTATGCAGAATTTGTTCTTGTTATTGAATGGTATCAAATTACAAGGATACTGTCTCTTGGTAAGTTTCCTATGTATTTCCGTAGATTAGCTGTACCCATTTAAAGCTGGGTTGACAAGAATAATAAGAAAAAGTGACTTATTCAAGCATACTCCAAGACAGCCTGTGTCATCACATTGTCATGCAAATGATATTGCAAAACTCAAAACAAACAAAGCTACTTCTTTAATTTTTAGTTTACTTTCAGTTTTAAAAGCTAAATTGATATACAATTTCTATTATGGTTGGTTGGTTTGTAGATGACATTTAATTTCTATTATGTGACAAGAACAAATCTATATTCCTTCAAGAGAAGCTTGAAAAGAGATTCTAATCTATTTCAATAAATACATATCATTATCTTTATGAATAAATTTACATAATCAATTAAGTAGCATTTATCTTGCCAACACACATTCCAAAAAAAAAAATTGAGCATTATCAAACTTTATATTATCATTATATTAGCTTTGAAATTTACATTTTAATAAAAAAAAAAAAAAGAAGATGCAGCATCAAGGCAAACTCTCAAATGCTGTAAAAAAAAAAAAAGGTATTTGAAAAGAGTAAAGGAAAATAATAATATTGCAACTTTAGCACTAGCAATTTGTAACAAATCATAAAATAAATAAATATACATTATAATAGTGGGTGTCATTAGAAGCCATATACAATGCTTTTAAATCAAATTGTGAGGAGGGAAGATCAGAATTACTCAGTGACATTGATTTGACTGTATTTGCCAGTCATGTCCAACTCCAAAGGAGTAAACATCTGAATTTGAGTATGATTTAACTAGTAGCTATGAAATCCAAAGAATAATGTGTATTTATCTGAATCTTATGATCAAAATCTGTCCAAACAGATAAAAAATAGATTTGCAATGAACGTGAACATTTCAAGTAATACGCTCTAAGCAATATTCATTATGCTAAAATAAGTATAACTATTACATTTAAATATCTAAAAACATTACTTACAGAAACATAGAGCCTGAGGCTGCAGATATTACATCTTCACAATGTCAAGGAATTATGGACCCAATCTAATACTTGTAAAGGGCTTTGATTGGCTGTATTCGTAAGTGTATAATCCAATCAAATTGTCTCATTAACGAACTAGCGGGATAAAAGAAAAGTGTCTAATGATGTCAAAGTATTAGACAGAGTTAAAAATAGCTTGAAATTGTGATTTTGATTTTGATACTTTTTTTTACATTCCTTTGTCATTGAATACTATGAGCATAAATCTTGCATTATAAAATATTAAAGCATAAAAGGTCTTTATTAATTTTTACTAAGCAATGACCATACATGTGAAAGCATTACATTTGCTGTCAGAAACACTGCGCCAAGGGATTTTAAAGAGGTTTCTTAAAATGTTTTGGGTATAGGGAACACTGATAGCATCTATTTTCTCCATTCCCATTTTCAGTTCTTGTAATTCCACAATATCGAAATGGTGCAAATGGAAGCCATGAGTGTTCCCGATACACATAAAAAGGTTAGAAAATGTCAAGTGGTAATTAATGTATTTTAACAAACAAGCCTTTACAATATCAACAAGAGTGAAATAGTAAAATAGCCAAATTGAAAATGGCGTCTTTAAGGATTTCATGAGTAGACAAAGACTTCTAAAAAAAGAATTTGACAAAAAAACAAACTAGTTTGGTACAGAAATCAGCATTAATGGATAAACCTAATATATTAAAATTTTTTAAACATAAAATACTTCATAGAACAGTAATGAAAAAGCATTAAGGTTTTCTAGTTTTTTCTGTATCTAGGCTATTTACGCCTTCTATTTGCATCAATCTGATTTCCTGTCAGATGTCTGTGGTTTCTGTAATTATAGAAACGTTTAATTTATTCATAAGCGGTTTTTGTGATAGTGACTTCATAAAATACTTAGTTTTTAATGAATTGCAAGACCCACAGATGCCTGACTGGAAATTAGAATGGTATAAATAGATGCTATTAGTATCTATGATACATGTAAAAAAGAGTTAAGAAAACCTTTTCACAATCCCTTTAATGGAGAAATCCAATCCATGAAAATTTTTCATTTGCACTTTCCACCATACTTTTCTTTCCTTCTTATTCTTAACTGAAGAGTTCTGTTATTTACATATTATAAGCCACATAAATCGGGTCCAATTGATCGGCTAAAAATCCATCACGTAAATGCATGCGTTGTTTTTCACCACGAGAATTGATGGGTACTATGCCCGGGTCGACTACAACCACTACACCCACTATTAAATAATGTTCCTCTAGGACACTATTAGTAACCAATGGTACTAAATCTAATGCTTCATTTTCATTACCATCCAATTCTACGACCACCACCAATAAATTAGTCCACGTAAACACAGCACTGAAATATCACAAAAATAAACAAAATTAAAATACAGGACAGCAGCATTAACCGTTAGTATTTAGATCTCCAGCTGACGAGCCGTCTTGCAAACGTCTTGGTTTACTGTCCGATCTGCTTTATCCATGTCAGCTCCTTCAACCTGCATCACTGACTAAGGGAGTGCAAGCCTGAATAAAGACGGCTATCCGTATTTTTTGCTTTCTGCAAATAGAATATAACCATTTGAATGGACTCTACATTATTTGACGCATCTCAATACAAATGATAAAGTTTAATTCACAGAAAGAATATGAAACCCACCATTCACATATTTTACGATGGCATCGTTGGGCACTATTCTCTATATCCATAGGATGATATCTCATACCACGTAACATTATCGTTTCATCTAGAGCACCCACCACAAATATAGCATCATGACGCTCTGAAATATCAATTTTATCAATGATAGCATGACAACAAATATAGCATCATGACGCTCTGAAATGTCTATTTTATCAATGATAGCATGACCACAAATATAGCATATTGACGCTCTGATAATTCTATCAATGATAACATGACAACAAACCTAGCATTTTTGCATAGATCTTACAATTCTGAAGGGATGTGTTACTTCCATTTTTACATGGATAACACACTCTGTAGAGATGTGTAATTTATATCTTAGATTAATTTCTAATGCTTGACTTACCTCCATCTGATTGTGTTAATTCTGTTCTACGTATAAAACCTAAGAAACCAGTACGTGCGTAGGAAGTGGCGATGTCACCAGTCTCCAGACGGGAATCATAATGATCTTGATTTAAAGACTCTTCACCATACACAGAATAATAACCAGTAGAATTGTGAGGACTGCTCACCCAAATCTGTATATATCATATATATCAATTTACTAATTTTCATTAAATTATCCTTCTCAATTTTGGAATTGTCTTTAATTTGAACATAACTTAACTAAGTTTCATCCAATTAATATGACTTAAAGTGTATGATGTATATATTATGTAACGTCTCTTGTTAACAGCTGGTGAAGCTATAATTTGTAGGTAGAGCAGGTATAAGTGTTGAAACCATTAATCAGAAGTGGACCTCCAAGGTTAGTAAGCAACAGCAGATAGTAAACAATGAAATAAATCTTACCTCTCCCAAATGAGAATCAGCACATTGTCCTTTAGTTTCAGGGTTGGCGATTACTACTTTAACACCAGGTAATAGCTGAAATTCAATTATAATTATACATTCAGACACATTCAATTAGATTCATTTCAGCAGACAAATGGTACAGATTATCATTCCTCATCAGGCTGCATGTGGAAAGCACTTTTCAAATTAATGGGATTGTAAAGATGTTTTCTTAACTTTCTATGTGTATTGGGGAAATTGAAAGCATGGATTTGCATCACTCACAATTCAGACGTCAGACGTCTGTGGATCTTTCCACCAAAACGGAAAAAAAATTCTTGGAATTCCTACCTTTCCTGATTCCATGACACACATACTATTAGGGCTTCCCTTTTCTACCAGTGTGACTCGATCATTTCTTAAAGCACGTAAATCAACATAGGCCGTAGTAGGTTCTGGACATGAAGCTCCCTATAGAAACAAATTATACAGTGTGCAATGAGGGAAATTTTCCTTAGACATGATCACACAAAATAAGATACATTGGAGACTGAAGGACTCTCTGTTCTTTATTGAGCTAGTGAACACAGACAACTGAAATATAAAGCTCCTAGAGAAGCATAACCATGAAATAAATTAAATGGGAGGTCAAAGGACTTCTTTTATGCTCCTGATTGGCTAGTGAACACAAGCAACACTGTGTGCAATGACGGAAATTTTAATATGTTTTCAACTAGTTGTCACTATGTCAGCCCCTCTGATGAACAAGGAAAACCAGGTTGAAAATTCCACTTTTGCCAGGATGGTATCACTAGTATTATAGACTATGAAGGATGATAGAGAAAAAAACCGCCACATACTGTTAATCCAATAGCAACATTGACACGACAACCGAAACTGGTACTAACAGATCGTAAACTTAGTCCTAAACTAGCAAATAATTTAGTAAAAGATGTAGTTAATTGTATTCTAGGTCTTTCTTCAGCCACAATAACACAGGCTCTAACACATGATAGGTTTACTCCTTTGGTCTGAAATAAAAATTCCATGAAATCAGGTCACTTAAACCAAACAATGACATAAAATGAAAACTGAAATGAGTTTTAATGTCCACTTTTCACTCTTGATATTGAGCGTATGAAGACAAACAATGCATTGTAGGGTGCAAAGCGAAACAATGTAGTAGAACATGGCCTACTCTTTCATCTTTCAAAGGACTAGAATGAATACAGCCTGTAGCACACAGGACACTGGGTAATTGATCCGTATGAACGACAAGATGCTTTGTCCAAGTGAGTCCATACGACCTATGTCACAAACAAGAGGACACTGGGTTTAAAAATACAGGTATCATTAAGATCTATGCTGTAATCTTAGTCGATATTCAAAGTGGAAACATCAGAAATTTTACTACACTTGTAAGATATAAATAATATTTTTTTTATCAATATTTTACATTCACCATATTGTTTTCACAATAGTTATTTTGCTAACTAGGTTAGGCTAATACTTTTATTATTCATTTCTATATGACAATGTAACAAATAATGTAAGTAAGACTAAGTTTACCTTTAATGCTGCAGTAGATGTACCTAGACCTTTAGTACATAATTCCATAACACCATAGGAACAAAATGTATCACGCACTGAAATGATAAATAAACATAAATTATAATATAGTGTGAAGTGAGCTGAGAATAGACTGCCCCAACCAGGACGGCTATCGAGACGTAATATTGCAAAATACCATGTCCAAATGTCCAAAAACTGTGCAGGATGTAGAAATGAAATGAAATGAATGAACATAAATTTATTATTATTCCAGTTAACCCCGCTGTAATAATCTTGGAAAGATCAATGCCAAGGTTTTTCTTTATACTTTTTTTACTCAGCTCCATTCATCAGTAGGAGTATGAATGGTATGTTAGTTATATTTTTGAAATACCAACCTTTATACTGACTAACTGCTGTTAACCATACAGCTGGATTGGTTTCTACTTCAGATGGTGGAATTAATATGGAATGATGACCAGAATAAATACTGAAATTATATATAAAAAAAAACTTTCATCATTACAGATTTTTTTGATTTTCCCTTATAAAGTCACCTGCAAGTTGGATAGCAGAACCCAAAAAAGAGTAATATGACGGCATTATTGGGATTTGCTTTCCAACAATTTGTCATCTTTAATAAATAGGTCCCACATGAAACACTTTGATCACTTAAAATCAATGTCACTGGGTTGGGAGTGTACAGAAAGCTTGTTAAATTTGAATTGACATGAAAAAATATCAGACAAAAAGCAAAATGGTACTTTTTAATTAAATTGACTTGAGAAAAACCTCTATACATATTCAACTTGTCAAAAATGTAAGGAATAATCAAAAGATTAACAAGACAAAACTTACCTGCTTAAGCACCAGAGAGCAAAACCTAGCCCACAGTAAGGATCTAAACAGAGAACTACATCACGAGATGGGTATAATTCACACTGTAGTTTCTGAGCTCGACATAGAGCAGTAGCAGCTGCATGTGATAACTACAAAATATTAAACAGCTTTTAATCATCAGTGAATAGATAACTACAATATAATAGACAGTTGCACATCATTACTACAAGATAATAAAACAGCTATATATGTGGTAATTACAATAGATAAGCAGCTGTATTTGATAACTACAATGTAATAAACAACTGCATGTGATAACTACAATATAATTAACTGCTTTCTATCATCAGTGAATTGATAACTACAATATAATCAACAGCTGCATGCAATATCTACAATATGATAATCAGCTGCATGTGATAACTACAATATAAAAAACAGTTGCATTTGATAATTATAATAAAATAAATAGCTGCAAGTGATTACTATAATATAAACAGCTGAATGTGATAACTAAATTATAATAAACAACTGTGTGTGATTACTATAATATAAACAGCTGAATATGATAACTAAATTATACTAAACAACTACAGTGTGTGATAACTGTAATATAATAAACAACTGTGTGTGATAACTGTAATATAATAAACAACTGTGTGTGATAACTATAATATAATAAGCAACTGTGTGTGATAACTGTAATATAATAAACAACTGTGTGTGATAACTGTAATATAATAAACAGCTGTGCGTGATAACTATAATATAATAAACAACTGTGTGTGATTACTGTAATATAATAAACAACTGTGTGTGATTACTATAATATAATAAACAGCTGTGTGTGATAACTATAATATAATAAACAACTGTGTGTGATAACTGTAATATAATCAATAACTGTGTATGATAACTGTAATATAATAAACAACTGTGTGTGATAACTGTAATATAATCAACAACTGTGTGTGATAACTGTAATATAATAAACAACTGTGTGCGATAACTATAATATAATAAACAACTGTGTGTGATAACTGTAATACAATAAACAACTGTGTGTGATTACTATAATATAATAAACAACCATGTGTGATAACTGTAATATAATAAACAACTGTGTGTGATAACTGTAATATAATAAACAACTGTGTGTGATTACTATAATATAATAAACTGTGTGTAATAACTGTAATATAATAAACAACTGTGTGTGATAACTGTAATATAATAAACAACTGTGTGTGATTACTATCCCTTATCAAATAAACAACCGTGTGTGATTACTATAATATAATAAACAACTGTGTGTGATTACTATAATAAACAACTGTGTGTGATAACTATAATATAATAAACAACTGTGTGTGATAACTGTAATATAATAAACAACTGTGTGTGATAACTATAATATAATAAACAACTGTGTGTGATAACTGTAATATAATAAGCAACAACTGTGTGTGATAACTGTAATATATTAAGCAACTGTGTGTGATAACTGTAATATATTAAGCAACTGTGTGTGATAACTGTAATATAATAAACAACTGTTTGTGATAACTGTAATATAATAAACAACTGTTTGTGATAACTGTAATATAATAAACAGCTGTGTGTGATAACTATAATATAATAAGCAACAACTGTGTGTGATAACTGTAATATATTAAGCAACTGTGTGTGATAACTGTAATATAATAAACAACTGTGTGTGATAACTGTAATATATTAAGCAACTGTGTGTGATAACTGTAATATAATAAACAACTGTGTGTGATAACTGTAATATAATAAACAACTGTGTGTGATAACTGTAATATAATAAACAACTGTGTGTGATAACTATAATATAATAAGCAACTGTGTATGATAACTGTAATATAATAAACAACTGTTTGTGATAACTATAATATAATAAGCAACTGTGTGTGATAACTGTAATATAATAAGCAACTGTGTGTGATAACTGTAATATAATAAACAACTGTGTGTGATTACTATAATATAATAATCAACTGTGTGTGATTACTATAATAAACAACTGTGTGTGATAACTATGATATAATAAACAACTGTGTGTGATAACTGTAATATAATAAACAACTGTTTGTGATAACTATAATATAATAAACAACTGTGTGTGATAACTGTAATATAATAAGCAACTGTGTGTGATAACTGTAATATAATAAACAACTGTGTGTGATAACTGTAATATAATAAACAACTGTGTGTGATAACTGTAATATAATAAGCAACAGTGTGTGATAACTGTAATATAATAAACAACTGTGTGTGATAACTGTAATATAATAAACAACTGTGTGTGATTACTATAATATAATAAACAAACTGTGTGTGATTACTATAATATAATAAACAAACTGTGTGTGATAACTGTAATGTAATAAGCTACTGTGTGTGATAACTGTAATATAATCAACAACTGTGTGTGATAACTATAATATAATAAACAACTGTGTGTGATAACTGTAATATAATCAACAACTGTGTGTGATTACTATAATATAATAAACAACTGTGTGTGATAACTGTAATATAATAAGCAACTGTGTGTGATAACTGTAATATAATAAACAACTGTGTGTGATTACTATAATATAATAAACAGCTGTGTGTGATAACTGTAATATAATCAACAACTGTGTGTGATTACTTTAATATAATAAACAACTGTGTGTGATAACTGTAATATAATAAACAACTGAGTGTGATTACTATAATATAATAAACAACTGCGTGTGATAACTGTAATATAATAAACAACTGTGTGTGATAACTGTAATATAATCAACTGCTGCATTTAATAACTACAATATAAAAATAGCTTTTAATCATCAGTGATAACTACAAACCATTAAATTGACTATAGACTATTATATTTGATCCTACCTTGACCCCAGCTAACATGCCGGTTGTGGACACACTAAAATCTAAATAACAAATCATCTCTGGTGTAGGTGCTCTGTATATGGCAGCTAACTTCTTCTTAGTGAGATCATCGGTATCAAGTAATACAGGCCAAGTTTTAGGATCCACAAAAGCACCAGCTTCCTGAAATAGCAAAACAACAGTGCAATATAGGGTAATTTTTCTAGAGCAGACACATTAGCCTACTCTTTTTCAATTTTCAATTGTCCAAGGATCTTTAACATGCACAGTCTGAACAAACAGGGTTTTTTGTGACATTTGAACGATTTAGATGTTTCAATGTTAGGTTCTCCTCCACTGACAGAGTAAACTTGATTGTAAAATCAATGAGCCACCATGACTCTCAATCAAAATAGAGAAATAGTACTTACCTTTGATTTGAGTAGTTTAACTACTATATTATTAGTTAAAATAGCTACCGATTTACTAACTTCGACCGTCATACGAACTGTGGGTAGAGTACTAGCTATATTCTGGGCATGAGGGGGTCTAATAGTCACTGGTACACACCCTACAAATCAAAATACAATTAATTTTGAGCCTTATTCTTGAGAACTTAACAAAGATAAAGCTCAGATTTTAAGAAATACAGTAAACGGATAATAAAACTAAATTAAAACTTGATGTTAATGACTAGTCAGATGAAACTATATAAGAATAGAATAAGTTTAAGGATTAGATAAAAGATCCAGTACTTACCAACATATAGACAGCCATAGAAAGCAGCTATCAGTTCAATACCTGTAATACACAATAATTCTCTATTCTATTAATACTATACTGTGTATGTTTAAAAGTTACTGAGAAATAATACACAAGGTATTTGTTACGTATGGAAATTACAGGTGGTATTTGTTACATGGAAAATACCCATATTATTTGTTACACAGGCAATACACATAGTATTTTTTACATGGGAAATACATTTAGTAGTTGTAATATGACAAATATAGACAAATCATTTGTTACATGGAAAATACATCTAGTATTTGTTACATGGAAAATACATTTAGTATTTGTTACATGGAAAATACACCTAGTATCTGTTACTAGAAAATACACCTAGTATTTGTTACATGGAAAATACATTTAGTATTTGTTACATGGAAAATACACCTAGTATTTGTTACATGGAAAATACACTTAGTATTTGTTACATAGAAAAAACACCTAGTGTTTGTTACATGGAAAATACACCTAGTATTTGTTACATGGAAAATACACCCAGTATTTTTTACATGGAAAATACACCTAGTATTTGTTACATGGAAAATACATTTAGTATTTGTTACATAGAAAATACACCTAGTATTTGTTACATGGAAAATACACCTAGTATTTGTTACATGGAAAATACACCTAGTATTTGTTACATGGAAAATACATTTAGTATTTGTTACATGGAAAATACATTTAGTATTTGTTACATGGAAAATACACCTAGTATTTGTTACATGGAAAATACACCTAGTATTTGTTACATGGAAAATACACCTAGTATTTGTTACATGGAAAATACATTTACTATTTGTTACATAGAAAATACACCTAGTATTTGTTACATGGAAAATACACCTAGTATTTGTTACATGGAAAATACACCTAGTATTTGTTACATGGAAAATACACCTAGTATTTGTTACATGGAAAATACACCTAGTATTTGTTACATGGAAAATACACCTAGTATTTGTTACATGGAAAATACACCTAGTATTTGTTACATGGAAAATACACCTAGTATTTGTTACATGGAAAATACACCTAGTATTTGTTACATGGAAAATACACCTAGTATTTGTTACATGGAAAAGCTCCTGCTCGCACCTAAAGCCATACAAATTTCAGCAAATATTACAATCTGACTAAAGTGAGGTACGGTATTGCTTCCTGTTATTGAAAAAAAAAAAATTTCTGACCTGGTTGGTAAACTAAAGCAACATGGTCTCCTGTATTTAATTTTCCTTTTTCCATCAATAAACACCCAATTCTTTCAGCACGTTTATGCAATTGAGAACAAGTCACTGTGAGATGGGGTTGAACCTACAAAATAAAATCATGTCATTATGGAAATACTGAATCAGTATGGAGTCACCATAGATGCTTTAGGTGAGTCTGTCCTTTTAGACTTTCAATTACTCCTACCACTAGCATTACCCATGACTGGTTATATCAGTATCTTCTTGAAGAGGTCAACAACTTTTGAATTATTCGAGCATCCATACTTCCCTCTATCTTGTGTTGGGACATTGTCTTCATTGAAAGTGCAATAAAATTACTCCCAGAGAGTCTTCAATTACATCAGATAAATTATAATGCCACCCCCAGTATTTCAGATTGTTGTCTGGGGTATTTTCCAAACAAAAAGATAACATAATGCAGTAAACAACCTACCCTAGAATTGAGCATAGTAAATAGAATGTGATCAGGTGTAGTTTGTGCTCGCCATCGTAATATTTCAGTTAAATATTGATGCTGAAAACATAAAATTATTTAATATCATATAAATCTGTGTTTAATACCTTGACTGCAATAGCTTCCTTTCTTGTATATAACGTAAGTTTATAAATGCAGCAATTTGATTGGATTATTGTACATGAGTGAATACAGCCAATCAAAGCGCTCAACAGAAAGTAAAAATTGGGGGTTACAAACTGTTGATGACAAAAATTTATTAACTGTGGAAATCCAGAAAAGAAATCAACATCATTCATACCTTTCTGGACACATCAGAGTCTTCCTCTGACAAACCTAGATCTCTACCAGCAGCCCAGGCTAGTCTAGCACCTTGTACAATATTACCAACATGTACAGCTGATGGTGTTACATCTACAATATAACAAATAGCTTTTATACAATATAAGTTGACATAATATAATATATAATTATATTATCATATTTAGGGCTGCCCAACATATATCTGTATCACCATAAATTATGGTTACAAAATATTTTCACAGTTAAGGTTGAAGAGAGATATAGAAATACCACTCTTAAAACATGGCTCATTACGATTGTTGAGCCACATAATAAGCATTAATTATGTGGTATTCATGGGGACAAGATTTTCACACGCTTAGCATGAGCACCATCATAACAGATGCAAATGACGTAATGTTCAGTTTCTAATGTTTCAACTGACTGTGTTACAGAGGCAATACTCATGCTTACCCTGTTTTTAACAGGAATTCCATACAAGTATTATACAAAGAAGAATTTTTACATATACACAATGATAGATAAGATGGAATTAAAGAAAAAGAGATACAGTTGTCTTTTTGCTATCCATAGCACTTCTCAGAATTAGAATCCTACTTTCAGTACCTCTTTTACTCAAGAAAATATTTTTGCTAGGCTGCCATGTCTTCAAGAGTGATTCTAACAGACAAAATAAAACTGAAAATGAACATCAGAGATCCGATAATTTCTCAAAAGTATACAGAGAGCAAATATGTCAAAGTAAATATATAATCAACTGTATTTCTTGAAGTGCAATCCACAATGTTAAGGAATGATTGAAAAGGATCAGGTTTTAGACCACTCAGTAAAAACACAGGTAAGTCAACTGATAAATATATATATTGGTCAAGTTTTAGAATATAAATTTTATGTTCTAAGAGGTAGTATTCCTTCGGTAGGCCACATTGTGAATTGCACCTTTGAGCATCACAGACTCTGTTAGGAGTCAATGTGAACACTAAAAAAAGAATGAAAAATATGAAACCAAAATGTAATTTACCGCTACCTGGATGAAGCTCTCTTGGTTTAGGTAAATTAGTTACACAGGTATGTGGACACATTAAAACATTAGCTGGATGTAGTGAACCCTCTAAAAACTTCTTCTTAGTCTCGTACAGGTGGATACCACCAAGTGGAGTCTATAAAATATATTTCAAAAATATCAATAAACTCATTAAATGTACTGTCCAAACTTTGGCAGTTGAAACTGAGATGAAAAATCCAAAGGGATTATCTTGGTCTAAGCATCTTCACAATGTCAAGCTATTACGAACTTTGCCTTATACCTTTACTGCAACAGTAGCCTTTCTTGTATCATTTGCAAATGCAGAAATTTGATTGGATTGTTCACAAGCAAATACAGCCAACCAAAAGCCTCGACTATTGGAATCAAAGTACAAGTAGGAAATTCTTAATAGCTTGATATTGTGAAGATGGGCCGCTGGAAATATGAGGAAAGATGGCTTATTTATGGTCACCATGTTGTAATTTGTTACCATAACCAATCCAAAGAACAATGCTTTAGCTGATTGTGCCACAACCAATCCTAACATGAACACAATCATATCATTAACTATTCTATTATATAGAAATAAATAAAGACATACCTTAGGAAGATAATTAGGGGGAACCAGAGCTAGACAATAAACACCAACTTGATGTATAGAATCTACAGCTTGTAAAACACGACTCATCCACTGGAAACTCTAGAAATATAACATAATTATATCATTAACATATCAGCATATTTAATTATAACAATATATTGTATGACAGACATTACTTAGTCCTAAGAGTTAATGGATGAATTGAAAAATAAAATAATTACCTCTTCCTCTGAACAGTCTGGTCTTTGTTCAGCAATTATCACAATTCTTTCATCTTTTAATACATTAATAGAAAATACGGCTATCCTACAAAACACAATAAAACAGAAATTAACAAAAGAATTAAAACAATTTAAGATAATTGTTAAGAGGATTCTAAACTTTGTGTTTTGAGGACAGAGATAACATAGACTTGCATTATTCCAATTATAAGTCAAATGTCTAAAATTAAGTCAGACCCTAAATCTACTATATATCTTTCATTTATTTAGAATATCATCATTATTTGCAACACACAAATGTGCAAAAAAATATTAATGTATATGTGACACTTACCTGCCTCTATAAATAAATTTCATTGGTTCAACAGCTAGAACGGTTGCTATGATGTCATCTGTATTATGGCGTCTGGTACCAATCTGCATTAATCCTTCTTTACTACCACAAACAAAGACTAGACCTCCCTAAAATATCAACATTTGATTTTAATTGGAAATGAAATGAAATTTGATGTCCTAGGTACTGCTCTGAAGCTTATTTGAGCTAAATGAAGACATGCATTGTTAAATGAGGAAATTCTTGCCACAATGGCAGCATTAGCCTTCTCTTTTTGGAATTCTAATTGTTCAGGGATCTTTAATATTGAAACACACAGGTCTTCAGTAAGCGATAAAATGTTTTTTTCCACGTCAGCCCCGTGATCTGACACTGACACGGAGAAACCAGGTAGAATAAAGTGAATGTTCTACCTCAAACCATGCCCGGATTGACCTTCAGGTTAGCATTTAACTCACTAAACCATGACAGTTGCTATATGTAAACCTTATGCTAATTAGTTACCAAGGGCCGAATATGGCATCAGCTGTCCAGAAGGATAGACATACCAGCCTAACAATTTCAGCATTTCAGACTTTATCTAAAATTCATAAGTAAATATTACTTACTGGACCTAAGAATCCTATTAAACCTGTACGGACATAGAGATTGTCTCCTAATTGCCGACCATCTGCATGAAGTGGCTCCACCTGGAATGTAATATTGGTGATTCCTTGTAGTCCCCAATATCCAGCCCCTGTATAACCAGCACAAACACATAATTCACCAACTTCATCTGTTTTACATAAAATAGGTGGTCCATCTAGCTTGATAACGACCATCACAGCTGCAAAAGATAGAGCAATGATAATCTTTTTTAAATACTAAATTAAACCATAAAAGAGATATAAAGGCATGCTTAATCTATTAACATAAAGCACTCCCTGCAATTCTGTCCATACCTACTTTTTCTTCTGCACAACTGTTCCAATTTGTTTTATTGAAGTTCAGTTGATTCGGTGAATCTTGAATGAGCAAAACTCATCAATGTGACTAGTCTTACATCAAAATTGTCTTTGTTAAATATAAATAATGGACTCACCCCCAGGCATGACTTGCCCACAATCTTGTAAAGTTAAAGATGTGAGACTGTTTTCACTGTCCACGCGTACCACGCCATAACTTAATCCCTGCATGGATAATATACCTCGACCAGTGGCACTGGAACTTGTTCGACCAGGTCTACAAAATACATGTGGATTCTTTAATCATATTAATTGTTGATCTAGTAGCTTTTCCAAAACAGACCATTGAAATATAAACTTTTACATCCTACTTTTGTGCATCTGATTGTAAAAATGAAGACTGGCAACACAATGTAGTGTGCAACATAGGAAATTCTGACCCAAGGGCAAAATAAGCCAACTCAAATATCAAATAATCAATCTTCAGTAAAAAGAAAATGGTTCTGAAAATGACTTACCTTCTAACAGATACTGTTAGAGCTTCAGAAGAACTAGCACAAGGACAAATAGATTCAGATCGCAGACCTTTACTTTGGAAAGCACTTAAGAAGGAATCACATGACGTCAAAGACCCTAAAATAAACACAATGTTATTACAGATCATTGCTGACTGACATCAATAGTAAGTATCATCCCGATGTATATGACAGATTTTTGTCTGAGTAATATTGTTTGTGACAAAAGTTCGACTTGTTTCAAAAAAAATGTTTCTTAAAATTAAACTTGTAACCTCCATGTCAAAACAAGAAGACAATTTATCATTTTCAACTAGTGTTCTCATCTAAAAACTAAAAATGCTCTTGTCATTTAAACCATATTTCCAGGGGCCTAATTCTCAAAAACTAAATTTATAAGTTTTCAAGAATAAGACCTGTGCAACTGTCAACAAGAAGAAAAAAACTTATACAGTTCCAATCAGAGGAAAAGAAAAGAGAACTTACAAGGGTTGGCACCATCAGCAACTAATAATAATCTTAAAGATGTAAAATTAATATCTTTATGATCTTTTTGAGCTAATAAACCCCAATGCATATCACGAGACTTCACCACTGCTACGGAAGCTGAAGATAAAAGAAATGAAATGATGTCTTACATTCTACAGAGTTAATAAAATCCCAAAGTAATATCTTGACCTTGCTGTGATTGAACCCTTGACGGGGTTACTAATTAACTGTCCTCATTCAAGATAATCTGGGAAATACTAATGCCAAGAAGTTAGGCCAGAGACCAACCAGTAGATTGGATTCTGGTAAATCAACTTTGTTAGAATTGTGAAAATTTTTTGTTTCTTCCTGTCTCTTTATCAAAAGTATTCAAATTCTTTGTCTTTCATATAAAACTGAGAAGCAAATTACCTTTATATTTTGTGACCATTTTCATCCAAGAAGCTGGATCAACTTTCATTAAGGAATAAGGAATAAATACAACATGCATACCATTATACACACTCTGTTGAAAGAAAGTACAAAATTGTGGTAAAGGGTTTGTAAAGAGGTTTTGTATTTCTCTTTATCCAAAATGCTCTATATGAGAAAGTAAATTTGAACCAATCAGAACCATACAGAGGGGACACATAGTTTGAAAATCACTTGAAGTCATGAATATCAGGGTTCACTTTAAGTGGCATCACATTTTGTAATTCAAAATGATCCCTTTTGCCACTATTGTTTTAGGATTTGCTACAATCAAAATTTATTGCAACAATCTGCGATTCAAATAAAATGACATAATTATGTACTACTGGTATATTTCAAATTGCTACTGAAATTTTCAAGGAAAATAAATCAAAATTTAACTTGATTAGCCATAACTAAAATTTGGTCTGATAAATTGCTAATCACATGTTTCTATCTAAATTGAACCCTGATGATTACATGTCAGTGAATGGAGTTTAAATATTAGAAAATAAATATACATACACATAAAATACCGTGCCACAGACCAACTTCTCTTTTAAAATCTAAAACACACACCATTACTTCTCCTTCAGTATAATTACAGCCCACTGTTAGAGTACGACAGTGAGACAACATGGTATTTCTTGTTACTGTCACTCCAACCGTACTACCATCTTTATTAATAGTATACTGTTATATAAAATACATTAGTTACAATACAAAAATACAGAGAAAGCTGGTTGAAAGCCTTAACAAAGCTGACTGTCAGAAGCACTGGCTGTGGCCATGATCAGAAGAAAATTCATTTCTCTATCGACAGAGTGATGTGAGGTGAAAATCCACAAAGGGTGAATCTTGGAAGTACTGGCTGTGGCATAACAAAAGTTCGAAAGATTCAAAACCTATAACACCTCAAAACAATTGCATCTTTAATCAAAAAATGAAATGAATTAGTGTTTTACGTCCTACTTTTCTGCACTTTATGGGCTAATGAACACGGACAATGCCATGCAGTGTGTTATGAGGGAATTTTGCCAGGTATTAGCATACTTTTTTTTTACGATTTCCAATTTTTGAGGAAATGTGCACAAGAAAAACTTACTTCTATATATGCTGGAACATCTTCAGATACACGAGACAATGGTTGCCAATCTTTCGGAGGTTTACTTAAATTTTCAGTTACAAACCAATTCAATTTTGGCCACCCTATAATAAAAATTTAAGTTAAATTCAACAATTTACTCAAATGTATAGCGAGTTAATATTTTTTTTGCGTATCCCAAATTATGAATTTTCAGAAGTTACAAAATAGAATTACACTTGCCCAAAAATCACAAACTAAATACTCCACTGCTATCGAGACTTGTACAAATTTCGAAATACTGGATCAGTTACATAGACCAGACAACAATAAAAGTATTTACCTTTAAAAACTAAAACTTCACCACTATTAGATTTAGGTAATCCTTTAAACAAGCTTCAGACGTTAAAGCCCAATTAACACTTAAACTGCCCAATAAAAACCCTACACCTTGACCTCCAGCATCCTGAAATTACAACATTACACACACCCATAAGGGTTTTCCATTCATGAACACATTATTGTCAGGGAGTTGTAGATGGAAGCTTGGTTGTTTTGGAATAAGCAAAAGAAAGGAAAAGGAAAAAATCATGCTATGACTGAAGTAAATGAGGAATGAGTCAAATGAGCAAGAAGCATCTAAAAATGAGAGTACCATAAGGACAAAAATCATATAACTAAGTGTTTAGAGTAGTAAGCAGAAATCACACAATGAGTTTAAGACTTTAAGTATTCGCAACAGGCTTCTATTTAGGTGCTCAAAAGAGTAGGCTACCGTTAAATAAATTAACTTAAATTTTAAATTGAATCAAATCTCAAAATAAAGCAGTGTTTGGGGAAAATAAAAGCAGTTTATGAGTCAAAAGATTAGTTGGTGTTAATAACAGACACAACAACAACAAAATATTCCATTTCAGAACAACACAACAAAAAATATAACACACGTTTGGTTCTTGAGACTATAGAAGATTATCTGCAGTTTGAATCTATTTCATATCTTTCTCTCTTTTGCAATCTGATCAGCAAAATAGGTGGGAACAAATTCAAATTTGCTTATTTATCAAGTAACTGAAATGTTACTAGTGGAAATGCCTCAATTTCATATTCATTTAAAAAAATATCATGAACATTGGACATGTGATGGGATTGAATTAGATAAAAAACAGTTGTTTTCAAGCAACATGAAAAGAAAGTTTTGAGCAGGTGTCATGTTCTTTAGCAAAGGTGCACAATGCTTAACCCTATTTTCTTTTTATCCCTGACATTTACTCGCTTTCCCAAATCTTGATCCCAAACCCAGGTTAAGATATATAAAGACAATATACTAATATTAGTTACATTCTGAACTACACGTTGATATACCCTCTTAGTTAACGGTACTTCAACTGGTACAGGTACCACTCCCGCCATAATACACCCATAAAATGCACAGATAAATGATATCGGATCATTGTTTGGATACACCAGCGCCACCTGTAATATATAACAAATTCAATTAACACAATACATAAAGGTTCACATTAAAGGGAAAGAGGCGCCATTTTTGGAGTGTTGATATTAAGTCTTCAGAAATACTAGAAATTCCTTCAAAAATATCTCACACTAGGAATTTCCTTTCCTATTTCTATAGATGTCTTTTCTATATATGGGAGTGTCTCAAGAAAAAATGACTTGTCTTTTTAAATTTCAAACGCTGATAATTCTAGAAACACATGGATTTGAAGGCTAAAATTTTGATGGTGAGCTGTGAACAGTATTACTGATTGGTCAGCTAAAAAAATTCTTGTTTCTGAGACTAAGGTATGATTGGTAAAAGAAAATGGTGCATCTGTCCCTTTAAGCAGTCAGTGGACAAAAACAGCTTGAGCAATATTGTTGTGACATCATGAATATATGAAAGTAGAAGATGGTAAAAATATGTACCAATTTCCAGCATGTTGAAGAGATGATGCCTGCCAAAGTGAAGCACTGTAAAAATATGCAATAGTTTCCAGCAGAGACAATGAATGAGCAATAGCACGAGAAAAAATCCAATATGATATTAAGAAACAATACAACTCACCCTGTCACCTTGTTTTACACCGATACCTTCTTTCTGACCGATTTTATTCAATAAATTATACGCTATCTTATGACTTCTGTTTAACAATTTACCTATAATATAAAACATTGTTTATCAACATTGAGAAAAATACAAGTTTTAATGATTGACCAATCAGACGACTAGAGCACTTAAATCATCTTTGATCAAACCACACAAATTTTACTTAATATGATCTTTCTTACTTACAAACTAAAGCTCGCTTTCAAAAATTTCACATGAGAAATGAATCAAATAAACAATAAGAAATTTAGCCAAAGCTGAATTGAATGAAATATTGGTTTAGGTTCTAAATTTAGTTTATAAGCCAATCAGATTACTGTATTTCTTAAAATCTGGATTTATCTTAGTTAAGTTTTTGAGACAAACTTCAGTTAATACATGATGTTGATATGAAATGGAAATTCTGCTGTCTTTCTTTGTAGGATAAAGGGTATAGATTGTGATGGGATAATGAAAGGTTAAGTACCCCAAAGCCAATCTGATCCCCACAATAAAACAAAGCAACAATTCTATTTACTTAAAAAAAAATGACTTATTATAAATGAAGTATTTCTTTATAAAAACACAAATCATATAATTTAAAGATATTTTAAATCAAAATAAACAAATTATCATGAGAAAAGCCTTATAATGTATTTTGTAGGGTAGATGATTGCAGGAATTAAGAAATTCAGTTGAACAATACCATGTGACCATTTCAACCAATCAAATTCTTACCATAATGGAGAAACTTTTTTTTCATCTGAGCTGCACTAATATAGGTTACATTGTAATGTTTTTGATAGCGATATCATGAGAATACTAATTATGATGCGACAATGACAATTGTCCATGATCTAGTTAAGAAAAAATATTTCTGCACATTTAGGTTCAATTCATGACATAAATACGACCAGTCCACTTTATTTTAAGGTAGTCTAACTAGTGATGAACACAATTTAAGTTAAGTTTATATAGTTTAAATTTCTATTTATTATTTGTTTGGCATTTATATCAACTCCAAGAAAACATAGGTCTCTCAGTGAAGATGTGAACAAAAATCTACATACCATAAGTTAGATTTATGGTTGGTTTTCCATTCTGATCCAAAACTGTGATTGCATTAGCTTTATAAGTTGAAGAACCATATCGTTGTAAGGCTGCCTCTAAATTTCTCGGTAATCCTGAAGGTATCTAAAAATAGACCAAGTATATTGTATCATATATATATTACAGTATACATATATATACTTTTCAAAAAAAGTAGGTGAACTTTCAAATTGGATAGAGAATATAAAGTGACCTTTCAAATTGGATAGAGAATATAAAGTGAATCTTACCACAAGATGTTCGCCAGCTACTGGTGTAAGTTCACTTCCTTCAGGTTTAGGTGCATTAGGATCAGATGAAGGCACTAAAATAGATACAAGTTATCTATCAAATATTTAGCATGTATTATAGTTGTGAGATGCTACAGTTTAGTCTATTCAACTCTATATTGTCCTACTAACCCCAGAATATGATTCAAATCAGGAATCTGAAAATTAGCTATTTCAGCTATCATTATTATGGTAACATAGAGAGATGTGGGCATATAAAAATACTATTTTTGCAGGTATAAGTTTACGGTACATACTTTCTAAAGTGGCATCCTCTTCATCCACAAAATATTCTTTTAATGGTCGTCTTTTTGGTCTCTGGAATAAAAAATGAAAATGAAATAACATTTCACTTTTATGTTTAGGATCCAGCAAAAAAAGGGTTATGAACCGAAGATAATTTACCCAAAACAGGGGCATTAACCTACTCTATAGGATTTTTTAAACTGTTCAAGGACTATTATATACACAGCCTAAAGCATATTAGGATTTTTTCTAGTGGCTTGTCCAATTTCCCCAACATGCCATGTTTACATAAAAAATATAAGAGTTAAAAAAAAAATAAGAGCTAACTTAACAAGGATCGTCTGTCCAATGCTCACCTTTAATGTATTGAGGAGCTGCTGGATTTTGGCTGAAACTTTACCATGTCTTGGAGCTGAAAAGCAAACATAAACTATTATCTTGGCATAATAATAGAATGTATCGAATATTTTTAAGGTATCTTTGAAGAGGAAAATGAGAGATATTTTCCAACATTTTAGACAAAATAGTAAAAGGTGTCTTAAAATCTGAAAAAGGAGCCAAATTATGACGTCCCCATTGCACATACCATTTGACATGATAATAGAAAGGCATAGTTAAGAGGTATCAGTACATACAAAGTGAAAGCAAATTACATTAACCTACCATCATCATCAGCTAATCCTGTAACAGCACCAGTAGCTGTCATTCTAACAGATGACTGATTGAATCGACCCACACGATCAGTTTGTCTGGTACTCTTAGCATTATTAGTCACATCAGGTGGTTGAGATATATGATGGGCTGAAAATACATCATACTAATGTACATCACAAGTACAGTGGGTTCAAAGATGTCAGTTTTAAAGAAATTGTTCATGCCTTTTTGATTTTTCCTCAAAAAACACTTCAACAAATTTTGACATAACAATCAGGAAAATGTTCAAGCCAAAAAGTACATTGTATAATTATCATTTTCATATTTCTAAGAACATCATCTCAAGTTGACCAAGTAATACTTACAGTGACGGGAATTTTGCATGACATCTGCTAGAGCTGATCTGGCAGTATTTCCAGGGATACGGAAATCACCGTAACCTTGACTACGGGGTCGTTCACCATAGTGATGAGGTGAGGCACCAGTTTCATATGACGAGGAACTAGCACCACTGTCTCGTGCACCACCACGAGAAAACCCTCTAAGTTGTTCTTCATCAAAAACACTGTCATCATCTGATGAAGAATCTGGAAATGACAAGAAAGATTTAATAAAAAATTGACGTCTTCTTCTACATGTATACTGCAGCCCACCAAAGATATTTCAACTAAGCTTTAAGATCACATGTACATGTAATATTCTATTGTCTGCATGTACACAAAGAGTAACAGATCGATCTGAGAGTAACAGATCGATTGATAGTTTCATAAGCCAGAACTCATCTGTCAATTCACACAAACAACATTTTGTGAGTTTACAAGTTTTTTTTTGGCATTGAAAACATTCCATCAAACATCAGTTTGTCATTTAGATATTTTTGTTAGTTTGAAACTATCTAGCCCTACAGAGTGGGATAGACATTTTGGGTTGTTAACTCAGAATTCGCTCACTCTTACACAGTCAGACAGATAATTTTGACATTTTGAAAAAGTCTCTTATGGATTCGAATAGATATTTTGGGTTGTTTGTTAGAAACTACATGTCTCTAACAGAGTAGGATAGATATTTTGGGTTGTTTGTTTGAAACTACATGTCTCTAACAGAGTAGGATAGATATTTTTGGTTGTTTGTTAGAAACTACATGTCTCTAACAGAGTAGGATAGATATTTTGGGTTGTTTGTTTGAAACTACATGTCTCTAACAGAGTAGGATAGATATTTTGGGTTGTTTGAGGGTTGAAACTACATGTCTCTAGATAACGGAGTAGGATAGATATTTTGGGTTGTTTGTTTGGAACTACATGTCCCTAACAGAGTAGGATAGATATTTTGGGTTGTTTGTTTGAAACTATATGTCTCTAACAGAGTAGGATAGATATTTTTGGTTGTTTCTTTGAAACTAAATGTCCCTAACAGAGTAGGATAGATATTTTGGGTTGTTTGTTTGGAACTACATGTCCCTAACAGAGTAGGATAGATATTTTGGGTTGTTTGTTTGAAACTATATGTCTCTAACAAAGTAGGATAGATATTTTTGGTTGTTTGTTTGAAACTAAATGTCCCTAACAGAGTAGGATAGATATTTTGGGTTGTTTGTTTGAAACTACATGTCTCTAACAGAGTAGGATAGATATGTTTGGTTGTATTCTTGGAAACACTTTTATTGATCAATATAACAACAACAATTTAAAACGAATATTTATTTCCATTCATACAAAAAAAAATGCCATGTTCAGATCACAACCAAAACTCAAACACGAACACTCAGAGCTTGAGCTCAAATCTAGCATATCAAAGCAAGCACTTTCTCTGTAAACACCATTTACCAATTATTTTTTAAAGGATTTGAATATCAGCTACAATAATATATAGCCCAACAATTTCATGGGGCTGAAATTTATCTTCCCATAAAAATCCCCCCCCACATATTCCCAATAACACATGGGTTTACAAGTCACAAGTGCATTTAACACATTATTTCAACCGTCACACAACACTTCAGTTACATTTTCACCATCAATTTATACACCTATCCCTTACACTTTTCAAAAACTGAAATTCATATTGCAAATTTAACACTTTTTTAAGTATACAAATATGAACTTTTATCTTACAAGTTTTTCATTGCAAATTGGAGTGTCTTTAGGAAAGGTATGAATGAGCGAAAGGAAAATTTCACTCAACATCTGCACTTGGAACAAGACAATTCTTTTAGTTAATAAATGTTAAATCATGCAGCAGACATGCTGCAATTGGAATGTCCCAGATGAATGCTATCAGTGTCCAATATACACAGAAAATCTAAGAAAGCCTCAGTCCATACCTTTATATTACCGTCACTATTTATAGAGTTCGAGGCTTCACAAAAATGAGTTAATGATTACAAATCTTCATCTTTAGATGAATCAGAATCTGAACTCTGATCAGTTAAAGAATCCACTTTACTCCGAGAACCATTAACATGTGTAGATGCGTTCATTTTAGCGTTACCCACAACACTGTTGATTTGAATGCCAGAAGATGTGTCATTACTGATGCCACTTAATTCTAAACCCTTTTGAACTAACTTCTGCTTTTTAAGCTCCACATATTGTTTTTTGACCTTCAGCAGTGATAAAGTCTCTTGATGTTCTTCTTCTGCCATTTCAAGCTTCCTTTTTAAAAATTGAACTTTTAGTTTTTGTTCCTCCTCCTGAAGTTGTCTTTCAAGCATGCTGGTTGATAATGTATGTCGTAGAACAGGATTCGAGGCAGACGGATTTGTATTTTTAGGTGGTGCAACTGGTTTCAAAATGGCAGATGAGGTGGATACTAATGATGATGGTGTTGGTTTGTAAATGTTGGCGGTGGAAGGTTTTACACAAAGTTTAGTTAAGATAGAAGCAGACGTGTGAGGTTTGACAACTGTTACATTTGGTGCTTTTGGTACTTTTATTTGAACCGATTTCTTCACTATTCTAGGTTTTTCAACTGGTGTCTGGGTACCTGAATCACCTAAAATACAAACAAAAATTAGATTCAGACGCATTTATTCTCACTTAAAGTGATGTCAAAGCAATGATATCAATGAGAAATTGAGCCACCAAAAGGCCATTAGCAGATCCATATACATTTTTTACAAAATATCAAAGTCCAGAGAGTAACACAAATTATTTAAGTTCAAACTTACTTGATTTCTTGACAACAATAATTCTTTTATTAATGGTAAAATCTTCATCATTATCATCATCGCCATCATCATCATCATCATCATTCTCACTATCATCATCAATATCAATCGGTTTAATCACATCTGATATCGGTTTCAACTGCATGGCTATCAAGTCTGCAACTTTTGGAGCCTCGTCTAACAAAGTTTCATCTTTAATTTCTACCACATCTGATTCCTCAAACCCATATACATCTTCAGACTTCATTTCTAAAGTAGCTTTCTTAGCTCTAGTTTTCAAATTTTCCCAACACTTTTTAAGTTGTTTACATGTACGTTTTGTAATTTTGGGATCAAAGTTATTGAATTCTTCAGTCAAACGTTCCCATGTTTCGTTTTTCCGCCGGCACATAGTCGAGTCATTGCGCTTGTTTTCAAGAACGGCTTGATGCTTCAGTACCAATTCAGTGATAAATTCTTTTTCAAAATTAGTAAAATTAGCTTTTACTGGTGTATTCTTTTGATAATTAAGGTACTTTAGAGTTGTCATCACAATAAAATCAGTCCAGAAATCTAAATTGTCCACTCATAAACGGTTTATTGATTTTGGTTCAAAAGTACACAGTAACATTAGGACTTTCCTTTTAGAAATATTAATCATGAGATGACAAGAAAATTAGGTCACATAAACAACAAAAGATCAACATTTATTAAGATTAAGCATGGCTCCAAAACATAAGTCACACAAGTGATTGTTTCCTAAAAGTCAGAATAAATCTTCAAAAATTATTCTTCAAAATCATCAATATTTGAACAAAGTCTCCATCTTGAAATAAATACACTTAACAAAAGATAAGGATAAATGCTCTATACATCAACCACAATGAGAAAATGGCAGACACAGCCAGTCTTGGCTAAGTGTTCACTGAGAAATTTAGGTCAGATTCTACTATATAGCTGTAGTGTAACAAACTAACAACTAGACTGTAGGCCTACAAGGGTGGCCTTTTGAGTGTGACTCACATTGATCCTAAACTGGCTCAGACTAGGCTGACCTCTAGCCTCACTCTCACATAAGTAGGACTTGGGTTGTCTGTTACTGTTTATAGCCACAATCTATTTATAGACCTAGTCCCTCACTCAAGAACACCTCTTTGTTTCTTAAAAAATAAAATTTTTGTTCTCTGTAGTAGTTTTAAATGTGCCATTTGCATCTCTTATTCAACATATTACGAACTTCTTAGAAGACACTGATACTTGATTTAATAAAATTATCAGGTGCAAAAATCAATTTCTGGTGTTAGAATGGTAGTCATGACAACAAGAGGCAAGACAGTAATAAGTTATTTCTATGGTAACCAAGTACATGCTTTCACAAGTAATGTATAGTGGGTGACCGCTCTTGTGATCATCTTTTATTCCAAGTTTAATTATAAATAACCCAAAAATCACCAATCAAATACAGCGTATCTTAATAGTCATTTCTCAGGATGAAAACAGAAAAACCTTGTCTGTATATTAGTTAGTGAGTGAATAGGTTATAGTACCTGAATTATTATAACTATAATTATATTTTATTTGTCAAATAAAAGAAAAAACGATTTTAACTTAATTTCATTTTTCTCAAAAGTAATTTTGCATCATATAGCATAATAAAAAATGAAATGAAATGAATGGAGCATTACATTTAGCATAATACAAGGTTTCAAGCAGTCACCTATGAAATAGTACATTAATCAATAAAATGAAGCAATCTAACTATTCAAATTACTACAAGATAAAGTCCATATCAACATTCCAGATCACATACCATAATGAAAAAACAGCACCAGGTTTGTGTGCAAATCAAACCCATCTTTCCTGAATTTTATTCATTTTGATAAAAAGTCTTACTATACCTGGTCTCTTTAAAACTGTGACTTTTTGTTTACCATAAGATCCAGAGTCAAATATGACAAAAGTTTTAAAGGTTAAGTCATTGTCCAACATTTTCGTCTGAACCACAGACAGTTAGAAGAATTTCACTGATTTACACAACATTTATTAATTACTATTCCACTAAACATTGTACATGTATTGTGTTTCTTCAAATGCTCAGTGTTTCATCACAGTTTGGGCACTCCTATATTGAACAGCAATGAGCCAACTTCTTTCAAATCCAACAACCAAATAACCATAAGATGAACACTCCAAATCAGCACATCCAACTGTCATTTTATGAAAGGTCTTTAAAGGGATTGTATAAAGGTTCTCTAAAACTTTTATGTGTACCGGGTAGACTTATAGCATTGATTTGGACCATTCCAATCTTCGGTCAGACGTCTGTCGTTTTATGATATCATTATGGTGTTGAAGAATTTTCAGTACTTACAGGAATATAAAGTCATAGTTAAAAAAAAGAAAATTGGAATGATGCAAATAGAAACTATGGTCCGGCTAAAAAAAATGCTAGAAAAACTCATTAAATCCCTTTAATCTTTATTATATATGCACCGTTCAACCACAATATAAAGGATTGTTTCAAGGCAGATTTTTGTATGACCACCAAATACATTTCAACATGTACACTATTACCATCCTTTATTTTTAAGTTGTCCATATACACTACAATGAACACATATTTTACAACATCTTCTCCTTTTTCCCTGTTTTTTGATTTTTTGACATGACACTAACACATACCAGTATACAAATTTATAAATCAACACATTTCTGAATCTGAAAATTGACAACATTAGTACACATTTCAAAAACTTCTACGTCAACTATAATAATGAAACCAAATCTAGAAAGCAAACGGCACCATCCTTAGAATACATTCTTTAAACACCAAAAGCATTTTACAAATGAATATTTGTCTTTTAACAGCGTAACACTTAAGGTAAATTCACAGCTTAAAATCCATAACCAGTAATGTTTTGACTGTTTTTCTAAAAAATAACCAACCACTTCAAAATTTAAGATTATAAATCATAACAAAGTCCTTAAAAATGTTAAAAGTCAAGATTTTCACCATCATTAGCCACTTAAAGTAAATAGTCACACCATAATATCACTGACACTAGACCAGCCAACAATTCTTAAAAGTATTGACCAAATCACTGAGTTTGGACTATAAATCATAAAAAAGTCAATGAAAATGTTAAAAAGTCAAGATTGAGCTACTTAGAGTAAATAAGCACACCATGATATCAACGACACCAGACTATCCAGTAATTCTTATAGGAAGACAAGGTCAACAAGAGTCAACATCACATTAATTAAAATCAACCACTTGTTTCTATATCATTGACTGTAATACTTAACTCATGGTTTGTAAGGATTCAAGTTTACATTTGTTAAGAGTAGATAAGACACTAGTAACATGATTAACTTGAAACTGTTAAGGAGTGCTTAGATCAACTGACCATTTACAGTATTTCACTGGATCCTGAGAATAACAACTTTAAGAGTCAGGGCAATCAGAATCACGAGAAGAGCAACTTCCATGATTTATAGAATAACAACTTCCATGATTTATAGAACAACAACTTTCAGGATTCATAGAATAACAACTTCCATGATTTACAGAACAACCACTGTCTAGATTCATAGAATGACAACTTCCATGATTTATAGAATAACAACTTTCAGGATTCATAGAATAACACTTCCATGATTTATAGAATAACAACTTCCATGATTCATAGAATAACAACTTTAATGATTTATAGAACAACAACTGTCAGGATTCATAGAATGACAACTTCCATGATTTATAGAATAACAACTCCCATGGTTTATAGAATAATAACTTCCATGATTTATAGAATAACAACTTCCATGATTTATAGAATAACAACTTCCATGATTTATAGAACAACAACTTTCAGGATTCATAGAATAACAACTTCCATGATTTACAGAACAACCACTGTCTAGATTCATAGAATGACAACTTCCATGATTTATAGAATAACAACTTCCATGATTCATAGAATAACAACTTTAATGATTTATAGAACAACAACTGTCAGGATTTATAGAACAACAACTGTCAGGATTCATAGAATGACAACTTCCATGATTTATAGAATAACAACTCCCATGGTTTATAGAATAATAACTTCCATGATTTATAGAACAACAACTTTTATGATTTCTAGAATAACAATTTCCATGATTTATAGAATAACAACTTTCAGGATTCATAGAATAACACTTCCATGATTTATAGAAAAAAAACATTAATTCAAGGATTTTCCAGGATCTAGATTCATAATAACTTTGAGGATCTAGATCAAAGATTCATATAATAACAACTTCAAAGCTCTCGATCAAAGAAGGATCTTGAAGAAAATAAATATTTCAAGGATCAAAGTAATAAGAACCTCAAGGATCAAGAGAATAACAGCTTCAAGGATTCAGATAATAATATGTAATGAAATCATAACCTTTCAAGATCTAAATCAATGATCTAGACAATAACTTCAAGGATCTAGATTAAGGATCCAGACAAAAACAACTTTAAAAACCGGATCGAGAATCCTAAGAATAACAACTTCAAAAATCCTGAGAATAACAACTTCAAGAGAATAACAACTTCAAAAAACAAGAGAATAACAACACAAGATATTTTGAAGATGATATTTCAGTTCATACAAGTATGTTAAGAGGCTATTCTGAAAACATTGTGGTCAGAGAGTAAGTACTGCTACTTTAAATCAAAATTTACCCCAGAAGGTTGTTTTCTTTCTATTTTGAGTGAAGAGTAAAAATGTTTCGTGTTATTTACATTGTAAAATGTCATTTAGTCTTTTGTGTAACGTAAAGTGTGTTCGCATGTACAATATTACATACGTTAATTCTTAATTAACCTTTCTTTTTAACTCACTCTTTTCTTGTACCAAATAATATTCAACTTTTTACATTTACTGAAACCCTTGTAACCTTTGCACTATTTCAGTTGAAATTCTCAGGCAAGTTGAACTGGCAATTTCAAGCATCATATCAGATGTGTTGCACAAAGCCTTTGTGAATGAAACACTTGAATTGAGATTTTGATTGACTGTGATAGCAACTGTGATCAATTTGGTGGTCACAGATTATAGGCCCAATTTAGAGAAAATGGGGAATTTTACATTGCAAATACCACATTGGAATTAGAAGATAACTTTTCGATCCCCCGCTTTGAATCTCAAGTCTTTGGAAAAAAAACTCTTACTTAAAAAAAGCCTCTTGGTTGTGTTCATTCCATCCACTAAATAATAAGATTTTAATACTGTAAAACTTTCCAACATCTTAGCACTTTAATCTTACTGAGACACAGCTTCCATAAAAGTTGCATAACAGTACCAACTTACTAGCAACCAACTAGCTTTTTAGTACTTCATCATATACATAAATCTCTAAAAATAGGTCCATTCCCATAAAAGTTCCGTTGACACAAATTCCTCTATAAAACACATATCGGTACCAAGTTACTAGCTTATTATCAGTACTTGGACAGATACGTAACTCTCAAAAAATAGTTCACATCCACTATTATGATTCCCAGAAAAGTTCAGTTGACACAAATGTCTCTATACAACATATACCGGTACTAAGCTACTAGTTTATCATCAGTACGAGGAGAGATATGTAACTATCAAATAATAGCTAAAAAACACCATGTCAGAGCCATAAAAGTCAAGATGAACAATTTGCCATAGGACATTAACATAGGTCACCATGCCTCCATGACTGAAGATGTAAAGCTTAAACAAGTTGACGACAAACCTCTCATTCAAGTTAAAAATCGATCACTAGTTCCTCCTCTTGTTTACTTTTTAAAAAATTTTGTTTACTTTTACGAAAGTATTTGTTTACGTTTAACAGAGTCTTGTCTGTATCATCATATAATTGTCACAATGTTGTTCTTTTAAATAATTTATAAACAAAAATTTATCTCTCTTCTTAAAGAAGTTTTTGCTTTTCTTTGATGGGATTTTTTTCATGAATTTCTTCTTCATTTTTTCTTTCACTAGGACTTCACATTACTTACAATAACAGTATTCTCATCATTATTCTTTCACTAGGACTTCACATTACTGACAATAACAATATTCTCATCATTATTCTTTCACTAGGACTTCACATTACTTTACAATAACAATATTCTCATCATTATTCTTTTACTAGGACTTCACATTACAATAACAATATTCTCATCATTATTCTTTCACTAGGACTTCACATTACAATAACAATATTCTCATCATTATTCTTTTACTAGGACTTCACATTACAATAACAATATTCTCATCATTATTCTTTTACTAGGACTTCACATTACTTTACAATAACAATATTCTCATCATTATTCTTTTACTAGGACTTCACATTACTTACAATAACAGTATTCTCATCACTATTCTTTCACTAGGACTTCACATTACTTACAATAACAATATTCTCATCATTATTCTTTTACTAGGACTTCACATTACTTTACAATAACAATATTCTCATCATTATTCTTTCACTAGGGCTTCACATTACTCACAATAACAATATTCTCATCATTATTCTTTCACTAGGACTTCACATTACTTACAATAACAATATTCTCATCATTATTCTTTTACTAGGACTTCACATTACAATAACAATATTCTCATCATTATTCTTTTACTAGGACTTCACATTACTTTACAATAACAATATTCTCATCATTATTCTTTCACTAGGACTTCCCATACCATAACAATAACATTATCCTGTCTTCCACGAGGATTTCATATGCAATACCAACATAATTATTTCATAATTATATAAGATTTAATAATAACAATATTCTCATCGGTAGTCTTTGACTCAATCATGATTTTTGTGTTACAGTCAACTGATTGGTCAATCAATTAAATTCGATTTGGATTTATTTTTTCAATTATTCAATCAGATTACTGTATTTCTAAATATCTGATTGATAGCTATGTTTTCAAGAAAAAGTCCCTGGCTTATAAAATGTGGTGGTGAACAGATGAAAAAGTTGTCAGTCTTGTCTGTGAAAAGTTTTAAGATGTGTGAATAATAAGTGTGCTCAAAATGTAGATACATGTGTAAAAAATTCTTATGATGTAATATTTCTCAAAAACGTTATTACCTGCTGATACAGCACAATTTAAGCTAACCATAGCTCTTACCACAGTCTAACATTTGGTTTTCCATATTAATTTGGAAATTTTATATAAATGAGTAAAAATCATAAGCTGAAAAGCATGATGTTATAAAACGTGAAATACCTGTACCGTGTCGGTCAGCACGTCTCTGTTGACCTGGATAGTTTACTGATGTACGTTTGGATGGTAAGGGCATCACCGGTACTTTCTTATTATGCATGGCTAATGCTTGCATCACAGCCTCTGTGCGTATTTCTAAAAACAGAAATCGTGTCAGTTATTGGCTTTATTGTTTCTAAATTTTCATTAAGGTGAAAATAAAATATTCTATGAATATATATATATGTATAATCCTACTATATCGATGCAAAGACATTCACGCCCAAGTGTTCACATTACGTACATGTATGGCCTCAATCCTGCAGTCAGAATTCGGTATGTGATATAGCGTGACTAGGGGTATGATTTTGTCCAATCAATACCAAGATGACAACCAGGACTTTCCGGGCTGAAGCTAGACCAGTTTAAATTTGAAGAATTGTAAATGAAGGGAGATAACTCTATAAAGAACATTTTTGACTAGATTACAGTGAAGCAGTAACCAACCTGAATGGTATCTATTATCTTCTCGTGTTAAACGACGTTGTGCTCGTCTCTGGGCAGCAGTTGATGGACTTGGAGCACTTGGCCCTGCTCCTGCAAAAAATCAACCATATTATAAGACCATCAAGAAATCACTTACTGCAAAGGAATTTCACCTTGTTGACTGGACTGTACAGATTTCCAGCTAGTCATTCCAAACTTTTTTGTTTGGAAAGCCAGAAAGGAAAACTACCACATAATAATATGTGTCTCATAAGTTGTAACTTTGTTAGCTAGGCCTAATGTATTAAAATCATAACTGAAAGTAAAAACTTCAGTAGAGTTCCATCAAATTGAAATCCAAAGTAAAGTATAGGAAAACTTATAGCTACTATAGTTATCATTCTGATTGTGTATTTGTGAAGAATAAACATGTTCTCAGATATGAATTAAATTCAACACTCATGGAGTTTTCAATGGCCATTATATAAACATCATGTACTAAATCAAAATGACAATACTAACCATGTGCTTGCTGTTTAGCATAGGGTGTAAGAAGTCTGGAGCGTTTTTTCTCATATCCTTTTTGTGTTATATCACCTACAATTAGAAAGATTATCATCAATGCACTATCACATAAAATTTAGTAACTGACTGTAAAGGGTAAAATTTCTAATGAGATGTAATCAGTCATTGCATGGTGTTTAGGTACCTTTGTGCCAGGACAACCAAAAACCATAGAACTTTTAGACTAAAGGATTGTACAAAATCCACAATTGGTCCTAAACTGAAACCCTGAAAATGACAATATTTTAACATTTCACTGTTTATTTTTGGTTGTAGGGATCTAATAATGAAAAGTGTTATGGATAGTTAAAATGAGATTTTAAAAAAAACTTCATCATTCATCACACACAAATTAGTCAGGCTTATGAAGTCAAATCCAATATAGTATCGTGTCTACAACTCGTCCTCAGTCAAACCTCTTGGCATCGATCTTTCCCAGATTATCCGTGCATATTCACTGCTGGGTCAACTAGAAAAAATGAAAACCTTATTCCAGTTCACCAGACTTTCACTAGCCAACCAACATCACGGACAAAACCAAGCAATTGACATTCAAAACTTGCTGTAACTGACTGTTACACTATAAACTGTATGAATTTTACCATATCAAAATTTTCAGGAAAGAAAGAGTTGGATGTAAGAGACAAGGTAATATGTAAGAGATAAAATGTTATAATTGATAGGGAACATGTTTAACAGGTTTACCTAGATGTTACCTGACAAAGTTAACTCTACAAACATGTTTATTGACAATCCTCATCATATACCATACACTCATATTACATCCTTATTTAATTACACACCTTTCTTATACTTTAATTTTAATACTTATTCATATACCTTACACTAATACTTCATCTTATTACAATTCTTTCTTAAAATTTAATTTCATAAGCTTATTAAAACTCTTTGAACTAGTCTGTCAACAACGTAAACAAACATTACAATATATAATTACTTATTTGCTCCCTTAACCTTTTTTTTGTTATGTTAGTCAACTTGCACAATGTGTCCATTGCAGTTAATACAGATGGTCTAAGAACAGTTCTTTAATTTAAACAGACACTGTTCTCAGCACTTTTCTGTGGAACTCTTCTAAAATCAGTCCTTCTTGTATACAAAAATTGTAGCCTACTGAATGACCAAACTGGTAGCCAAAGGGCAACACAGAATGTCCGTTTTAAGAAGAGTGTAAAATCTCATCAATCTAAATAACTCTAATTATAATTATTATTCACATTGACTAAATTTAGATGTAACCAGCATACTCTATCATAATAAAAATAAGTAATACATCATATATACCATACTACAATCAACCAGTAATCTACCCATTAAAATGTTGTTTATTTAGTGGGGAAAGAACTTAAGAAAATCTACTAAACTTTGAAGACACTCTTCTAAAGATTATAAGTTTTTATAGGAAAAGTTTCACTGCATAGCCAATAATTCAAGTTTTTTAAACATTTTTGTGCATCGGGGAAACAGATAGGAGCTCATCCATTTTTACGATTCAAATTGTCAGTCATATTTCTGGTTATCTTGCATTTCCATTATCATTTTATTAGAAGCTTTTGCACTGGTGATGTCATATGCAGTAATTAAGAACGATGCAAAAAGAAGCAATTACTGGCCTAGATTCACATCAAAAACGTACACCTCTACAATCACTTAAACTTGCAATAATGATCCTGATGATAATGATTCATTAAATCATTATTTTCTTGGTTAGGTTTAAAGGGACATTCGGCTTTTTTTGTTGGTCGAAAACATTTTTTGCTCAAATTTGTAACAACTGTAAACCAAAAATCCAGTCATTAATTTTTTAGTGCCAAAACTTTGCGTAAAAGAGTACGTAACCTTTTAAAGTTCGTTATGCTTTTAACAAGCTGTCAGAAAACAGAAAAACTGCTTAATCAACATTTAGTACTCTGTTTTTATATCAACCCTTTTATAACAAATGTAGTTTGATCAAGTAGATAGAATAGATATAAATGGCATACTTTAAAAATATTTTCAGGTATAATGATATAATATAATCATGACGTTTTTGATAATGAAAATGTTTTGCAAAAAAGGCGGAATGCCCCTTTAATTTAGTAAAAAAAACATAGTATGAATCATTTTTTTACACACTACTGAGCAAGATGACAATAAATCGCTCATATGTGAAATTTCTCACTCCTAGATTAAGGTCATCCCTTTTAATATCCTTAATACAAATGAGATCATGGGGGGATATACTCCATGTGGGCTTTCAAGACATAAAATTCAGTAGCAAATAAGTAACAATTCTATGTGCTTGGTATTATTAAACAAAGGGAAAGGCTTGAAATAAGTGTACAGACAAGAAGATTGTCCTGTAAATTTCCGAAAATGACTGATACAAACTAATTTGAGCCGTACATTTTTGTCTGGTATGAAATGGATGAAAAAATATTTAATATATGAAATTTCAAATGTCCTTCCCTAATTCTGGTGTTAATTGAAGCCTTGACATGGGGAACATGTCACGACATTTAAAAAAAACTTAATGTGAGAATGTTTCTAAGCTGGAAGTGGCAACAGTTTTCACTTCCTGATTACAATTGTCAATTTCACATTATTTTTTGGAACTTAGATGTAAAATTTCATTTGTGAAAACTGAAAAGTGATGCATATACGAATACGAGTTGGTCAAGTATTTATTCAGACGACTATATAGATATCTGAAATTGAACGACAATACATAGCTGAAATTGAGATATAACAGCTATTAACGGAAATATTTAGATAACTGAAATTGAGCTTTATCAGCTGGTAAAGTAAATATCAGATGTCTATAGATAGCTGTAATAGAGCTTAATCAGTTTTTCAAGTAATATACAGAAGAGTAAAAGAATAGCTGAAATTCAGCTAGACCTTAAGACTAATGATAATTTTTCACTCTACCCAACAATCTTTAATGGAATGTTTACAAGAGCTTTTAACACTAAAGGAAATTATGTCTTTAAGCCGAATATGGTATGTCAATATACATTTTGAACCTTAATTCATGCAAATGTTGTAAGTACCAAAAAGCTAACACTCTAATATTTTTGACTTGATAAGTTATTATCCAGGAAAATTAAAATTCAAAGTCAATATCACTGAATAAATGTTTTTTAAAAGTTCTAAATTTAATGCAAAATTTTTCTTTAAAATGTAAGTGAAAATAACCCTGTAAATGAGTTTGGCCTTCTAAAATTTATTAAAAGGATTATTTAAAGATATTTTAAGTTAAAACTTTCAGATGAGGCAACTTGGGACACATTCTCTTGATTTTACAGATAGTCTGTGTAGATGTATTTGTGCACCTCAATATCTCAACCGACTTTAAATTTCTTGCATTATCTACAGCTATTTAAAAGGCTGGCTTGTGAAACACTATGAGTGTTTTTTTTTTGTCATTGAGAAATAGCACACTTGTGAAATATTTGAGAATAGGTCTTATCTAATCTAACAATAGGCTAAAAAACAAAATATATGTAAGTAACATGTAAATTAAAAGAAAAAAGGAAGTTTATTTCAGCAAACAAAAGTTTATCATTTATTGCAGGTTTTTTAACCATTAATTTTTTCCAAATTTAGATATGAATAGGTCATAGAAAAAAGGTGGTACTGTTTTTATGAAGTCAAGTATGACTCTTAATCATATGTTTTTTCATTGTACATATTCAAATTTCCTAATTCCATATTGCCACTGGTAAATTTTAACAAATTCCATATTGCCACTGGTAGATTTTAACTAATTCCATATTGCCACTGGTAGATTTTAACTATGTCCCAAGAAAAATAAATAATACCATGCAAAAGACAAGTTTTTGGTGTCAATCCACTTTTGTTCTCAGAGTGTTTTTTTTTGTCATTGAGAAATAGCACACTTGTGACAAAGTTTAGAGAAAAATAGGTAAGGTCTGTAGTAAGCTTATATGACATGATATCCTTCTAAGAAACAAACAAATATTTTGATATAAATTTGGAAAAATATGGTCAATTTTTTTCATTTTGAGGAAAGTCTCAAAATTTCATTGTTATTAAGACATTATTACAACAACTTATTATAAGATTTAATACCAATGGTATATATCAAGATAAGAATAACAGACAGACAGATAGACACAGTTATCATACTGTTACTCCATCAGTCTCTAATACAAATATTTATACTCTTATCATCAAACAGTTTATCTTAATGTAATCCCATACTTATCTAACAAATATCTAATGTGGAGGAAGGGGGCATTTCCACAGAATTGTCAAGGGGGTACACATGCAACTCTTTCCCTAATATTCTAAAGGTAAAGTACCTCTTAGGATGACCAACAAATTTTAATTTTGAAACTTGGCCAAAACGAGTCTTTGTTCATCAGTGGTGTCAAAACTATAAAACAGAATCCCTAAATTCAATAAATTCATAACACTAAGTAATTTTGAAACATGCTTAGAAGTGTGTTTCAATAATTATTCAGTCTTATTTAGAGATTCTATTAATTAGTCTTTTCACCTGGTAAGTTCAACTGATGAACACTTGTGGACCAAGTTTAAGACCTTGAAATTTATGTTCATTCTTCTAAGATGTAGTTTCCTTTAATTTGTAACAAGATTTGGAAAAAGGGGGGCCTCTTTTCTGCCCCTGTCCCCATTTAAGAAATAGAACACCACTGCATATATCTAATTTCACCATATACTAATGTTTGTTCTCTTCCTTCAATAGTCAGTTCCATGCAAACCAGACTTGCTTTGAGTAAATATACCATTATGTTTGCATTACAACTGTGCATTATAAGACATCATAGTAAGTTAAATAAACAAATACTTAGTCATGTAAACAATATGTAACACATGTCATTTATCACTGAAATATCTCACATAATATAACATGAATTTTAACTGACCAGTGAGTCATAACACAACACCTCCATTTCCTTTCTAGTTCATAGATCAACAACAATTACTCACACCAACCAAACATTGCTAATTAAAAATCAGCCCAATTAAATCAAAGAATTCATTGTTTTTGAGTTTTCCAAATGCTTAATCAATCAAAAAACACTTCCATTATCATCATCTTCAAGCAGCAGGTTGGCCAATTCATTATAAGGTATTTCAAAAGCAAATACCATACTAACTTTCCATGTGTCAACTTGGTGCATATTCAATTTCATGAAGAGGCTTCAAAAGGGTAAGTCTACTCTCCTGAATGGATTAGGTCAGGTTTTCACGAATTAGGCCTAAGTGATGTTACTTTGCAATTTTTTCAGCTGGGTAATTTATCTCAAAAAATATTTTTGTGTGACCCCCAATAAGTAACTGGAACACTAAAAACATCTAAAGTTAAGATCTCAAGAATGAAGTTTTAGAGAACTTCGCTTTCTAAATTTTTCAAACTTTGAAAAGAAAAAGTAAACAACCACTAAGAAAAAACTATTGGCCTTCACCATTTCCTTTTCTATCTCAGTCTGATTCATTCTGGTCATGTTTACATTCAAACCTGATGTTTTTGTCAATGTTAATGAGGGCTGGGTTTGACCCTCTCTTCCTAATCTCTTAGTTCAATACAACGTAGGTTGATAAACAGGATAGACTATATCATTAGTCTTGTTCACTAACACAGTTTGTTGGATAGCTGCAGCTCTGTCAGTTAGAGAGCAGGATATATGTTTATGTCATGAAAATGATAGTTATTAAATCCTACTGTCTTTGCACATTCATTGGTAAATCTAATCTTTGACAATTTCATTTGAATATCAGTTTCAAAATAGTACTGACAATACTGACATACTTAGACTAAGCTTATATACGGTACTAAAAAAAACAAATTTGACATATGATCTTTCCCATCAAAATCTATACAATACAGTCAAATAACCATACACAATAACAACAGTTGCAAACCAGCTGTTTTCATCTTTGTAACATCCAAAACAAATGTAGACTGGCATAGTGACAAGGCATAGTGATTTATCATCCAAAAATATTTATTTAATTTGAGAAACTCAGCAACCATCTACAAGTTCCAACATCTTATTTTGAGAGGGTCAAAAAGATATAAATACATACTGGTACATGACTGTATTGTCTGAGCAAAGTAAAAGAAAAGTTTTTGAATTGTTTTCATTATTCTTAAGAGAAATGGATTATCAGACTAAAAGTACTACCGGGTACTGATAGTCTTTAAATAACTTTGATTCCGTTTTTTTGTAAGTTAACAGAAAAAAATACGTCCAACCGAATATTCTTAAAATCTCCAGAAAAACCATAATTGTTTGATACCAGCCTAGCATTTTGAAGGACACATTAAAAAAATAAGATTATACCATGTAGATCTGCTTGCATAATCCTCAGTGAAAATGGAACAATTCTCTCTGATCCTCTCCTCGGGGAATAGCAGTCAAAATAATCTGTCTGAAACTTTTATTATAAGATCAGAGTTTCTCAGATTTTCCTCAGATATTTCATGCCTTTAAAGTCAATTCAACATTGCTCTCACACATCCATGGTCAAGCTTTTAAAAGGATAAGTCTATATTTATGATAAAAGTTCATCCTACTTTTGACAATAATAGAGTCAATTTAAATTTGAAATGAGTCAGTGCTTGATTGGTGAATAAGGCTTGACTTGATAATTCCTAATAAATAAATCACATTAAGAACTCTAAAGCTATTATGCAGGCTATTATTAAAATACATCAACATGTGAAATATTACAATGGACTTGCAGAAGATTCTTTTGTTGTGTCAACAGTGATCTTCTAGGCCCAAAAATAATGGAATAACAAAATAAAGGAAATTTATGAAAAGATCTGTCTGATACCATACCTTCTGAGAGTTCTAAATCTAGTTCTGCAAGCTTTTCACGAACGTCATCAGGAAGTTGAGATGCATCAATATCAATATCAGCCATTTTGATTGACTTAACTTCTCGATATTGTCTTTAATTCATGTCTACATTATTTTCATCTTAAAAACTTCAAGGTTCGTCGCCATTTTTCTGCACACCACACCTAAGTCTCGCGATAATTCACGAGAAACAGTATGGCGGAGCTCGCTTGACAGATTTCACACTCTTGAAGAAATAGTAGTTTATTTCGTTTTACCTTGAAAGAACAGTCTTGATTTTAATTTTGATTACAGCAAACATGTTGCCTCTTTGGGATATGCCACCGGATCCAGATAAGCTATCCGGAGAAACCTTTTATGAGGTAAAATATTTTGTTCCAGAAGCGCCAAAAATTCCTTTCATGATAAGACAGGCGTATGTGCGGATCACGTGACTAATCTTTCAGTTTATATAGAATGAGTAATCCTAGAATGTTGTGTACAAACATTTCACTTTTGCAATGATTCAATTTGATAGTATTCAACTCTCAAAATCAAACTGAACATAAGATATCACTTTGAAATTTTATTTTCTGCACTACCATACTTATTTACTTAGCCCAAATTTCCTTCAGGGTAGTACAGTCAAGTAACCTAATTTCGTGGAAACCTAGTATTCGTGGATTTTCGGAAATGATTAATAATTTACATGAGCGACCTTGCTCGACCTCCGCATTAGTTTATTTTAATAAAAATGGGTTTTCTGTACAATGTCAGCTAGTAGAATGAATCCAGTAATTTCAAGCAAGGTAACATGTATTACTGTATACTTTGACAAATACAAAATGGCGGATTTCACTTATTACCAAACGTCATCATTTTTTATCGGCCGAATTTCATTATAATCCCGAGCGGTAATCGGAATTCCAAGTGTCGCCTGGTAGAATATAATCCAACGAATGAAGTCACGTGATCAACTAGCGGATTCCGTGTCAGCAGAAAATTTCTATGGAACGCAAAGTGGACCATATTCCTATGTTGTTTCAGTGAATTTTAGCAATAAATCACGCTACGTATCCAATTTTGTCAGTCACTATTTTTTTTTTAAGCCGTGGTTCTTTGAAGGAATTGTCACTGGTTATAATGAATTGATATTAAAGATAAATACTAAGAGAAGTTAATTATACCACCCGGTATCCATACAACGTGTTTTTCTAGGCTTATTTATAGATCAAACATTGTACATGAAAATAGGTGACGCATTCTGCCGCAGTTCCCGAGTTGGTTGCTCATGAAATATGGGTCAAACTGAAGGATTCATTAAGAAAATCGAAATAGACCAATTTCTATTATTTTGTAGAATATCTGAGGAAACATCTAAGACATAAAAAATTTTTTTCCTTTTTTTAACTTTGACGAAATTCGGTGTTGAATCCTTATATCCACGAAAATAGGTTACACCACTGTACCTAGCCTAGCTATGTCTAAATGTTGACTGTTTCCTAAGCAACAAGAGTATGAGTTAAAATAATTGAAAGTATCAAATAACTTGAACAAGTAGGCCTACTGTAAGCCACCGAACCTAAGCCTATAATAACTATAGGTGTATGATGTTACGGTTAAGCTTATAATATGATATAACTTGATCATATAACAAGCCTGCTAAGGTATATGTACTTATCTATTGTTAGAACTTATGCTAGTGTTAAATGGAAGTTTCAGTCAAAGATGAATTTAAGGAAGAGTAACCACATTTGAGCTCTTTTGATTTTTGTAGACGTCTGCTTTTAAAATGAGATCAAGGTTTAGTAAGACACTTTACTGTGGTGAAGTTGATGAAGATGACATTACAGATGATGATTATGATGATGATGAAGATATAAGCCCACCACTTCCCTTAACAGGTATGATGTAGACCAACATCTCTGTTCCTACCAGGTCCTATGATGTGAAATAATCAAGACTTCAAATGTTAAATTTCATTTTTAGAACGCAAGTTTTCTGGGATTTTCAATAGGTTAAAAGCCAAATTTGTCTTAAGATTTGGTGTGTAAACAAGGCTGAACCATTAATGACATTATCAGATATTCACATAGTACAACAATTCAGCCATTGGCCTTTTGTTAGGCTAGAGACACTCAGTAAATTTTTTAATCATACTGCAACTTGATAGTCAAGTTTGCTAAAAAAAAAAATTGAATGGTTTTTTGAATGATTACCATGATAACCTTTCTATCTAATTTCAGATATTGCTGTAGACTATTTCCAAGATGTTGCACCCCGGAAATTTGGTCGTGTTGATCGTATCTTGGCATCATCTGTTACCAGGTAAAGAAACGAAAATTTTCTCTAGTGACTGTGACCTTCTTCAATCCAGAACCATGTACAGTTTAGAATAAAAAAAGAGAGTCCAGGCTAATGATGCTGTCCTGGTAATTTATTACGCACTGCATATCTTCATTAGTTTTATCAGGTGCAGAAAAATAGGACGGCTGGCCTGGCTAAGTGTATGATTCATTATATATCATTATAAGCATTTGATTATATGTTATGATGAGAATTTGTTTTATTTTTAGCCGAACTCGTGCATCTCCATGTTCTGTTATGATGAGTATGATATATGCTAAACGACTCCGCCATAAAAATCCTGCTTACTTAGATCACATGTCTTCATCTGATTTATTTCTGATTAGTATGGTGAGTAAAAATGTCATGAAATTGAATGTTTTAAAAAAACGAACCACTAAAGTACATAATCATAAATGAGGGAGTATTTCATAATGAAAAGTGGTAGGAGGCTCGAAGAATAACCATATGATTCAGTTCCAATATTTATATCATATCAGTGGTTATTTCCTTTTTATCACTACAGTCTGATAAAATTGCTGGAAGATTAGAGATAACCCATGATCACCATTTGTTTGATGTAACCAAGCAAATGACGTCATGTATAGATTCCAACGTTCTAACAAACTGTCTTGTGAACTTAATCAAACAATATACAATATTTTTTTTAGATGATGGCTAGTAAGTTTATTTATGATGATGGTGTTGAAGAGGAAGTGTTTAATGATGAATGGGCCGAGGCAGCAGATTTAGAGATCTCAGAAATCAACAATTTAGAACAGCAATTTCTTCAGGCTATTGTAAGTAATAGTTAAATCATATGAAAAAACATTTATGTGATTAAGTAGTGGGTGGGAGGGAGCAAGGCGAAAAATATCATCTTAATTACTTAAAGTCTTACTCTAGCTCTCGAAAAAAAAAGTGTCCACTTTTAGCATTTAGCCAATGCTGATATATAAGAGTTCAGAAGTGTTTCCATCATTTTGTAAATATATATATATGAATAATTGCTATTTTGTAGGATTGGCAGCTATTTGTTAAACGAGAAGAATTCTTTCATCTCGTGAATAAAATAGAACAGAGGTAAATGATAATTTCCAAGTACACTCTAGAAGGCACAATTCTTGAAGGATCTTGGCGTTTGTTACTTTGGCTATAAATCATTTCAGTTTGAATTTGATTTACAACATCCTAATAGTACAGTGGATCATTATTTGTGAATATCATTTTATAGAGGGAAATTTTCAGTCTGAAATGTGGGTGCAAATGTAAAATTTCCAAACCTTACATTTATATGGACTCGAATTCATTCTAAGGCAATAAGGATGCAAATGAACAAATTAATTTGAATTTTTGTGGAATGTTGCGAAAAAACAAACCAATTTGTATAATTTTCAGGATAGCATTACAACAAGCTATAGATAGAGGATGGTTTTCGTATACAGATCTATCTGTATTGATGAGGAATCCTGATTATGATGAATTGTGGAGTAAAATTGGCACATCTTGGTTACAGGTATGTTTTCTCTTAAATAGCCATATTTAATGATCTCATTTGCATTGATCTTTCCTGGACTACCAGTACACATCTACAGTTGTTCCACTAGAATTATGAGGAAATATGACTTTTTCAAGGTCACCAGACCAGATCACACCTTACCTTACCTTGTTTAACTCAATGTCATTTGTATTTGTAGGTTGTTTTCATTAGTTCAACAGCATACCTAGCTGGAGTTTTGGTTGTTGTTGCATCAACTATAACAGCCTTACAAGTGTCTTCAACTCTTACAATAGTTGGTACAGTGTTACTGTCACAGTCCTCTGTTACACAGTTTCATCCAGTTACTGGTCCTGTTCTACCAAAACCTATGGTATCAGTCACCAATCTGTCACCTCAGGAAGTTGCTCCAAATATGTCACATTTCGACCAGGACTACCATGTAGATTCTCTACATCAGTTGATCTCCCATGACAACAATCTTCTTGAAACTCTTCTCCAAAAACTGTTAGCTGTGATGACACTAAAGGAAAACCTTGTTAAATTCGTCTTTGCTGTTTCGGATAACTATTGCTCGAATACTCAAGGAAAAGAACTTTCGAATAATCTCAACAAGTCTACTTCAAGTGATAAACGATCATGTGGAATAGGAAATAGTGCTGCTAAATTGTCAACTAATCATATTACATGTTCAAAATGTAAAATGCAACAGTCGCAGAAAAGTTTCGAGAATGTCCCAGGACCACTGTCATCTGCTAGTCTGTCTGCCAGTCTTTCCCTACGTGCCAATTCTGACCACGGCAATAGTATACCACTCAATGGTCAGTATCAGTCTTGTTGTTGTGAAGAGCCACCTGGGTTTATACCTGGGTTGGTTGATGCTAGTTTAAGTTTTACTACCCGTTCTTATATACCAATATCTGTTGGTGCCTAGAAAGAATCAGATTTTGCAAATGCATGAAATCATGACATATTTAGTAAAGATGTGCACAAGTAACAGAATTTTGTCTGCTAAAAACTTTTCCAGTGCTGTAGACTGTTAACATATTTTGTAAACACAAATTTAAACTTTAAAAAAAGAAATTTTAAGGGAAAACTTTAAATTCGTATTCTTATTGGTCAGTGAAAAATTTTTCAAGTATGATTTTTTTTCTAATTACAAGCATTTGTAAAATCTAACTTTCTAACACCATCTCGCCAGTCAACAGTAAAAAAAAACTTTCTGTGTGTCAAAATCCATTTTAAAAATATCCCGCTATAAAAACTGTGCCTTAAAAAAAAAGAATTGGTGACAATCGTAAATCTAAATCAAATTTTTGGAACATATTTCGTATTTTCAGCATTTTTATAAAATTTGTGTGAATAATTTATATTTTTTGATGTTTAGAATCCACACGTCTTGTGATGTCATAAAACCAAAGAACTATTTTCATACTCTGAATAAAACCTTTATCTTTCAGATGTGTCTTTAATATTTTTAATTATTGATTGAACCCACCTCCTGCTCCCTGTTGGTGGGTGATCAATCTAGATCAGTTGCGTAGATATATTCTCCTCCTTCCTAAATAAGAAAATTTCCCAGGAGGAGAGACCCCATCATCCCGACCATATCTAATGCCCTTAAAACCCACAAATTGGAGACCGTGTGCTGGGATAGATCATCATATTTGTATTTTAATGTGGGATTTGCCTACATTGTGATATTGTGGTCTGATTAAGACCCTTCTTGACAAGAGTTACTTTCATTAGAATCAAAGAGACTTGCTTGCCCTTACGCCTGTCTGTCGTAAGATAAGTCCACAGAGATATGAGTTATATGTATAAAGCATGGATGAACATCGAAATCTGTGTGATTTATATCTTGAGGAATCATCCTCAACACCAAAAAAGAAACCCCCACAGAACAATGTGTAGTTCGAGCCTTGAGAATTGTCAAAAATTGGTGTGGATCATAAAAATGACAATTTAACAAAATGATTTTAATATAATAATAATTATATCTTCTACAATAATACATCAGAACATATCACAGACTTACAGCAACACAATAACATCAATACACAATAATCTAAGAGTGTTCACAATAAAACTCATTACAATATTAATAAAGTAAACTTACTCACTGAAACACTCTATTTTGGTAAAAACAAGTGTTATATTCAATAGTTTAAACTTGTCAATTTTTACAAAAGCCTTTTATAGTCCATCTTTACAATGTCAAGGTATTATGAACTTCATATTATACTTTGACATCACCAGGCACTTTTCTTTTATTCAGGAAGTTTGGAAATGCAGCGTTATGATTGGATTGTACGTTTGCGAATACAGCCTATCAAAGCCCTCGACAGAAAGACTGTAAACAAGGCTGCACTAAAATTCTACTAGTTCTCATCTGTCTTGACTTAGAGAAAGAAGTTAAATTTTTCAACAAGGCAATGGATGGGCTAAAATTTTCACATAAATTATATATTTTTTTAAAGCTTGTCGGCTACTATAACTATCAACAAGAAAAGAGCCTAATGATATCAAGGTATTACACATAGTTGGTAATACGATTCTGAAGATGCACAAAACTTATCAAGGACAGAATAAAAAAGCTAGGGCAAGAGTTCAGATTTGTAAGATATGTATCAGCAAGTCACAGCCCAAGATGTCAATAGTCAAACAAAACACACACACTTTGACAAATATTAAACACAATTATGAATATTAAACGCTTTCACTTATAATGCCTGTATATAATCTTACATTCTGTATTGTATTTTTAACCAAGCCAGCAAAATATGTATAAAAATGAACTTGAAGAGATATCAAAACACTAACAAGTGGATGTGTATTAATATCTTTGCTCCAAAATACATTTGGTACAGTTTTATTGAAGATATTGTATTTACATATTACGTGAATAATTAAAAGGAATAAATATTGAATGAAGTTATAAGAAGTCATTATCAAGAAGTCAAAATTAAATTGATTTCATTAACATAACGTATATATATATATATATAAACACACATTATTAATTGCACAAAATTATCAGGAAATTAAAGGGACAGAGTCATCTAAATATTTTAATATTTTATGAGCTTAATTTCAGTTTTACTTCATAAATTTGTGACATGCAGTTCTCCTTGATCTTTTCTGGTCTCATTTACAGCTGGGTCAACTTTTATACGTAAACTGAGATTAGAACACATGACTACCATATGTTTGACTGCATGTAAAGATTCCAACACTCTAAGCAATTGTGCTACAGCCCATCCTCAAGAATTGTCTTTGGTCCTGAAGTTCTTTGTCAAAATTGCCCTGAGCTATTTTCATAACTGTAGAGCTAGATGTCACATTTTGAGTCTGAAAAGTGTTACAGAAAGCTGATATATAAAATGTTGAGATGAATATATTCGATATTGTAAAATATTACACATAATATAATTAATAATAACAAACAAGTTGTATTGTTAAGAGAGTGCTCAATGTTTAGTAATTGTAGAGTAATAGATATAGAGATATATTATTTTAATGTTATATACAATAATGCCTTTTACAAGAATACACTTGGAACACAGAGCATAAGAAACTAAAAACTCACGATTAAAAGATTAAAGATAATATCGGATTAGGACTGAAATATTGGTGGAAGTTGATTTAGAATCTATATAGCATATTTACATTTTCTACTAATATACTATACTATACTACTGTACTATTACTACTTTTGATTTATTTGGCCCAATGAGTTAAACACTAGTTTGCTTATCTGTATGTCAAAGGTTCATCCTTGTTTCCAAAAAGTATAAGTGGATGAGTGAGTTAGAAAATCTAGTCCAGCATTCCAGGCCTGGCTTTTCCTATGGAGTTCCATTGAAAAAGGTCACTTGCAAATTCTTTTTTTGGGATGCTAGCTTTAAAATTCTATAATTTGTGTGGATACATTACACAAGCAGAGGCCCTATAGTTGTCAAAATGTTCATATATACCTAGAACAAAAAGTTAAGTACCACCAGATTTTGAACCATTGTTTAGCAATGAATATTGCCCAGAATATACTGAATTAAAGTTAGTGGTGCTTAACTTTTTGTTCTACGTATATTTACTTCTTATCCTTTTGTATGCTCCACAGTGGATCTAAACTACTTAGAGGATCTGATGTATCCAAATTGTCTTTTATTGATGTCTTCTTTGTACTTGAAAAACTTGCTTTTGTGATGCGTTTTCTGCCTTTATCATTAGAATCCAGAGTGAAAGTGTTGGGGTTTTGCAAGTCTGCTAAAGGTGAAGATTTAGCTTCCACTTTACAGGAATGTTGTGGAGAGGATTTTGAATTAACAGAACTTAAAGATCCAGAACTCAGAATAGATGAGCTGGAACCAGATCGACTTCTATTTTGGGGACTGGGTGATCCATTATCTTGAGAAATATTATCAAGGTTTGTTTGAATCAAACTGTTTCCTCCAATCACATTGTCTGTTTTTGATTGCTGCTGAATAAGATCTGGCAGACTTGACAAGTTGTCTCCTTTTGTTGGAGAGTCAGTGATAGTTGTTTGGCCTTGAATAGAGGATTTTTCGTGTTTCTCTCCTAAACGACCAACATTTTGTTGAATTGTTTGTAAATTAACTGAGCCAAGTACAATGTCGTCTGCAGGCTGGCTGTGTGTAGCAGGAGGTTTAGGTTTCTGTTTGGAATAATGAGGATTTTGCACTAAAATATTTCCTGAAATGTTAAAAAGAACCATACTTCATATAAGAAATTTCACTCCTTTCTGTACCAAATCTTATGTTGTAAAAGCCTCATTGCCAAGAACTCAATTAAAGCATGACACGTTTCAGATATAAAATCATCATCAATACAGCTGGTTTGGAAACAACCTAACAATATTTGAGACTTGAGGTACATGAATTAAGTTAGATAGAAAGATACAACTATCCACTCTACCAACTTGTTCCAGGTAAATTTCTTACAAAACTTACAACTTCAAAAGGTTCAAAAGGATACTTTCTACCAGCTAGTTCTTTTACCAAACCTCATTGATTTTTTCTAGATTATCTATACCAATCTACAGCATTAATCAATTTCTACATTACCAAACAAAAGACTTGTAAAGTTTCCAACATTCTGACCAACTTTACAAGGGACTAAATCAACAAAGCACAAAAAACTCACTTCTTTTGAGGAAATCTTCGGCAAAATATAACAGAGCCTCATAAGCAAATCTAAGTTGTTCTGGGTTTTGAATGCAGTTTTTACGTTTACTAAGCATACGTTTGGTCAGTATTGGTATATCTATTACACCGTTTCCATGTAATATCTCCTGCATACCGGTATATATGAGTAGAAACGTACCACTTCGTCCAATACCATTACTATAAAAATAAACAACATTTAACACTTAGTTTTAGTGGAATAGTAAAAACCACAAACGTCTGCGTGAAATTGGAATGGAGCAAATTGATGCTATTAGTGTCCCTGATACACATTATAAATCTAGAAAACCAAATAGACTAAATACAAATTATTCGAGTTGTCATGAAGCATGTCAAAATTTGAGAAATTTGATAATCAATCAAATATCGTAATGAATTGAGACAACGCTAGCATAGATTTGCTTCGGCTTCTATTTATTGAAAGTAAGCATGTCAAAAATAGATACATACCCACAATGCACTATAACAGGTTTCATTAAACTGCGTTGTTGTTTATAAAATGTATGAGTTTCGTTAATAAATTTTACTATATGTGACACATCATCTGGGAAACCACTGAAATATACAATTTTACATAAATATTCCACCTAAAATATTGTACAATAATTTTACGAAACTGTACATTGTTCAAAATTATAAATTAAATGCTTATTAAATACAAATATACAAATTGTGCAAGGATGTGTTTCAGAGAAGCAATCTTCATTAAGGCAGTTTTTTGGAAATAATAGTTAACTTTCCAATATAGCAACTCTAGACATGGGACCCTGGTAAAAATGTCCTAAGGTACTAAAACTCACCTGACTGGCCAATGTTTATATAATAAATGTACTATAGTACGTCCTTGTTTAGTCTGAAATATTGAATCATGAATATTTATTACATCATCAAATTTTAATCATATCAAAATGGCGCTTTAAAAAAATTACAAAAAAAATTTGAGGGGACACATGATTCTTTAAATGTATCTTAATATTGATGACACATCATATGTCTCAGATTCCTTTATTTTTTACATATAAATACAAAATGTACTGGTTTACAATTTATTTTCAAGCTTTTACCGGTCTTCTTGTATTTTGTTCACACAACTGACACCCCCTCTTGTCAATGCAAATCCTTTCCACTTACTTGCCATCTAATTGTTCTGCCAAAAATATTCCGCCATATGCATTTTTGGTTTACTGAAGTTGTGTGCCAAAAGCCAAAGAGTATTTGGCAAAAATCGATTGCTCAAAAATTTTAATTTTCATCCAATCAAAACCTTGAATCTACTTAAGTGTGGTGTTCCCTATTCTATATTTAGATACCTGCTTTACCTCTTTTGTATATTGCACAGTGAATATGAAATTTGTATACTTTTTGTGCATAACTTAACTAATGTTATGTTCTCTCAAGAGAAGTGATTTATACCTTGACCAACAACCTTCCTATGTTAAATACAATCTACATTATGTAAACATGCCCGTGTTAAATATCCTACCTCAGTATGTAACATATATACAATTCTTTCAGTCCATAATCCTTTATATTTCACACTTTGTAAGTTTAATATTATCTGTCCATGTTCCATTGCCTTGCCCTTTTCTGTTGGCCAGTAAATTGGATATTTCTATAACATATAGAGAGGTAAAGATTTTTATTCTCAGAAAGTGGTTGATCATGAACTTTCAAATGAATGCACCTTAATTTCTCTCAATCACAGAACATTTGAAACGATGATTTGAAACAGCATACCCAAAATGTTGGATACTATTTTGATGTGTTCTATTTGCTCCTCAGCCTGTGATTTCGTAATTTCAATTACATATTTTTTTTATAACCACTTTCAATGAAATGTTGATAGGCAAACTATCAAATTCTGGCTTTGTATTACATATACAATACAAAAGATTTGGGCTGCAATAAAAAGAATTTAAACTGACCTTTCCAGTTTCATATTCACTTGTTATCATGACAACCACTTCTGTTCCTTGTTCATACACCATAGCCCAGAAATCAGTGGTAGTTACTGGTAATGGTGTCTGGGTTGTAATAAATTTAGGACAAGATGGAGCTAGGTCCTGAAAAATTATTTCATTATATGGTGAATCATCACATAAATTTCTTTTTCAAGAATTTTTTTCAGGTTCATGTTCAAACAGTTAACATTTTACACGAACATTTACTGACAGCGGAAGAATTGTGCTAAAATTCTTTCTCCTTTTGTAATTGTACACACATTCATCAATGTTTGTTAACATGGGACCTCTACTAGACATTTATACCATGACCGACAAAAAAAATAAAAGGTCTCCACCTATGCTGGGATTGAACCCCAGACATTCAAGTAAATGAGCTAGTTATTAATTCAATGAGCCATCAGGCCCCGATTTTTTACCAACGAAAAACTCACGTTAATCCAACTAGCATTAATATAATCATCTTTTACTGTTGATAACATTACTCTTGTAGCATCATCTATAAATAGAATATTACAGAATTACAATACAACCATAGTTCACATGGATAACAACAGCATAAATTATGCTAAAATGATATGTTATTTATTATCAATGAAAATTTCAACCAGCTCATCCTTAAAGGAATTGTAAAGTGGTTTTCTTAACTTTCTGTAAACACTGATATCATCCATTTGCATCATTTTCAGTCAGACATCTGTAGATCTTGCAATTCTATTAAAACAAAGCATTATATGACAAAGCTATAGCAAAGGACCTAAAACATTATTTGAGATATTAACATCATATAGGGTTGAGCATTCTATAATTACATGTACAGTAAACACTGACCACTCTAAGCCCCTGGACCACATTCACTTGCCTGAACCCCAGTCTGCTACTGGGTATATTGAGGTCTTCCCATTACTCATAGATACTAGTATCAAGTTTTAACTTACAAGGCATGATATCTTGGTCTCTATTTTTCATGGGATAACATCTAGCTATTGCTATAGAGTGCTTCTTAGACTCTTGTTCTTGAAAATCCATTAATTCCTGGAGAGAGAATGGGATTTTAAAAGACATGCCAAATCAGGATTAGAATTTCACTGAAACGATCTTTTTCATATTTTCTGATGAGATTTGCATCACTCACCACAGATAAAGATAAGGATAACTTAGTTTCACAAGGATCCTGTCAACCTGCTGGTCTTTCCTGGATTATCTGTACCCATTTACAGTTGGGTTGACTGAAATAAGGAGGAAAGATGAAGTTTGCAAAGAATAAAACACTTACCCTCCATATTGTATCAACATGTGAAAGAGCACAAGCATTACTGGATGATAATTCATCAACTCTCTTCCCAAACCTCTCCACATCCATCACCAGCTTACTCAGAGCAGCTTGGGAAGAATAGGGATCTTTGGACTCTGGAATCCCTCTGTTTTTCATTGCTTCTTCTTTTTGCTGTTGCTTCTCTTGGGCTGTTAAAACCTTGGGTGCTATCACTGGATCTGGAATGGCTGCTTGTTTAACACTATCTGGACTTGAAGACAGAATTTCATCGAGAGAAGAACTCTGCCTAGCCAACCCAACAGAACTACTTGCACTAGCAGCCACATTGATTTGAGAGGCCGCTGGACTAGGTAAAGGTTCCTGTGGAGACAATGGCAGTTTGGTTTGATCTACTGCTCCTTCTGGAATCTGAGGAATAGGCGTTGTAAATCTTGGAGTATTGGGCATCACTGGGACTGGAGATGGAGCAGGTGAAGGAGCTGGAGAAAGCGGTTGAAGCGGTTGCTGAAGAACAGGTAACTTTGCTGTTGGGGGAGGCATTCTTGATCCTACTGGTGGAATAAACTGCTGTTGGTAAGTTGATTGACTACCAGATGGAAGTACTCCACTGGGCTGATTTGTTGGAAATCTTGGGTACTGACTTTGACCAAGGGTTTGATTCTGTTGGGATTGGCTTGATGGGCCAGAACCTTGAGGTCTAGGAATGAACTGATTCTGGTACAGAGTTGGATTCACTGGTTGATTAGACTGATATGCTGTTGATGTTGGTACCATTCCCGATTGTGTAGCAAGTGGCATCCAGTTTTGTCCTCTGGAACCAGTATTTGGAATATTCTGACTAGTGTATTGCTGAGCTGACAGCCCAGATTGATTCAAACCCATTGCTTGACTAGAATGTGGTATGTTAGGATATGATTGCCCCAACTGCCCTGGCTTCTGATGAAAGCCTTGGGAAGCTGGTAATGATTGGGCTGCAGTTGCAGGTTGTTGCATTGATGCATACAACTGTGGGGTTTGCTGATTCTGGAACCTCTGACCAGGCTGTTGGGTTGATGTCCTATCATAAATATTCTGTGTTGAAAAAGGCACTATTCTTGCCGGTTGTTCTTGTCCAGTGTAATTTTGATTCTGTGATACTTGTTGGGTGGTTGTGTACTGACTGTTAGACTGGTTTGGATTTGTCTGTTGAGGATTTGGAGCATGTTTCATCATGGGGGTACGATAGGGCTGTGACATATGAGGCAACTGCTGACTTTGATGGTGTGGGCTTATGTTTTGGGGCTGTTGGTAAGGGTATTGTGTTTGGGAGTTACCAAAAGCTTGACCAGCTGAAGTCTGATTAGAATAGACAGGTTGTGTTGGCTGTTGTGAATTCTGGTAAGAATAATTTGGTTGTTCCATTTTGTACTGATGTGCAGGTGATATCTGCTGTACCCCAGAAGATTGATATCCTGCAATATTTTGGGGTACTGGTTGACGCTGTGTAGCTCCTTCAAAAGATGTATCAGCATAACCAATGTTTTGATTGTACTGTGTATTAGATACAGGTGGATACTGTGGTCTTGGGGAAGCTGCTGGAGAAGGTTGTTGAAGGTTTTGTCCACGTTGATAAGAGGATGGACCTCCAGGTAAATTCTGTTGCTGGTTCTGAAGAAACTGTCCAGATGGACCTTCTGGTATATTTTGTTGTTTGTTCTGAGGGTACTGTCCAGATGGCACTCCTGGTAAATCCTGTTGCTTGTTCTGGGCAAACTGCCCAGATGGAGTTCCTGGTAAATTCTGTTGTGGGCTCCGAGGATATTGTCCAGTTGGACCCCCAGGTATATTCTGTTGCTTGTTCTGAGCAAACTGCCCAGACGGACCTCCTGGTAAATTTTGTTGCGGGTTCTGAGAATACTGCCCAGGTGGCCCTCCTGGTAAATTGTGTTGCTGGTTCTGAGGATATTGCCTAGATGGACCTCCTGGTAAGTTCTGTTGCTTGTTTTGAGGATATTGTCCAGATGGACCTCCTGGTACATTCTGTTGTTGATTCTGAAGATATTGTCCAGATGGACCTCCGGGTAAAGTCTGTTGTTGGTTTTGAGGATACTGTCCAGAATGGCAGGGTTGCTGAGTAAAACTTTGACCAGGCATCTGGCCCTGGATATTTTGATGGGGTAACTGACCCCCAAATTGTGTCTGTAATGGCATACCAGTGCCTGTTGGATAGGATTGGTTCATAGCCTGTTTTGGTTTCTGGTCTCCCTGCACCATTTGCTGGTTTTGAGAATGGTAACTTGCATTCTGGCCGTAGGGAACAGCAGGTTGATTGTAACCTTGTTGAGGTTTATACCCTTGACTTGGATTTTGGGGAAGTTGATTGACATTTTGAGAAATACTACCAGTGTCTGATAAAGCTGGGCTTGAAGTTCTTGAATCTTGTTGACTCCTTTGTACACCTTCAGAAAAGTTGGACATTTGCAATCTTTGAGGGTATCCTGGATCATAAGAACTTACTTGAGTGAGTTGGAATGGAGTTTGTGGATTTGTCATATTTGAAGAAGAGCCAAATGACTGAGATCCAGTAGCCTGATAACCCTGCTGTCCAGTTTGCGGAAAGGTCTGGTATGTTCTTGACGGTTGTCCTTGTACTGCATTTTTTGGCACCTGCTGATGATGTGGAGGTTGAGAGAGTCCAAAATGACCATGCTGACTTTCATTTGTGGGTGACAGTACTGGAGTATCTGCAGAAGATACAGTAGATGTACTATCCTGTCTATACATCTGCTGTCGAGAATTTGAAATATTTCTTTCAGAATACTGACTTATATTGGTATGGAGCTGTGAGCTGGTTCCAGGTATATATGATGTGGGTAAGTTACCTGGAAAAGCCTTATTTTCATAACTATATGCTTGTGCAGCCACATCAGGCATCTTAGTACCTTGGATAGTTACATCTGGATCAGGTAAATTCTGCATTTGAAGAGCTGGATTGTAATCCAAGCCTGGGGGGAATTGCACTGGATCTGGAACATTTGAATTAGACACAGGAAAGTCAGCAGGAGGAATGGCTGCTCCTGCTTTTGATTTTGGACCAAATGTTGCAGGCTTCATAAAAGGAAGATAGTCTTTAAGTTTAGGTCCATCATTTGATGGCAATGTAGGTTGTGGTGAACTTGGAGCAGGTGATGAAGGTTTTGGTGCTGAAGGCCTAGAAGGTGGCTGAGCTGAAATATCAAATCAGAATAACTTTGTTTTCAACAAAACTACTCAAAAACTAGGAATCTTAAGGAAGGTTGGGACCAGATTTGTCGGATGATGGATTAACATTCAAATGATCACGGTGATCCAAAATACTTCATCTTTAATTTACATACCTTTGGCAGCAAATCTGGCGTTAATTTGATCTCTTTCTTCTTGTTGGACTTTACAAACTCCTCTACATCTCTGTAGTAATCTGTTCACTGTTTCCTCTAACTTCTTATAATAATCTAATCCTTTCTGACTCTTAGCCATTAGATCTTCATAAACATTAAAGGAATTGATTAATTCTTTAACTCGAGTTTCACGTCTAAAATACAAAGTATGGCTAGTTTTAGTTTGTAAAGAAAATCATAAAAACAACTAAAAAATTCAATACTTAAGCTTGTAGTATATTATACTTACCTAGAGCTTCAGTAGTATCTTGTCTTATAGTAGCATACTTAGCATTACAATCTGTTAAAGCTTGTAGTATATTATACTTACCTAGAGCTTCAGTAGTATCTTGTCTTATAGTAGCATACTTAGCATTACAATCTGTTAAAGCTTGTAGTATATTATACTTACCTACAGCTTCAGTAGTATCTTGTCTTATAGTAGCATACATGGCATTACAATCTGTTAAAGCTTGCAGTATATTATACTTACCTACAGCTTCAGTAGTATCTTGTCTTATAGTAGCATACTTAGCATTACAATCTGTTAAAGCTTGTAGTATATTATACTTACCTACAGCTTCTGTAGTATCTTGTCTTATAGTAGCATACTTAGCATTACAATCTGTTAAAGCTTGTAGTATATTATACTTACCTACAGCTTCTGTAGTATCTTGTCTTATAGTAGCATACTTAGCATTACAATCTGTTAAAGCTTGTAGTATATTATACTTACCTAGAGCTTCAGTAGTATCTTGTCTTATAGTAGCATACTTAGCATTACAATCTGTTAAAGCTTGTAGTATATTATACTTACCTAGAGCTTCAGTAGTATCTTGTCTTATAGTAGCATACTTAGCATTACAATCTGTTAAAGCTTGTAGTATATTATACTTACCTACAGCTTCAGTAGTATCTTGTCTTATAGTAGCATACTTGGCATTACAATCTGTTAAAGCTTGTAGTATATTATACTTACCTACAGCTTCAGTAGTATCTTGTCTTATAGTAGCATACTTAGCATTACAATCTGTTAAAGCTTGTAGTATATTATACTTACCTTGCTACAGCTTCTGTAGTATCTTGTCTTATAGTAGCATACTTAGCATTACAATCTGTTAAAGCTTGTAGTATATTATACTTACCTTGCTACAGCTTCTGTATTATCTTGTCTTATAGTAGCATACTTAGCATTACAATCTGTTAAAGCTTGTAGTATATTATACTTACCTTGCTACAGCTTCTGTAGTATCTTGTCTTATAGTAGCATACTTAGCATTACAATCTGTTAAAGCTTGTAGTATATCATACTCACCTAGCTACAGCTTCTGTAGTATCTTGTCTTATAGTAGCATACTTAGCATTACAATCTGTTAAAGCTTGTAGTATATTATACTTACCTTGCTACAGCTTCTGTAGTATCTTGTCTTATAGTAGCATACTTAGCATTACAATCTGTTAAAGCTTGTAGTATATTATACTTACCTTGCTACAGCTTCGGTATTATCTTGTCTTATAGTAGCATACTTAGCATTACAATCTGTTAAAGCTTGTAGTATATTATACTTACCTTGCTACAGCTTCTGTAGTATCTTGTCTTATAGTAGCATACTTAGCATTACAATCTGTTAAAGCTTGTAGTATATTATACTTACCTTGCTACAGCTTCTGTATTATCTTGTCTTATAGTAGCATACTTAGCATTACAATCTGTTAAAGCTTGTAGTATATTATACTTACCTTGCTACAGCTTCTGTAGTATCTTGTCTTATAGTAGCATATTTAGCATTACAATCTGTTAAAGCTTGTAGTATATCATACTCACCTAGCTACAGCTTCTGTAGTATCTTGTCTTATAGTAGCATACTTAGCATTACAATCTGTTAAAGCTTGTAGTATATTGTTCTGAGCTGACATATTTTGATCTAATAATGTTTTCAATTTATCGTGCTTCTTTAACTGTTCACCAAATATTGCCTGAATATAGAACAAATCTTATTTGAACACAGGTATGGTGCTTGTTTTAAGAGATCTGCACATTTGAATTCATGGAATCAACCAGAAGTTCAATTAAACAATAAAAAGTCATCACCTTTTCTCCTCATCCAATCTAGGGACTGACTGAAAGGTTAGACCCCATCCAAGGGACCAGGCATAATGGGGCTTATAACTCCCATTAATTTTGAAAATTATCTCATTAGTCTGGCTTCAAAATAGTACTCTCCCAATCACTATGGTATAAAGGTGGAGATGCTAGGAAACCCATTGATCTGGGGTCCAAAGCTGCTCAGTGAGGTTTATACCCAAAACAGTGTAAGAGCTCATGTAAATCTGACCATACCTCTCTGTTGCTACCATCTTGTGTTACTAGAACATTAGTGATGTCATCTGACTGTATCTGATCTCGTAGCTGTTCATATAACATGAGTCGCTGTGTTTTCATTTCATCAATTTTAGACAACAATTTACGTAACTCTTCTATAATACTTTCATCTTCTGGTGCTGTCAACAAAACAACACAACATGGAGAATAATGCTGACTTAATTAACACCCTGAATTTTACCGAAAAGGTGAGCACTTTTCTGTTGAAAATTGGTTTGATATTGCCTATCTCATTGTCTCTTCAACATCAAAACATCAAAAGTATGAAACATTAAGATCTGCATTGATATAATAGTTTATGATGCCCTAATGCAATGTATTAATCACTTTGTATTTCAACTATTTGACACCCCTAAACTTTTTACTGAACTCTTCCACACATGCATTCTTTCCATCAATATGAAACTGTATATCCATGATTGGATGAGCTCATTTATAAAATTAGGAGTGCCACTTATTGGCTGTCAAATACATCCAGGCGTGTCATTATAATTACTAGTTATAGAGACATATGTGAGCAAACAAAACTGTCATATTAATACCTACATCTATTAGGTTGTAAGGAAGGTAAAGATGTCAGGATCTGTTCTGGAGGACCAGCTAATAGTCTGAGATTAGTAATATGTGTATTCATAGCTGTATGTAGGTTCTTATTTGACAGTGTCCCTTGTCGATGTTTTATCTGACTAGCATTAGCTTCTTTCCGTATATCAGATAATATCATATTACTTGTTCTGTTACCAAATAATTTCTAAAAAAAAAACAACAGATGAGACTTCTTAGGTAGCGAGTTGGAATGAGGTTTGCTAGGTGATAAGGTAGCCTGATTTTAAATTCTTGTAAATTCTAAATCAAATATTTAGATGACTGTATCAAGTGAGACATGTATTTTAGAAGTTAGAGAATGACAATACAATAGAAAAGGTTCACAAACACTTATATCAAATCTAACTTACCTGAAAATCTTCCTCTTTTTTGCTTTCTTCCTCTAATAATTCTAAGATTTCTTTTAGGTTTAATTCCACATCAGTAGATACACTAGACACAGCTGCAACAAAAATAACGTTCAAAATCACACAATTAAAATCTATAATAAACTTATAATTTCGTTTGAACCGATAAAATAGCACTGTACCGCAAAAAGGAAACCCCAAAAACAAGAACATCATAATCAGCAATACATTGAATCATAGCCTAATTGGTGCAGAACCCGCTGATAATGATTTCCCTTCTTGCTTTGATTTTGACGAACAAAGCCAGACAAGCAATATAGAGTTATTGTCATAGTGATGTCATAATTGGGTCAAACTTTTTTTATAATTACAGGACCAATAGTGGTCAAGCAGGGTATTTGAATGGTGAAAATGGAAGACGAAAGTGAATAGGTCACGGGTCTTGCTAACCTTAATGAATTATGCGATAGTGAAACCGAAGGAAGAGCAATATGAAAGTCTCTTTCGGGTTGCGCTAACCCACAATTCATTAACGTTAGCAAGAACGGCTTCAATATAACATGCTTTGATTGTTTTAAAAAAAAAAGTCATTGGAGCATGACTGCAGTAGAAAACTTGTTAGACAACAATGAAGATGAAAAATATCTGAAAAAAGAAAGAAATTGTAATTAGATTGAAAACTTACCTGACATTTGATCAATAAGATCTTTAATAGCATGAGTTCTTACACTTAATGCTGCACATTTCTCTAGTAAATCATCTGGTAACCTATCTACAGCAGGCTTTAATTCATTTACATCTATTTGTAGTGAGGATAGAAACTGACTGAAAATAATTAAATAACTAGAGCCACACGTGGCACAGAGTGGGACTTTGCAAATGTAGCAAAATGCAAAAGACTCTGAAAAAATCAACCGTCTACGATAATTACATCACGTGCAAGAGCAGTCTAAAGTTGAGAAGAATTGTTTGGAAGATTGTTATAACGGAAGTAGACAGACCTCACAAATGAAAGTATCAGAAGATAGCCAAGGTCAATGACATTTGATATTGAAAGGGAGACGGTCAACAAAGGTCAAGGTTACGAGATACAAGTCATCAAAATTTTTAAATATATACGGCCATAAAACCGGAAGTTGAGATAGGACAGCAAATATAAAAGTATAAATAGATATGTGAATGTTAATGACCTTTGATCCTTCAAAAATCAGGGTCAAAAAAGGTCAAGGTCAAAAATTGAAAATTTAGAATTTTCAAAACCTGTTCCTTTTTTTGAACTATGAAGCTGAAACAATCGAACTTCTAAAACAATGTGGCTCAACGGATGAAGTAATTGTATGCAAAGTTCCATTTTGAACAAATGCATATGTTATGAGTTATGTCCCTTGCCAAAATTGTCAATAATGAGTTATTTAACCTGGATGTGCTACGCCCACCTCAATTTCTTTTGCATAGGTTAATTGATATTCTGAATGTTATGTTGTGTTCCAAATTTAAAGCTTCTACATCATACAGGTCAAAAGATATAGGTCAACAAGAGTCAATAAAGGTCAAAATAGAAAATTGAAAATATGGAAATTTCAAAACCCATTCCTTTTTTGGAAATATAAAGCTGGAACAATTGACCTATTAACACAAACTGGCCAAAAGGATGAGGTAATTGTGTGCAAGTTCATTTTTGAACAAATGTATCCTATGCGAGTTATGCCCCTTTCCCAAAATGTAAAACAATTAGTAATTCAACCCGGATGTGCCACGCCCACCTCAACTTTTTTGTCATAGGTTAATTCATATTCAAATTGTCTTGTTGTGGTCTAAGTTTCAATGTTCTACATAAAATAGGTCATAAGATATATACACACCAAGCTCAAACAGAAATATTGTAAAAAAAAAACTCAAATTTGAAAAATTTATCAGGACAGCTGCATTAGCCTATCTTTTATTCCATGTTTAACTATCAGGGTCAAAATGCACTGACTGCAGCACAAAAAGTCTTATTGTTTCAATGTAGTATGCAATGAGGGAAATTTTGCCACAGCAGCCTATTTTTCGTTAAAATAAACAAAGCTTTTTGGACTGACAAGAAAAGTCACTTAAGATAACAGCCCTACCCAACTGAAAAAATAATCTGATGCGAATATCGTGGAATACCTACTCTAGTTCTAAATTCCTATCCTCTACTTCTCCTGATACCATTCTTAATAACTTTGCTTTTTCCTCACTGAAATATAACATTCTCTCTGTGTGAACTAGCAAATTTTTATTCTTTCGAAATTTTTTTTTAAGACATTGTAGTTTAGGTAATTATGTATAGAGCAAGGATAACAGGGATAACAACAGACGAAGAAGTATCTTGTCTACAGCCATCCTCAATTATTCCTCTATAATATGATCAGCTCAAAAACAGACATAATTCAAAAAATTTAACAAAAATCAACATAATTTGTTTTGGTTTTCCACCAAGAAACCAGAAAAAGTGTCCTAAGATGTTGATTCTTACCTATAGACAGATGAAGCTTCGTGAGCTTCCATTGGAACTAATTTCTGAAAAATATCAGGTCCTGAAATTTCTGGATCATTTGGGTTAAATGGAATCCCCTTCACTAATGAAGCACCTAAGAAATAATATATGAAATATTAATATGTAAGTCATATTAATTAATATAAGTCAAATAGATAAATGTAAGTCATACTTATAACTGCAAGTCATACTAATTCATGTAAGTCAGGCTAATGAATGTAATTAATGTAATGTATTAATAAATGCTAATTACTTCAGGTAAGTCAGACAAACTTATAAATTAATCAAAAGAGTTTAAAGAAAATGTACTCAATCAAGATTAAAACTAACCTTTGATTTCCGGTAAAGAATCCAATGGTGGCACTTTATCATGATACACAAAATCGTTATCTTTCTTAGCTGAATTATATCTGAAATTACAAAATCATTATCTTTATTAGCTGAATTACATCTGAAATTACAAAACCATTATCTTTCTTAACTGAATTATATATGAAATTACAAAATCATTATCTTTCTTAGCTGAATTATATCTGAAATTACAAAATCATTATCTTTCTTAGCTGAATTATATATGAAATTACAAAATCATTATCTTTCTTAGCTGAATTATATCTGAAATTACAAAATTAGCTGAATTATATCTGAAATTACAAAATCATTATCTTTTTCTTAGCTGAATTATATATGAAATTACAAAATCATTATCTTTCTTAGCTGAATTATATATGAAATTACAAAATCATTATCTTTCTTTGCTGAATTATATCTGAAATTACAAAATCATTATCTTTCTTAGATGAATTATATATGAAATTACAAAATCATTATCTTTCTTTGCTGAATTATATCTGAAATTACAAAATCATTATCTTTCTTTGCTGGATTTTATCTCAAATTACAAAATCATTATCTTTTTTTGCTGAATTATATCTGAAATTAAAAAATCATTATCCTTTCTTGTTGAATTATATCTGAAATTACAAAATCATTATCTTTCTTAGCTGAATTATATATGAAATTACAAAATCATTATCTTTCTTTGCTGAATTATATCTGACATTACAAAATCATTATCTTTCTTTGCTGGATTTTATCTGAAATTACAAAATCATTATCTTTTTTTGCTGGATTTTATCTGAAATTAAAAAATCATTATCCTTTCTTGTTGAATTATATCTAAAATTACAAAATCATTATATTTTTTTGCTGAATTATATCTGAAATTACAAAATCATTATCCTTTCTTGTTGAATTATATCTAAAATTACAAAATCATTATATTTTTTTGCTGAATTATATCTGAAATTACAAAATCATTATCCTTTCTTAGCTGAATTATATCTAAAATTACAAAATCATTATCTTTCTTTGCTGAATTTTATCTGAAATTACAAAATCATTATCTTTCTTTGCTTAATTTTATCTGAAATTACAAAATCATTATCTTTCTTTGCTGAATTATATCTGAAATTAAAAAATCATTATCTTTTCTTGCTGAATTATATCTGAAATTACAAAATCATTATCTTTAATTAGCTGAATTATATCTGAAATTACAAAATCATTATCTTTTTTAGCTGAATTTTATCTGAAATACAAAATCATTATCTTTGTTTGCTGAATTATATCTGAAAAACCAAATCATTATTTTTCTTTTACGTTTCTGGATAATATACCTGAAACTGATTACTTACTTTCCAGCAACTACATCTTGGGCAAATTTCAATGCATCAATTATTTCAGGAATTTCATTCTGAAAATAAACAGAAAGAATTCAACTTTGATAAACAGAATAATACCACATAAAATTAATAGCTTGAACAGTATTTGTGACACAAGGGGTTCACAGACCAAACGTAGGGGTACAGGGGAGATTTTACCATTTTAAGATGCTTTGGAAGTCATTTCCTATATATAGATATCTTTACATTCCTTAAAAATAATTCTTTGAGTTTTATTCCAAAGTCGAAAAAACTAGCACTGGCAGAATATAGGGAATTTCACTGGATCCATGAGAACCTGCATCCATATTTATTTCCAGTAAGACATTAGTGAGTGTTATTTTTTGTTATACTTGTGAAAATAGGTTTCTTTCTAGCTTATATCTTCCTATTAAAAATCATTACCTTGGCCGCTTTCATACTTTCTTGTAATTTCTCATGAGCCGCAGTGTAATAAGCCAGCGTTTCTCCCCATTTAGATTTTTCCTCTGATTCCTTGCCTGTATAATAATACATTATACACTGATAAAAACTCACTTTATATTCCATTCTCTTACGCCATTCCTACAAAATACAAAATGAGGTTTACCTGCTAAAGTAAAACATGGTAGGTATATGTAATATGTTACGTTTCAAGACATGTTCTCAAAGATACAAGGAAAATATTCTGTTTGTTAACGATACACCACAGAACAGTTTCAAGACAAATAAATCAAATTATTTTTGTATGCTTTATGAAACCTACCTTAAAACTTCGAGAATTGACTAAACTTTCTGAATTACAAGAATCTAGATTTTTAATAGCTGTTTTATAAAATTCCACAACTTGTGCAGCTACTTTGGCTGTTATAGTATTCTTTCTACTATCTATCATAGATTTCTCTAATATACACTCTTGTCCCTGGGCCTACAATTATACAATATATACAAATATAACTAATGATGTTATTGTAATGTTTTGTTGTGATTTAAAAAGATTTATGAAATGTGTTTTTGTGTCATGCAATTTTTTCCTACCCACCCAAGTGTCTTGATATGAAGTACTTAAACTGCAGCAAACAAAAATTGCCAAGTCTAATGCAAAAATAGAATATTTCAGTAGACAAGCACTTTTTATTTAAATGAAAACCAAAGCTTCCTATAAATGCAATATAACCATAAAAGGTATATAATAAACACTTACCAACATTAGCTGTATTTGGAATGTAAGCATCTCATGTGCCATATCTGTACTCATAGCAGAACTTCCAAAATGATCACGAAGATGTTCAAAGGCCCAGGCAGCACATTGAAAATGTGTACATGAGACCTTCATACCCTGAAAATAATAATATGGCTGTACATGTATTTGTCTACAATCTTTCTGTCCAAGTCTCTGACTGGCTGTATTAGCTAGTGAACAATCAAATCAAATTGCTGCATTTACAAACTTGCGTGATACAAGGTATTAATAGACAGAGACCAATTATTGATCTACAATATATCCAATCACAACTGATATCATTACGAAGCTAATATAAAAGATTTATGACAGGCACAAGTGGATTGAAACAAAAGTTGTACATTTTTACAGTTAAAAAAACACCAAGATTTTGTATTTTATCAGAAAAAGTAGATCCATTTGGAATCTTGTTATTGTTAGAGGAGGGGAAGAAGGACCAAATTTGTTTGAAAGATGGGAGAGAAAGTCAAACCTAAGTTTGTTTCCCCAGCGAACCTGAATCCAAATGGCAGGAGAATCCAGAAACAAGAAAATAAAATAGTATGGGGTATAAATGTTGATTTATCATGTAACAAACCTTACATGACTCGCTTTGCCAAGATCCACATGAATTCCTTAATTCAACTACTAACCTCAGCATTCTGTCTTGTATCTATAGCTCCCAGTATAGAATGTAAACATCCTATATTGTATAGTATACAAGCTTGTTCAAACTTGATATCAGCTATAACATGTTCTCTTCCAGTTTGTATATCCTCCCTAAAATAAAGATAGCTAACTAGGCATGGTAACCTAAAACTGCTTTGTTAAAATTAGGACAATAGGCAAAAGAAGCAAATAATAATCGATTAATACATGATTAATAATCGAAACACGCCACATTTAATGAAAAAAACAAAAAAGTGTAAAATGTACATGATTAAAGGCTTTATTAATTAATTTCATATATTTTAAATAAGGCAAATAATCAACAGTCCTTGGTGAATGGTGATGATAAACAATTTAGCCTACACAAAAATCCACCTTGAAATGTGCCCCATATTGACCAATTGTGGACAGACTGACATTGTATACATATATGGGTCACAACAACATATGCTTCACAATTCATGAAAATTGTGGACAAACTGAAATTGTATACATAAGTTATATGGGTCACAACAACATATGCTTTACAATTTATGAAAATTATAGAAACTATCACAACAAATTTTCCAACAATAGACAAACTGAATTGAGAATGTATCAACTTATAGCAAATTATCAAAGGCACTATAAGGCCTAAAAATGATTACTTACCATGTGAAAACCATGGAATTTTCACCCTCACCCAGAGGAAATCTTCCTTGTAGAAATTGTAATTGAGCATAATATTTCTTTAAAGTAGTACAACCAATAAAATCCCTTGAAACATGAACAGCAGACTGAAAATAATAAAAGAGGAAGAGATATTTAGTATTATTAACAGCTCATCTCATGTAACATGTAAGAATCTATGCCTATCGCAATAAAAAAGATATGATAAATATGGCTAAATGCTAAAGAGGGTTATATAAAAAAGTAACCCTCTATTTTCAAAGTTTCAATTATTAATTTTGACTGTAAAATTTTAACTCTGATGACCCAGCAATAGTTGACAAGCATGATGGTGGATGTTACATTGAAATTTGTCAATTAAATTTTTACAAAATGAAAGGACTATTAATTAAGACTATTTACCTGTCTTAATTGTTCAATATCTGCACAAGCTTTATTATACAGAGCTGGATCTTCACCATAATGTTCTTGAATGTACTGAAAATAATATGACAACATAATTTGTATTAATTATTATACAAAATTGAAAACTTCACAGGAAAACATTACAAATTTGATGCATTTCTAGTTATGGCTGGGTAAAGTAATCAACCATCTTTGCTAGGAATTTATAATATCCTTACTGTTTATCATAATACATAAGTGATCAAAAATATCAACATTATATTTTCTCCCGTGTACCCGTTAACAAGTCATAATTTCTTGCAATGTTTCCCTTCACCACATCACTTACCCACATTAAACAATAATAACTGATCAAAGCAATAATAATGCTTCTAAGACACAAAAATAACCCATGGAAAAAAAAATTTTGATATGATTTTTATTTTGTATTTAGGAGAAGATTTCTCACTTTAAATATTTTGATTATTAATCAATTATTGATAGGTATGATGACATCAGTAATTGATTGCAATTTGGTAATGGATATCCAGTCTTACTTCTAGTTCTGTAATTGGTTTGACAAATTTTTATATATTTCTTTAGATAAGATGACATTCAAATATGATAAGATGACCTCTCAAACTAATTAATGATTGAAATCAAAGCAAAGGTTTCAGAACTTGATATTGTCACTATGCATTGAATCATTTCTAAAAATAAAAACATGCAGGTCTGTCTAAGTTTAAGACAAGCATTGAATTCCCTGTATACAATTCATTGATTCATATGAAGATCTAATACAAAAGTTATCATGCAAGCGATCTTAAGAGTTTCACTCTAAGTTTATCCTCATCAAATATTTTGATGTCAAATGACGTTTCGAGAATGTCATGTACAATTTGACCTGAAGAAATGACAGGACCTGTCAAAAATGTTTTATTTCCATCAGAAAAACCGTATTTCAAAGATTCTAATTGATTTCAATGTATGAAATAGATCCAACTCTCGTGATTTTTACCTGTTTTAAAGCTGGAGCAAATTCTACATATTCTGGACTGTGTTTTAAATCAAATGAAAGCATCGGCAGTCGGGGAACTGCCTCCATTTTGGCTACATGCAAAACTAATCTTGTCTCGTGATAGCTACACAGAAACGAATTTTGTACGTTTTATTTTGATAAAGCATGATAAAACTAAGAGATCATGAACATGAAAAATATTTTCTGGCCATACAAATTTATTTGATTTCTTATTAATTCTGAACAGAATAGTTGGAAAAATTAGGTTTTATATTGTTTATAAGAATCTTCGTTTACTTACTTTCTTTGTTAGGCCACAATTTTTAAAATGCCACATCATAAAGAATGAATGAATAAAATCATTTTATTCTTTCAGATAAAATTTTCACAAGATTTATTTGACAGGTCGGTCTTTTATTGAAGGAAATATTTCAAGGATTTCTTCTTTTTGAATCCGACAACTTACTGTGAATCTATTAAACCTTAAAGGCCTACTAAACAAAAATAGCCTGGCTTGAAAAAAAAAAAAAAAAAAAAAAAAAAAGAAAAGAAATCAGCTGTTTCACTCTCACTGCAATCAAATTGGCTTTGTCTGATTGTGACTTGTTATGAATCGTAAGGTGGTGGTGGGGTGCAGCAGAATTGTCAAGAGGAGCTTACTGGCAATTATTTCCCTTTGTAAAATGATAACAAATATTAAGTCACAAGGTGGGATAAAGCTGGGTTAGATTTATTCCTATGAGGGCTCTGAGCTCTCTCCCCCACCTTATATTAGGTAGGGTATCTAATGAGAAATGGCTTCTCAGGTCTATTATAATTTTTTATTCTTTACAGCTAGACTAGATGGCCACATCTTCTTGAACTAGGCCAGGATTTGATGAATGTCATTTTAAGAATGGGTTGTTTCTGTGGTAAAGAAGCTATCCATGTAAATAACAGAAGCTTTTACACAAAATCTAGGCTAGGAGAGGGGTGAGATTTCTTTTTTGTTTTACACTTTTCATACTTTACTCTTGTTCCTAAATTTATATGTTTATCCGTTTTCAAATATCGTTGTGTAACTGTACATAAGAAATGAAACTGTCTTCAATCATATGAACAAATGTTTTTGTCAAGTTAATGAAACATATTTCAAATGGTCAAAGCCTTCAAGAAACTTTTTAAGATTTGAAATAATGTAGATTTATACTTTCTTAATTAAAAACAGGGGCTTCAGTTACGTAGATTTAGTAGAGGATGTCAACAGTCATAAATTATATGCTTTAAAGAAAATAACCTGTCACAGTAAAGATGATGAACGAATAGCATTAGAAGAGGTGGAGGTAATGAAACTATTTAAGCATGATAACATCGTTCCATTAGAAGAAGCTGCTGTAGTCCCTATCAATGTTTATACAAAAATGAGAGATGTAGTTAGTGAAGTTCTGATCATCATGCCATTTTATAGAGTAAGTTTTTTTTATCAATTTATTCTCATGGTAAGTAATAAATCACGAAATAAGAACCCAAAGCCCCACTTGATATGGTGGTCAAAGGTTAAAATCTATATCATTGTGCAAATTTCAAGATACTTTGCATAAATAAATAATTCCAATTACCAGCTGTAATGGGTTAAAGGTTTGGCCAAAGACCAGGTGGTAGTAGTGGTGAATTGGTGAATTTTGATAAGTTGTTATTTTTATTAAATATGGTTGGTTATGAATCATTTTCTTTTTTCTGCATTTAGCAATGTTTTTTTTTTTTTGCAGAGAGGTTCAATTGAAGATCAAATGGAAAGATTAAAAAAAAAAAATGAACATATGTCAGAAATTGATTTATGGAAAATGTTCCTTCAGATATGCGAAGGTCTGAAAGCAATGCACCATCACAATCCCCCTTATGCCCACAGGTAACTATGTTATAGCAGTTACCTTAAGTGCGAATTCTGATACTAATGAGTGTATCCAACAAGCAGAAAAAGTTCTATAAACTGGCATGTACTCAGCTTATCACCCTTAAATAAATGTTTTGGTAAGTTACAGATTACAATAGGTGGCCCAACCGAATGTTTTGTTACAAATGGCGACTGGGCGAGTGCTAATTTGATCGTGTGATATTCTTATCTGGGGCAATGAACCAGAGCTGTGATGAAGAACAGTGGCCGGTAGATGTTTAAATATTTGAGAACTTTAAACACTATGACACTCTTCGAAATCCAACATATTTTGACAGGCCCATTGGGTGTCGGATTACACAAAGTACACTGTACCTGCAGCATGCTAAAGCACTACATTAGCAATTGTACAGTATTTTCACCAGTAATAATGACCTTTTTCAGAGATGTGAAACCAGCTAATGTTATGATTGGAGATGATTCTACACCAATATTGATGGATTTAGGATCAGCAGCCAAAGCTAGAGTAGAGATTAAAACCTCAGCTCAAGGTCGAGCGTTGCAAGTTAGTATAGTTTTCACATACTTGCATATTATGTAATACCTATATAGTTATAACATTATAGATATTTCTTTACTTTTCTCAATGATCTATATATTCTTTACTTTTTTCCATAACCTAAATATTTCTTTACTTCTTTCCATGACCTAAATACTTCTTTCCATGACCTATATATTTCTTTACTTCTTTCAACGACCTAAATATTTCTTTCCATGACCTAAATATTTCTTTAATTCTTTCCTTGACTTAAATACTTCTTTCCATAACCTAAATATTTCTTTACTTCTCAAAACGACCTAAATATTTCTTTACTTCTCAACACGACCTAAATATTTCTTTACTTCTCAAAACGACCTAAATATTTCTTTCCATGACCTAAATATTTCTTTAATTCTTTCCTTGACTTAAATACTTCTTTCCATAACCTAAATATTTCTTTACTTCTCAAAACGACCTAAATATTTCTTTACTTCTCAACACGACCTAAATATTTCTTTACTTCTCAAAACGACCTAAATATTTCTTTACTTCTCAACACGACCTAAATATTTATCTACTTCTTTCCATGACCTAAATATATCTTTACTTCTCAACACAACCTAAATATTTCTTTACTTCTCAACACGACCTAAATATTTCTCTACTTCTTTCCATGACCTATATATTTCTCTACTTCTCTCAATGACCTATATATTTCTCTACTTCTCTCAATGACCTATATACTTATTTCCATGACCTATATATTTCTCTAATTCTATCAATGACCTATATATTTCTTTACCCCTTTCAACAACCAAAATACTTCTTTCCATGACCTATATATTTCTTTACTTCTTTCCATGACCTAAATATTTCTTTACTTCTTTCCATGACCTATATATTTCTTTACTTCTTTCCATGACTCATATATTTCTTTACTTCTCTCAATGACCTATATATTTCGTTACCTCTTTTAACGACCTAAATACTTCTCTCAATGGCCTATATATTTCTTTACTTCTTTCCATGACCTAAATATTTCTTTACTTCTTTCCATGACCTATATATTTCTTTACTTCTTTCAACAACCTAAATATTTCTTTCCATGACCTAAATATTTCTTTCTTTCCTTGACTTAAATATTTCTTTCCTTCCATGACCTGTAGGACGTAAAACTCCATTCATTTCATTTCATTTCCTTACATGACCTTATTTCTTTTCTTCTCTCAATGACCTATATATTTCTTTACCTCTTTCAACAAACAAAATACTTCTTTCCATGACCTAAATATTTCTTACTTCTTTCCATGACTTAAATACTCCTTTCCATGACCTATATATTTCTTTACTTCTTTCAAGGACCTAAATATTTCTTTACTTCTTTCAAGGACCTAAATACTTTTTCCATGACCTATATATTTCTTTACTTCTCTCAATGACCTAAATACTTCTTTCCATGACCTAAATATTTCTTTAATTCTTTCCATGACCTAAATACTTCTTTCCATGACCTAAATATTTCTTACTTCTTTCCATGACTTAAATACTCCTTTCCATGACCTTTATATTTCTTTACTTCTTTCAAGGACCTAAATATTTCTTTACTTCTTTCAAGGACCTAAATACTTTTTTCATGACCTATATATTTCTTTATTTCTCTCAATGACCTAAATACTTCTTTCCATGACCTAAATATTTCTTTAATTCTTTCCATGACCTAAATACTTCTTTCCATGACCTAAATATTTCTTTAATTCTTTCCATGACCTAAATACTTCTTTCCATGACCTAAATATTTCTTTACTTCTTTCCATGACCTATATATTTCTTTACCTCTTTCCATGACCTATATATTTCTTTCCATAACTTAAATACTTCTTTCCTTCTATGACCTAAATATTTCTTTACTTCTCTCAATGACCTAAATATTTCTTTACTTCTCTCAATGACCTATATATTTCTTTACTTCTCTCAATGACCTATATATTTCTTTACTTCTCTCAATGACCTAAATATTTCTTTACTTCTCTCAATGACCTATATATTTCTTTACTTCTTTCCATGGCTTAAATATTTCTTTCCATAACTTAAATATTTCTTTACTTCTTTCAATGACCTAAATACTTCTTTCCATGACCTATATATTTCTTTACTTCTCTCAATGACCTATTATTTCTTTACTTCTCTCAATGACCTAAATACTTCTTTCCATGACCTAAATATTTCTTTACTTCTTTCAAGGACCTAAATACTTCTTTCCATGACCTAAATATTTCTTTAATTCTTTCAACGTCTTTCCAAGAAAATAAGGATCATGCCAAGATGATAAAGTATTTTACTTCTACTCCTGAAAGAGGTCAATAAAGCATTGAGGGAAATTTGGTTAGGATCGCAAATTTTGATTCAACCTAAACTCCAAGATAAGCAGGCAAGTCTTTAATTTGTCAAGCTATCCAAGGTGCTAAGCTAATTCAATATGTATCAATTTCCAGGACCAAGCAGCTGAAAGATGTTCAATGTTATATAGAGCTCCAGAATTATTCAATGTAGAAACTCATTCGACAATAGACGAACGTACAGATATATGGGTAAGATAAATTTTCTGAAAATGATCTGATTCATTAGCTTAATCTCTTGCTCAATATGGTTTAAGCTAGGAAGATGTTTTCTGATCTTTTTATGTGTATTGGTTACACTGATTGCCCAATTCTAATTAGCAGTCAGATGTCTGTGGGTCTTGCAATTCCTCTAAAACAACGAAGTGCCTATCACAAAAGCTTTTAGTAATAACTTAACTTGTCATGTTTATGTTTTGAATCAAACCTGGATGTGTATAAATATCTTTGTTCTACTATTATTTCCCAAAAATATAAGTAACTTTTGAAACGTTTTAATTTAATTTCAGTCATTAGGCTGTGTGTTATATGCCATGGCATATTTAGAATCACCATTTGAAAGTGTATATCAGAGAGGTGATAGTATAGCATTAGCTGTGATGGGGAGGAATCTAAAATTTAAAGATATAGGGTAAGGTATCTGCACAATGACATGCTATTAAAACTTTGTACTAATACCTTGACTGCCATAGCCACTATTTTTGTATCACAGAATGCAGTGTACATCAGCCAATCAGAGCCCTCGACAGAAAGCCATGTGTATTTTGCCTTTTCTTTTTTCTAATGTTTTGATTATACTGCACTGTACCATGTCAATTCATACCTTAAAGGGACAGATGCACCATTTTTTTGACAGCTCACCGTCCAAATTTGAGCCTTCAAATGCATATGTGTCCAGTATTATCTGCATTTGAAAGTTAAAATGACGACTCGTCAATATAAGATACTCTGTGATATATAGAAATGACATTTATAGAAATATTGAGTAATATTCATAGTTTGAAGTATTTTTAAAGGAATTATTTGAGTTTCGTACATTTCTTGTACTTCTGAAGACTATTAACATATATTCAAGACTCGAATTAACTCCCTAAACTGGTGCATATGTTAAAGCAGACAGCAAAGTTTGTGTTACCCTTATATATCTTTGCTCACCTATTAACATTTTGTATAACAAAGATTTGGTTTTTATTTTAGTTACAGTCATAATGTAGAAGAGACAGTGTGTTTCTTAATGGCTATAAATCCTATGGAAAGACCGTTTATAGATAATGCGATAGATAAAGTGACCGACATTATAAACTCTATGGAAAATAGAGTCTGACCTGACGAAAATGGTTCGAAAGCATACAACTGGATCTTAACTGAGATAAATTCCAAATTTTTAGACGGACGGTCAATTGATTGGATATAAAAACTAAGTTTTAGTTATTGACCAATCAGATAACTGCAACACCCAAATCATCGTAAGATATAAATCCAGATATGAAATACAGCAATCTGATTGGATAATAAAACTAAGCTTTAGTTATTGACCAATAAGATAACTGGAATACTAAATTCATTATAAGATAAAAATCCAGATTTTAAAAATATAAAAATCCGATTGGATCCTTAAACTAAATTTGAATTATATTTTAGTGATTAACCAATCAGGACAGGAATGATAAAATCATCCCAAGTTAAGCTTTTGAGAATAAGGCCCCTGGATAATTCCTATAAATGTGTCAACAGTGTTGTTCAGAGATGTTTACAAATTATATAAATATTATAAATTTGTCTAAATATTTGCTAAACCAGTGGATAGATCTCATTTATATGTCTGTATCACTTATCAGAAATGAAATCCGATTTGTAACTCAACATAGTATAGACATTCAGACTATCTCCACCTCCATTTTTGGGTTTTGAATTTCCAGCATGAAAATTTTATATTTAATATATATGTTAATATTAATGTTATTATGCCTGAATACTGATTTCATTTTGTGCAATAAATATTAATGGATTGTAATTAGGTTTTATAAACTAATTGTGTGTATTGGGACCATTTATTTGCATTATTAGAAACCTTTTCACAATCTTTTTAAGTCTATAATTCATTATTGCTTACATTCCAGTTTAAATGGTGATGAAAAATTGCTCAAAGTCATTTAAATTATGTATCATTTTATGTTTAGTTGAAATATAAACTGTATTATACAAGTAACCAATTAAAAAAATATGGACTGCTCATGATTATGTGAAAGGGACACATTCACCATCTGTTGACCAATTGTACCATAGTTTCAGATACGGGATTATTTTTAGTTAAGCGAATCTTTTCTTGATACTGTGCCATATATAGAAGAGACTTATATAGATGTAGAAAATATCTACTTCTGAAGACTATTTACATATACCAAACTGTCGACAATGGCGATCCATGTCCTTTGAGTCAAATTAAGATATTATTGCATATCCTGGTCCTATTCAAAACAAAACATAAAACTTGAATAATCCACTTTATATGTAAATGAATAGAAATGGAAACTAATAAGCTTTTGAAACTTGTTTTGTATCACTACTTACACTACCTAAAAATAAAGTAGACTGGTCCTGTATATGATTTGTATCGGACTTGAATGTGCAAAAATATATTTACTTGACTTAACCGAAACATCCCATATTTGCAGATATATTACATATTATTGATTATATTAACCTGTGTATATTTCTGATGTGTAAATTTGGTAGTAAATACAAAAAGAATCAATATATGTGCATGTATGGTTCAGATTTTTTGGGATGGGCCACATTGGCTCAGTCAGTAACTGTTAGTCTGACAGAGGCTTGTGTGCTGGCCTGCAAGATGATACATTCAGAATTTGGATATAACAATAAATTAGTGGCATTTCTATTGGGCTGTCTCATACCAGTTCTTTCATTTTTCTTCAAATTCATAACATTTTTTAATTTGCTTAATAAACAACAATGTCAATTTTCAATTTTTTCATTTCTTTAAATTATGTTAAATGAACATAAATAACACCATCTCTCAATGTTCCATATCCTCTTCATCAGAACTGTGTATAGCATCTAAATCTTGTTCATGGAGAAGACCTCCATCATCATCATCATCATCATCATAACCTATAAAATAAGTACCATGAAATAATTTCACGAGGATCTTGTAAACCACCATCTGAATCTAGTCAAAACCTAATGGAATTTATGTTTCCTTGGTTATAGGTTTTATGAAAAAAAGACTTATCCAAGGTCCATAAGATTTTTCATTCTGGATATAAGCTATCTGATGTTTTTTTTGAATACGAATCTTGACATTCTATTCTCCTGCCATTAAATATTTTTAATCTCGTGCAGATATGACCTTCATCTCTGAGATATGGATAAACTGAGATGAAATTTACAATTACACACATACCATCCAAGTATTCCTGAGCCAGCAAGCTCCCAGATGTCAAGGTTTGTCCCCCATACAACTGATATTTTTATACAAGGACGCCTACCTGGAGGTAATTCTTGTAACAATTCTTCTATATGTTTATATAAATCAGGATCATCATAATTATTCTTCTTGTACACCTACAATGTATTACAGATTAGTAAGCATCTTTGCCAAAACTATGCCCCCCTCTCCACCTCAATAAATAAATAGATTGGAACTGGATTCACTTCATCTATCCAAAAAGCTTTGTATGTTGAAGTGACAATGTTTCAAGTTCACTTAGACTGAGCATTTGAAGGAATCCCTATTGCAAAGGCACTTTCATATTACAAGCAGCTTTTGCAATAAAATGGGTCATAAAGCACCATGCAATCAGTGTTCCAGATACATATAAACAAGTTAAGAAAGTCTCTTACAAACACTTTAAATCAATTCACACCATTCACAAAAAAAGAATTCCAAGAGTGGCTGGACCATGACATCAACTAAAGATAGCGGCATGTGGATGGTAAATATTAAAGACTTTGGGGCAAGGGCAATAAATCTGCTTCTTATGGTCGAAAATAGCTCAAATTCAAACTTGATCTTCGTTTTATGAATATGTATACACATACCGAATTTCATTTGATTCCATCAAAAACTCTAGGACATAAGGAATAATAATGATTACTTACTTTATGTGCTTTATTTAAATAGAATCGGGCATTATTTTTATAATCTTCTCCCTGAAGATAGTTAGCCCACCCTATTAAATACCATACTTGTGGATCTTCATCATTTTCGTCCAATAATCCTTCTGCTACATCTACAGCTGACTAGTATAAAAATAATCAGACAATTTTATTACAATCCTTCTCCTACATTTACAGCTGACTTGTATAAAAACAAACAGACATTTTATAACAATCCTTCTACATCTACAGCTGACAAGTAATCAGACAATTTTATTACAATCCTTCTCCTACATTTACAGCTGACTAGTAAAAAAAACAAACAGACATTTTATAACAATCCTCCTGCTACATCTACAGCTGACAAGTAATCAGACATTTTATTACAATCCTTCTGCTACATCTACAGCTGACTAGTATCAAAATAATCAGACATTTTATAACAATCCTCCTGCTACATTTACAGCTGACTAGTATAAAAATAATCAGACATTTTATAACAATCCTTCTGCTACATCTGCAGCTGACTAGTATCAAAATAATCAGACATTTTATAACAATCCTTCTGCTACATCTACAGCTGACTAGTATAAAAATAATCAGACATTTTATCACAATCCTTCTGCTACATCTACAGCTGACTAGTATAAAAATAATCAGACATTTTATTACAATTGTTCTGCCCCATCTACAGCTGACTAGTATAAAAATAATCAGACATTTTATTACAATCCTTCTGCTGCTTTAACAGCTGACCAGTATAAAAATAATCAAACATTTTATAACAATCCTTCTGCTACATCTACAGCTGACAAGTATAAAAATAATCAGACATTTTATTACAATCCTTCTGCTACATTTTCAGCTGACTAGTATCAAAATAATCAGACATTTTATTACAATCCTTCTGCTACATTTACAGCTGACTAGTATAAAAATAATCAAACATTTTATAACAATCCTTCTGCTACATCTACAGCTGACAAGTATAAAAATAATCAGACATTTTATTACAATCCTTCTGCTACATTTTCAGCTGACTAGTATCAAAATAATCAGACATTTTATTACAATGTTTCTCTTACATCCAGCTATTTTTCAGATGTCAAAAATAATTATCATTAAGAAGGACTCAAACAATTTCTAAAACAAATCTGCAGATAGCTGAATAAAAAATAAATATGTGTATTTTGGCCATATATGGCTTAATATATGCATTATTCCAGTTTTCAGTCAGATGTCTGTAGTTCCTGTAATAATAGAAATGCTTAGCCATATAAAGCTTAGTTTGTGCAGAAAACCTCTTTAACAAAAAATCTGTAGAATAGTAAAACCACTGACCTGATATTCTTCTACTTCTATTAATATTCTACATGTATTAATTCTACTTTCAAATGATAATGGTACAATCTACAATTAAAATTACACAAGACTGTAAATAGCTCTACAAATTAGAGCACGTGAAATTACTCTCTGCTCACAGTCAGCTCAAGACAAAGCCAAGGTGTTTCTTGAACAGTACCTAAACAGGACCTTTGGAAAAGGTTTGATCAATTAAAATGAACGAAAATTGTTTGCACTTGTTTGTAAGGTAAATTTCATGATTCATATGGAAATAAACATAGTAAATACAAAACATAATGAAACAGTCTGAAGCCATTTAGGATTCCATTCATAAAAAAATATTGAAGAATGTAACTTAGCAACTAGCATGGAAAGTGGCATTTCAACTGATATTTCATAATTATGTCTCAAAATGAGACTTTGTGCTGTCGGAACATATTGTCATGTGGGTGTAAAAAATACAAACCTGAACAGGATCAAACTCTGTATCAGGTAATTCCTCTTCTTTACATTTGGCTTTAGGTAACCATAGTGATAAGCTTTTATTTATCATTTCTTTACCTTCCTATATTTTACAATAAAAAATTATACAATTTTATTTCTTACACGGGAGATGTGGTGGCCAGGCAATTTATATGCTTGCACTTATCTACTTGACAATCCCTCTAAACGAAGAGTGACAACATATATTGTTAAACATTTCTATAATTACTAATTACAGTAACCACAGACAGACATATTTGGAAAGACGCAAATAGAACTCATAAATACCCTTTATAAACATTAAACATTAGGAAAACTTCTTTAACATCTACCTGTTTTTGATCCAAAGATAAAAGATAACTAGCTTTAAGTTGATAAGCCTCAGCATTATTAGGATCTGATGATATAGCAGACTCTATATTTTCTTTACATTTACTTTCAGCTGAATCATCAAAACTAAAATAAAACATAGTCTTTGCACTTTCCAGGGTATAACGACAGGCTGTAAGCACAGTGCAGTACTTTTACGCTTTTCCAATTTTAAGTAGACATCTGTTGGCTTTGCAATTCCAATTAAACAATTCATTGCAAAGTGATTTATGGTTTAGCATTTCTATAATCGTAGGAACCACATAATGTCTGAATGAAAATTGGAATGGTGCAAATAGATGCTATCAGTGTAACCAATACACATAAAAAGTACAGAAAACTTCTTCACAAAACACATTAATAATTCTGACTGAAAACATCTTGAAAAATGTATTTGTAACTTACCAACAATCTGTCATGTATATTTCAGCTATAGAACAATAGGCATTAGATATATCTATAGGTGCTACTGGCTTGTCTTCACTTATATTACTAGCTCCTACTATCTCCTAAACATAAAAAAAACTTGCTTTGCATTTTGAATTCAATTTGAAAAATTAGACTCCCAATTCACAGTATCTTGGTTTCAGATGTGACCAGAGAGCCCATGACTCTTTCCAAAGGCCCAAGAAATTGATTTTATGGAATTATGCATTGTATCATGGTAAACATAATATTATTGAAAGAATACTCTTTCAAAATGCATAAAATGCAGGGTTTAAGCTGCTTATTTTCAAAAATCTTTCCTTGGGCACTCCTTTGGATGGATTTGAAAAAAACATATACAGAAGTTAATATCACAGGGGTTAATGTGAAAAAAAACAGACTGAAAACGAAAAAAACAACTCTACTTACAGCTTCCTTTTGTTGAGCTTGAATCATAAGTTCAATTCCTTTAGAGAAATATTTGATAGCATCAGCACCTTTATTGAGTTGTCCTAAATACATGTACTTAGCATGCCCTTCTTCTGGACTAATCTCAACAGACCTCAGAAAACACTGAAATCAAGAGGATTATAAGTAATATGATTTACAACAGATAGAAACATGGGGTGTAGAACTCAACGTTCCATTAGAAAACTAGAATAGAGCATTTTTGTTGAATAGTATAAGAATCAGTGGTTAGATTTTAATTATGAAAGTGATATGTGTAGCTGTAATTGAACTTTCAGAACGTTTGACTTTCTTGATCATTTGATATAAAAAAACTCATACTGTTATCTAAGGCACTTGGTTGTGGTCATCTGCAAGGTGATGCAATAAAGATGCAAAACACTAAAGTTTATCTAAGATTTGGTACAAATCGCTACTGTCCCTGATACACATAAAAAGCTTAGAAGATCTTTTTATAATCACTTAATGCTCTGGATTTCTCAATTTCAAAATCAAACTACCTGTTCAGCTGATTCTTGATCACCTAATTCCAATAACACACTACCAGTTAACTCTAAAGCTCTGATGTTCTCTCTGTCCACTTCTAAGGCTCTCTGACAAAACTTTTGAGCTAAATCATAATCAAAATTATCTAAAAATTCTTCAGCCTAAATGAAACAAAAAAATCTATGTTAAGGTTTTGAGTACCAGTATAGCATAAAAAACGACTAGGGTAACAACTACGGTTAACAAGGATTCTGTTTACCAACTGGTCCTTAACCTAAACCTTTTAATACTGATCTTTCATGGATCTAAAATAGAATAATGGGGAAATACTTATTCAACAACAACCACAATTTATTCAATTTTATCAAGCAAGTATCGTCATGTAAAGATTCCCACACTTTAACTGACTGTGCTACAGCCTGTTCTCAATTACATTCAGCTTAAAATTTAAATCCATCAAACTTAGTTGACTAATTTCCATCAAATTGTCCCATTCATGGAAAAAGGCACTTTTACCATGTCTGAGGCTTTTGAACATTACATTACTAATAGGGGAGGTCAGTGAGGAGTAGGAGTGAGTATGTCTACTGATCTACATTTAATTATTAGATATATGTTTCTATTTGACTTACTTTATCTAAGAGTTGATCAACACTGTATGTTGAACTGGTTTTCTTCACAGCAACATTCTCTTTATTTCTTGTTTCTTTAATGTTTTTCCTTCTATCTTCTAAAATTCAGAAAAAAACATAGGTTAACTTCTGATAGATATATTCACAGATTTTTAGACATAAATACATGTTTATCGTTAGAGGGACTGGTGCGCCATTTGGGGGTTTGTTTTGAGTCTTGAAAATATGAAAATAGTTTTCAAAAGTACAAGAAATGTACGAAAATCGTATAATTCCTTCAAATACAGTGGTGTAACCTATTTTCGTGGATATAAGGATTCAACACCGAATTTCGTCAAAATTAAAAAACAAAAAAAAAATTTTTATGTCTTAGATGTTTCCTCAGATATTCTACAAAATAATTAAAATTGGTTTATTTCGATTTTCTTTATGAATCCTTCACTTTGACCCATATTTCACTTCTCTTAGTATTTATCTTTAATATCAATTCAGTATAACTAGTGACAATTCCTTCAAAGAACCACGATTTAAAAAAAAAATAGTGACTGACAAAATAAGATACGTAGCGTGATTTATTGATAAAAGTCACGATTACGGCTAGGGATTATAAGGAAATTCGGCTGATAAAAAATGGTGACATTTGGTAATAACTGAAATCCGCCATTTTGTATTTGTCAAAGTATACATTAATACATTTTACCTTGCTTGAAACTACTGGATTCATTCTACTAGATGATATTGTAGAGAAAACCCATGTTTATTAAAACAAACTAATGTGGAGGTCGCGCAAGGTCGCTCATGTCAATTATTAATCCTTTCCGGAAATCCACGAATAATAGGTTTCCACGAAATTAGGTTACTCGACTGTATATCTCAAACTAGTCTTTTTCTATGTATCACAGAGTTTCTTAAAATGAAGAGTCGTCATTTTAACATTAAGAAGACTAAGACTAAGGTATGATCGGTCAGAAAGAATGGCTAACCTGTCCCTTTAAACAATAACCCCTGATCAATAGCAATATGGGACAAATTTATACAAAAAGCTTTATAAACAAAGCAACCTCTTCTAGTTCTATACAAGAATGCCCATACAGACTAACATTCAAGAGTTTTGTGTTTGAAAATCTGGCGGCATCCTTAATGTTTATCATCTCAGTTCCTTCTACAAAATTAATGTAGTAATCAATAACATACCTAATGTAATGTGAAAAATTGCTACCGTAAAATGGGATGACTTGAGCAGTGTTTTTAGAATTTGTGTTAACATATTTATTTCCAAGGCTAAAAATCTGTGTTGACAAATTCGTTTGATTTCATGATTATTTGAACTTGCATATTGTCTGAGCTTGCAAACTATTACCTAAAGATGTTTTCTCTCGTTTCTTGAATCTATTCTTTCCCATTTTAACACATGTACCGAACACAAAACGTTTTACAAATAGAAATGTAATTTCTAAAAAATGTAATCTGACATTTCACACGTGTGTTTGTTGTTAGTAGGTGGCGCTCAAATCGGTCTGAAAATGGTAGCGTCTAAAGTTTGTATTCGGACTAGGCTGGTATAATCTAGAATTAGATATTGGATTTCAAAAGGTATAAAAAAAAAACGCTTTTCGAATTATTCACTTTTTCACGGCATGATAATAATAATTTGACACTCGTGCCTCCCCCTCTAGGCGGAAAATAGCCTACATCTAACGCGATTTTGGCAGTGAGAGTAGAATAAATTTTCAGTTTTTTAGCCTGTGAGGGGGAAGGGATATGGTTCCCCCTCAATCCATCACTGGAATAACTATTAAGTTATCGCTATGATGTGAGCTGTTTAGGTGATTGATTAAACGGGTTAAATACAGATTATCAAAAAGAGCAAGGCTACTGTTAAGTAATTATCTTAATTAATTAGTATGTTGTCTGCCGTGATATATTCGTAGTGGGTCTTATTAGTACTAATATCAGAATATAACTAGAATACTACCTGATGGGTTGAACATCAAATTTAATTTGCAAAACTTGGCCAATTAGAGTATATATTCAATATTCATCAATGGACTTACCTGGCGTCTTTACTTCTGCTACATGGTACAGTTTGATTTGAAGATCATCATTATATACTAAGGAATAATAATAGGCCTAAATTGCCCCACCCATTACAATCCACCCCCCCCCCCCCCCTCCCATTAAATATGTCAATTTTTATTTTGAAATACATTAATTCATTTTACTGAGACAAAGAGAGTCTTTGTTTTAAGACAACTAATCCTGAGCCTTAAATTAGTCAGGAAATGTCAGGAAATCGCGTTTCAGGAGGTCCAATTCTCTAAAATTTTCTAGAGGAGGTTCCGAGACTTCAGAAAATCGTGTTCAAGGCTTCTAATTTTTCTAAGCAGCATACCAAAGATCTATATAAATAATCTTGAACCTTGAATTCACTGGGGAAGGTCAGGAATTTGCGTTTCCAGGCGTCTAATTATCAACATTTTCTTATGGTGGTCCCAAAGTTCCTATACAAATAAACCTTAAATTCGCCAAGAAGTGTCATGAAATCGCGTTTCAGGAAGACAAATTCTCTAAAATTTTCTAGAGGAGGTTCCCAGACTTCAGAAATACGTGTTTCCAGGCATCCTCGGCAGCAGTAAAGATAGCAATAACTATTGGACGTTTGAAATGTTGAAAGATGAGATACAATGGATCCCGGTGAAAGGTGTCAAGCCTTATAATTGGCAAAATATCTCATGAAAATCAAATTTAATTTGATTCGCGGCTGGTCGTGATAAATTTTGATTTTGGATAATTATATAAGAATTTTTGGATCGCAAAATTAGTAATCATAGTGGGATATCTCGGGTGAAGACTAGTATAGGGAAAAGTGATGGATAGAATGATAAGGTATTTTTAATAAGAATAGATACGCTATATTACTGATATATATATTGATTTGAAATGTCACCAACGTCAACTCGGTCACTTATCATTGAAAGCAGGAGTAAACTGCTGGAACAACGGAACTATTTGTATGTAGTTTCCTCTACAATTAGTGAGTTATTGATTTAACACGGAAAGAACTATAGCGATATTTTGACACTGCAGATAGTAATTTAGTGATAGGGTTAGACGGCAGACACCTGGACGACTTTCGGAAGCAATGACTGTGTCATCAGAAGTTTTCTAATCTCGAAAAAGATTTGAAACCTAATCGCCTAGCAGACAACAAAAAATTTTCAATGGTGGGTATTTGTAGATGACGAAAATTTCGGATTAGAACTGCGAAAAAAATAAAATGTTAAGAATTATACGGTGATGAATTTTTGAAATATTGGATCTGATGGGAAATATTGGATTTTTTTTTAAATAATGAATATTATTTGAAATGGTGATATTGAAATTGTTTTAAAATATTGGATTTGTTTCGGAATATTGGACCTGTTTCGAAATACTGAATCTGTTTTAGAATAAAGGATTTGTTTTGAAATAACGGACCTGTTTTGAAATATTAGTTCTGTTTTGAAATATTATTTTTGATGTTTTGTCATAGGCTATTGAATCCTTTTGAATTTGTTGGATCTTTTTTAAATTTTGGATCTTGTTGAAATCTTGGATATATTGTGAAATATTGGATTGGCATATGTTATGAAATATTAAGACATTGAAGTTGAAATAAAATTTTCCCGACCAGGCAAATGGTGGTTGACATATTTTGGCAAATATTTACCATTAACGTACTGCGCCAAGTTCGATGTGGTGACGACAGTTACAATTGGCACGCCAGGTTTTTGTTGAATTTCTGCAAAGTGATATGGATTTCTGAAATTGAGTTCTATTTGATGGTATTTGAAGGATAAAGCTGAATGAATTTTTGTGTTATCATTACACCTGAAAATATTTCTATTATATGCTATTTACATCTATGTAGCAACTGATCAAATTGAGTTGTTATAAAAAAGTTAAATGAAAACGGATAATACTAATTGTTAATTAAGCAGTGTGACCTAGTTTTGGTGTTTGTATAATGACATGATGCTATTCATTGGAACCTCAGTAAGAGGCATATTTCTCTACAATTAAAAGACGTTTGTTTTTCTTTCTTTCTTTTCTTATTAATTTTATAGTTTACGTTAACTTTTTAAATAGTTTTGGCTTTAAAAAATTAGCGACTAGAGTTTTCTGGTTTAAACTTTCAGATACGTAAAAGGAATTGTAAAAAGGTTTTTCTAAATTTTTCATGTGATTAGTGAACACTGATAGCATCAATTTGCTCTATTCTCAGAAGTGGTCCTTATCTGACAAAGCATTTTTGCGATTAGTGAAGTCACAAAACACTTTGTTTTAGTGGAATTGCAGGAATCAAAGAGGTCTGATTGGAAAATAGAATGGTGCAAATCGATGCTGTTAGAAAATCTCTTTACAATCCCTTTAAGGGACACATTCCTTTTGATTTGGTGTATAGTTTTTTTCCAAAACTTGACGTTAACTTAAATTTTGTGATAAAGTAGAAGATTATCTGTCTGCTGATCATGTGCTATATATAGCTAGGTTGATAAATCACCAAGTGTTCTGTACAAAATTGGAAATAATGACACTTAGACCTATTTTGAAGTTCTTTTCATAGTTTCATTTGCTTGGTTATGCCGGACATGGTTGCATTTTCTTATCTCGGTCTGCTTGTGGAGGTCCGATGACTTTGAAGAAGTCATCTTCACTCATAAATCCAGTTGACCAAGCTCAGTAGCAGTGCCCAAATTCATTCCACTCTTCATCCCCTGTCTCTTCTTACTTACTGACCAACTTCATTCCACTCCCTTAAAATACAGATGCCGCGTCACCATTTGATCTTGGAGTATCCAACAAAAGGTACTGGCAAATGGCCATGAGTCCAATATTGACATTAATAATAGACTCCAAACATTGGACTCTTGGTCCATTGCCAAATAAATATGGCCTGTTGTATATTGTTTGAATTTTTCCATTATATTTGAGAAATGGAATAGCAGCCTTAAAATAGCACTGTTTGTCTTATAATGCCTTTGCATTGATAAAAATGTAAGCACGAGAACACATTATGTCTCCAAAATTAGTTTCTACACAGAACAATTTTCAGCCAATACTGGTGACCCTCTCAAAAAGAGAATGTGTTTCTTTTCAATGAAAACTTACAAAAGATTATATCAACGCAAAGACAATCTAAGAATATCAGCATTATTTGGAGTCTAATATTCCAATTCTCTTAAAAAAAGTCGAAAAAATTAAAAAAAAAAAAAACATTTTGATTTGCTCATCTGACAATAGTCATAACTCATATAGGATATACCGATATGAGTATTTACGCCAATTTCAGAAATATTGCACTAAAATACTCTTCATGGACAACAAAAAATGTATCAATTTGATATAGCCAAGAAAAGAATAATATTAATAGCTCGGTCAATATTTTCATCCTAATCAGCAACAAAATCTAAAATAATAAATTGCGTTAGATGTATTATCCGCCTTCCAAGATTAGAAAATTGTATTGGAGAGCCCCACATGAGACACACATGGATTTGAAGGCTCAAATTTTGACGGTGAGCTGTTAACATTATTACTGATTGGCTTACCTAAAACTTCCCGTTTCTGATACTAAAAGTATGGTTGGTCAAAAAAAAAATTGAACACACAATTTAATGTGTTTAAATTAACTGATGATGAAAATGTGGTGTACCATAAAATTGTGTTCGTTTGTTTATTTGATATCTTTATTTCTTCGAGATAATTATATAAATTTTTCAGGTGCAATGGAGGTTGGTGATGCATGAGTAGCCTTGGTACAATTGAGATTGAATATTGAGATTTCGTCGAAACCTTCAGATGTTTGAACTACATGTAATATATGCCAATGGTTTGACAGATGAAAACTTGATATGCCCTGAACATTTCAAGAGGAAGATAAATTACACACTGGTTATTGCTTAAAACTACGTCTCTTTTCGGAATAAAGAATCAAATCGATTTTACCATAAAAACAAAATGGAACAGTGTCGAGACCGATATGGCGAATTCTCTAAGGGAATGTTCAATCTATGGACGTGTGCCATGTGTTATCATTACCTCTTTCAAGACAAGATGGAGTTAAGGGTCAACTGGCCGCATGGACATACCTTAACTGCTGGAAACAGCTCCGAATCGTCCATTATCATATATCCAGATATTTACAATCACAGTGTAACAAGCCTGGTCTGTAAGACTCTTGATACTCGTGATTGTAATCGTTGGACTGAGTGCTGTAAAGCTGCTGCTAAATGTTGTGAGAAGCAGCTACACGAGCGATTACCCGCCAAAATCGGTGATGATTCTTGCCCGAGAACGTGGGATGGTTTTAGTTGTGTTGATGCTGCAAAGAAAAGAACTACTGTTTATTTGGCTTGTCCATCCTACATAGAGCAGCGGTCGGCCATGGGTAAGTTACTTGGACTTGTATCTAGATAAACTAAAATAAAAAAAATGTTCAAGGCAGAATCGTATTATAAGTATACATAATAATACTGGGGGCAGGTGAGCGTATTTTATCGCCCGATTGTGGTGATTTTTAAATTGCTCAAAAAATTCGTGTATGTGCCCGCTAATTTCGACCAAGACTTTTTAACGCTCGTACGAATCGCCGGCATAAAAAAATGTTACTTATTTTCGGCCGATTAAAACTACGGCATAAAAGGTTACATATTTTCTGCCAATTTTTTACGCTATTCAAGATTCGCTGACAATTTTCAATCAAAAGTAGTTGGTTCTTTACAATCCATTTAAATTAAGCGTTTTATGACGTCCCCGTCGCAAAGGTAAATAGTGGAATTTCAAGAACTACACACAGCCTTATGACTGAAAATAAAAATCACACAAATCGAGACTTTTAGTATCCCAGATACACAAAACCTCTTTGCAATTCCTCTAATGTATCATTACTGTAATAGGACTTTGATATGAGAGTTGTTCAACTCAAATATAACCCACGTTTCAAGTCTGCTGAGATTTGATAGATTTATTCTAAATTTATGAAGTTTGATCAATTGAATTAGTTGAGTATAAACATACGTGAATTATATTAAACCATAAGCTATCAAGTGACAGTCAGCAAGATAGGTATACAACTATACGAGGTAATTGAATCACTTCATGAATAGTTAATCAGATTTTACAAGATTTATAAACGTTTAGAGATGTTCCATGCCATCGTTTAATTAATTAATGTTGTTATGACAAAAACCCATTTAAAGTTGGGTACCTTCGAGTGTGATAAGTGAAAATGTGTTATTTCTGACTTCGCTCATATACTATCAAATGGCATGAATTTGGTTTTTTTATAGTTGACACCAACGCGTTGTTAGGGTTTGTTATATAGGCGCAAAGGGACAAGTTAGGTTTCAATTTAATGTTTTATTAACAAGTAAGGTCTCTATGTAAAAAAGTTCAGGTTCCTTTATTTGTTATGATAACAAGCTAGGTTTCTGTGTAATGTTCGATAGAAAGTTAGATATTTTATAATGTTTTGTTTTACAAGCTAGGTTTCTTTATAATGTTTAAATAAAGATCTTGGAATCTGGGGCAAAAAGACATCTTCGGTGATTCAATGGCAATCTTGCTCTTAACATGCTACGTTCCTCTCGCGTGTTAGCTTAAGGACAAGGTTCCTAATTCAGGTATTTGAAGGGCATGCTAGGCTGTTTGTGCCGTGACTGGAATAACTCCAAGTAACACATTACTTAAGCGACGGTAGCATAATTATATTGTTTATATTCTAAACGATTTATGCTACCGGTGCTTAAGGAACATGCAAGTAACAAGGACTCATTTCTAAAGATTTCTTGAGTGAATTATCCCTAGAATTGCTTCTTGTAACTCTCTTAGTTTGAAAGATAAGCTTTTTGAGTGTGTTTTCCGGTGATCTCTAAGCTCCTCGGTGTTGTTGTAGAACAACAGCCTTGTTTAATTTTTAAATCAAAAGTGACAGAAAGAAATAATCATATTTTATAAGGATACCAGTGTACCAGCATGTCTTTTGGCATTTATCTCAACCGGATACCAGTAACCATAATAAGGAAAGATATTGGGCGATCTTGTGTTCCTACACACATCCCAGCTGATCTCTCTTCATTATGACTAAAAATCTATATTGAATAGCACTCTATCAATGATGTTTTATGATTTTGAAAGAAGTCAGTCTATTCATTTTGTATACCAACCAATAACTATGTAAATCTGATGGAATAAAGAGAAACAAAATGTATATTAATTCGTTTTTTACCCTAAGATTTGAATAATTTGCAGATAATTTCAGTTTCACGAAATTAACGTGATACAAGTCTTTCAGAATTTGCGAAGTGTATCGGAGACACTTATATCAATTTTGCACAATTCCAATGTTCTGGCAATTCAAATAAAACTAAATGCTCCTTAGATATTATGAACAGCTCTTGCGATAGTGACATCATATTTGGTTGAACATTTCTATAATTGCAGGAACCACAAACATAATTCAATAAGAAGAATTAATGGACATAATAAAATATAGAGTTTATAATTATCATATTTTATAATTTTCCTCATTGCACACTGCATGTTGTGGCCCGTTTGCATTTGATCATTCAGGTGCAGAAAAGCAGAACGTAAGGCGTAATGGAAAATAAATTTTAGTTTCACATTTGAACCATTGTCATTGATCATGAATGAAGATCAATAAAACAATCTAGGTTTGGTAGACAATATCAATTTACATACCTTCATTAATATTATTATAACACCACCCCGGGGACAGCTTTACATCTTGTCGTGAAATTGTCTGAAACTTTAGATGTGTGGTCTTCACCAGGGCAATTATAAGATTATTGACAAAAGGATTTAGGACCATTTCCCATATCAAGTACTCTTAAATGGGTTGAAAAGAGGTTTTCTAAACTTTTTATGTGTATTAGAAAAACTGATAGCATCAATTTGTACTATTCCTAATTTCAGCTCGAGATTTTTTCATATCGCCAATGTCATATTTTATTCGCATATTACATCCTGTTATGATAACCAGGAAGGTTGATAACGGCATACGATAATTGTCAGAGAATTCTTTTATTCTTTTATGCTTTTATTGATAACCTTTTTGAGAGAGATTTGGTAATTTTTCATATCACCAATTTCTTTTTTCATCCGTACATTAACACTCAATTATGAACATTATTAACACTCTAATTCATACATTATTAACACTTCAAATGTTATTTTTAATGATCTGGCAAAACCAATGATAATAATATATCGATTGAATGGCACTAGTGGTTTTACAAAATCGTATGTTTAATTATTCATAAAGGAAATATACCATGAATTAATATCGGAAGTGAGAATGTATACGTGACTTTCCCGGAAACTTTTACGGGATATAAGTCTGGAACTTCGTTTCCTCATTTCCTGCTTGTATATATCATTATCTTAACCACGATTGCCCCGATCTTTCCAACCAGCCCCCATAATTATATACCCCGTGCCATGGTATCCTGTGTCTTCCCGTACCTGGAATATTTCCATTTCTTTTTCCAAATCACCAAATCTCTTTACACTCTATTTTTCTATATTTTTCAAAATTAGGAAACATAAGAAATTAGGCTATGCTTGTTCCGTGTCCAATCGTTTTGTAAAAATACTTTGTAAGGGGCAAATTGGGAAGTGACAAAGTGTGAATAAAGGGCTAAATAGAAAGGAGGCGAAATAGGAAAGTGGCAAAACAGAATCAGGGGCGAAAGGATAAAACGGGAAGGATTGGTGGCGAACTGGGAAGTCATAGAGTAATATACCTTTGAATTTTCCAACCCGATTCCCCCTTGTCAGTGATACTGTTACAGATATGCTATGTGGTATTGGTAAAAAAAGAAATGAACAGTGGAGTTCCTTTGAATCATTAGATGGGGGGATCGAGTGGAGGAAACATAATTGTCGCGGGAGGCTCACAACAGTATCAGGAGGCAGAGGCGACCAGCTTATTTTCTGCCCTCCAACCAGCCCTAAGCAGAAACGCCAGTGGAAATGAATATTATGGGTATTGTATTATACGTTTATCAAGTGTATGTTTCAGGTCGAGCTGAAAAGATCTGTGATGGAAATGGAAGTTGGTTTAGAGAACCAGAAAATGGTTTAGAATGGACTGATTACACTAAATGTGTTAATCTGGAGGTACTGTACTGCACACCATTTATATCTATTATTTTTTATTATAAAGGTTTGGAAATTTTGTTTTGGAAGCGTGACCCCATACGAAACAACACACCTGACCTAATAAGATCATGAACTTAGTTAACCGCCATATGAAAGAAGCATGAACCGAACTAGCCTACTGTTCTACACCTTAAACAAATGACTTCGTATGTAAATGCAACCAATAAAAAACCCCACACGTAATTGCCATTTCAAAGTTTAATTGAAATATGAAAAAAAAAGAAAATTGACCGACTTTGTCGGAATTAGTGTTTTCAATGTCAACCATATTAACTGTCTATATCAGAACGACAGACAGTTAGGTATGTTTGATTTTCCTCTGTGAATACCGACAACGGGGTGTGGTTGGATTTCAATTCTGTGAATGATTATGGACATTTAAAACATTGTTTTGGAGAGAGGCGGTTGATTGGTATTTTCGTTTACTGATGTCGCTACAGATGTTATTGGCAGATTTAATTATCACTGTTCTAAATTAACATGAGAATATTGATGACAATGACAGTAGAATGCCAGTCACGGAATCACTGACGTCTAGTTTTGTTTGCCAGGCTTGAGTAGGTCAATGCTCTAACAGTCCTATTCATGACTTGAAAATAGGTTAAGTGAGGATTAAGAATCTAATAGTGATGCAGGTTAGAGGGACGATTCATTATGCTACAGACTGTGCACGTTAAACATCCCTCAACAGTTAAAAACCGGCCTGTTAAATATTTTCTCATTGCACACTTTTCAGCGTTGCACATCTTTACAGGCCTGATCAGATCTAAAAAGTAGGACTTTAAACTCAATTTCACTTTATTTCTATAGAATAGGGTATATAATTTCAGGAATACAGGTAACTGTACAATGTTGTTATAATATGTAATATAGAATAGAGTATTATAATTACAGGAATACAAGTTACTGTACAATGTTGTTATAATATGTAATATAGAATAGAGTATTATAATTTCAGGGATACAAGTTACTGTACAATGTTGTTATAATATTTAATATAGAATAGAGTATTATAATTTCAGGGATACAAGTTACTGTACAAAGTTGTTATAATATGTAATATAAAATAGGGTATTATAATTTCAGGAATACAAGTTAATGTACAATGTTGTTATAATATGTAATATAGAATAGGGTATATAATTTCAGGAATACAGGTAACTGTACAATTTTGTTATAATATGTAATATAAAATAGGGTATTATAATTTCAGGGATACAAGTTACTGTACAATGTTGTTATAATATGTAATATAGAATAGAGTATTATAATTTCAGGAATACAGGTTACTGTAAAATGTTGTTATAATATGTAATATAGAATAGGGTATATAATTTCAGGAATACAGGTAACTGTACAATGTTGTTATAATATGTAATATAGAATAGAGTATTATAATTTCAGGGATACAAGTTACTGTACAATGTTGTTATAATATGTAATATAGAATAGGGTATTATAATTTCAGGGATACAAGTTACTGTACAATGTTGTTATAATATGTAATATAGAATAGAGTATTATAATTTCAGGGATACAAGTTACTGTACAATGTTGTTATAATATGTAATATAGAATAGAGTTTTATAATTTCAGGGATACAGGTTAATGTACAATGTTGTTATAATATGTAATATAGAATAGAGTATTATAATTTCAGGGATACAAGTTACTGTACAATGTTGTTATAATATGTAATATAGAATAGGGTATTATAATTTCAGGGATACAAGTTACTGTACAATGTTGTTATAATATGTAATATAAAATAGGGTATTATACTTTCAGGGATACAAGTTACTGTACAATGTTGTTATAATATGTAATATAGAATAGGGTATTATAATTTCAGGGATACAGGTTACTGTACAATGTTGTTATAATATGTAATATAGAATAGGGTATTATACTTTCAGGGATACAAGTTACTGTACAATGTTGTTATAATATGTAATGTGATCAGTTTATTATTATTATTACCTGGATGTTTAATATTTATTGGATTCAGGTGAGTTTCATAGCACATTTATTAAAAGTAATTCATTATCACTTGTTAGCGGACATAGCAAAGCATTTCTGTTCATTTCATTTACGACTTTATACGCGTGCATCACCTGTCGTAAGCTACAATCCGATTACTAATTCCATATATATTTTACACAATCTCGTCCACAGAGATGATATAGTAATGATAAGTAGCGATTAGCACCAATTATGTACATATATCATATTGATATGGTATTAAAGATACCTTGATATTATTCCTGTTTCTTTTTTAATCCGTGTCCACGTCTCTGTAGAATTACGGTTGTTATTCACATTCGTATTTCAGACATCTAAGACAACAACATCGAGTACGAATACATTTAAACCTGTTTATATCGTTTTTATTGAGAAATATAGTGTATATTTTATGGGACAACTTAGTATATAACGACCGCCTTGAAAACAGAGCAGCAGAAACCTTTATGCATCAAAATACGGTATGTATGTATGTATATTTTGAGGCTATCGACTTTTTATATAAACAAATTAGTTGTTTTATATTAAAAGATTCGCTGTAAATTTCAGTATATTTCATATTGACACATTTGTTGTTAAATTCTGTGTAACCTATATCACAGATTAGTTGTAAAATTTTGTACATTTTACATGGACAAATTGGTTGTAAAATTTTGTATATTTTATATTGACAGATTGGTTTGAAAAATTCTGTATATTTTATATTGACAAATTGGTTGTAAAATTTTGTATATTTTATATTGACAGATTGGTTGTAAAATTTTGTATATTTTATATTGACAGATTGGTTGTAAAATTCTGTATATTTTATATTGACAGATTGGTTTGAAAAATTCTGTATATTTTATATGGACAAATTGGTTGTAAAATTTTGTATATTTTATATTGACAGATTGGTTGTAAAATTTTGTATATTTTATATTGACAGATTGGTTGTAAAATTCTGTATATTTTATATTAACAGATAAGATAAGACAATTCTGTATATTTTACATTGAGATTGGTTGTAAAATTCTGTATACATGCATCTTATATTCACAGATTGGTTGTAAAATTATGTACATTTTATATTTACAGATTGGGTTTGTAATTTAGTATATTTTATTTTAACAGGTTGGTTGTTAAATTTTGTATATTTTATTTTAACAGATTAGTTGTAAAATTCTGTACATCTTAACCAGATATTCACTGGCGGTCAATTTTTGTTGGATGTTTTTAGAAGGTTTCCATCTACACCGTTTGATAGTTAGTGCGTTTAAGATTCCAAGCACCATTCAGTCTTATTACTTCTGTGGGTGGTGTAAGTATATGATTATTTTTCTATAATGAAAAGAAGATAGTTCTCAAATTTGGTAAACGTGAAATGAAACAGGATGTTACTTTCCACTTCTCTGCACCTGATTGTGCCAATGAAGACCGCACCATATATTGTGCAATGAGGAGAGTTTGTAGGGACAGCGATATTGCACTACTCCTTTCCAATTTCCAGCCATGAAGGGCTAGTAAACGAGGAATCTTTAACGCACAACACGCGAGGCCCCAGTTACTTGTACCATTTGAACGACTAATATAGGAGGAAACTAGGTTAAAAAAAAAATCCGAATTTTTTATCTCAACCTATATGTCGGAATTCAAAGCTAGATCTTCAAGCTAGCGAGCAAACTTTTAGTTAAAACCCCCAGATACATTAAGGGGCGTAGCTCCTGTTCTAGATTTTGGTCCATAGTTTACATTAATTCGAGTACCTAACTTTTCCAATTTACTAAAAACATTAGATAGAAAAACTATTTCTGTGATCCAATGACTCAACTATATTTTAAAAAAATCTGAATCGAGTAATATTGGCATCTATTATATTAGGATAAATGATTATTATTTGTAACACAATTATCCTTCGGTTTAAATGTGTTGAAAATGAAAAATCAGTATGATACTTCACACTATTGATAAATTCCTTCTTGATTAGCATGATCTAATCTTGTACAACACGCAACATAACAACTAACACGAAACACCAATTTATCTGAAATATTATTATAAGCTCTCTACAATATGAAGCGTGACATTTAATTAATATTAGTATTAGTATTAGTATTATATGCTTAAAGGGACTGTAAATAGGTTTTTTAAACCTTTTATGTCTATCGGGAACATTTATAGCTTCCATATGCATCATTAAGACGATTGAGGTTCCTGTAATTTCAGAAAAAATGAATGGTAATATGACGTCACTATCGCTACAAGAACGGGTATATAACTGACATAAACACAGAAATTTTGAAAATTATAGGTTTTTGATGGTTGTCATATTGAAATTCAGTTGGCAGCAGTTGTAGCTACTTGAAACTTGAATCATTGTTTTCCTTAACCCCCGAAATGTACAATAAGGTACTGAGGAAAGGTTCATGGTTGACATAGATTCAGAAATATCAACAATTAAAGATCTTTTATGGGCGTCTCCTGCAGATTTTATTCACGTTGCTCCATAACGTATTAACATTCAACATATTAAAGTAAAAGTATGCAAAACTTGTTGCTTGTATCACAAAATGCACAATGGATTTGATATGCCGCTTGACTTGCATCAATTCGCATCATTCAAATTTCCAGTCAGGCGTCTGTTGTTCTTGCAATTCCACTACAATTAAATGTTTTATGACGTCACAATCGCAAAATATGCTAATGATATCTTAAAACGCTCACTATTTTCTATATTACAGTAGCCCCTATGCTAGCAGTATCAGTGTACAGTACAATTAGAATTCACAGAAAAGACAAAGGGTATGTAGCAAAAACTATGTATTGATTTTTCACTTGATAAGCACTGACTTATTGACCTTTTTTCAGATAAACTTATTTACACTTAATAATATAGGTGTAGATAACTACTAGATCGTGCAGATGGACGAAATTCAACCTTCTATAACTTTTATCGTTGAAACCTCCAAGAAATTACAACACCTTTGTTACTAAACTTGAATTTAAAAAAAAATTCATAAGCAGTTCCAACAGTCTAACAAATTTGCACAGATTGCTTCCCCAGAAGGAAAACGTAATTAAACGTTACTATTTAAGTTATAAATGTTTGAGTTGAAGACTGCAAATCGATCTCGCAAAGGCGTCTGAAGTGATGTAATGATAAATAATCATAATATAAGTTGGATTCGGCAGTTTCTGGACTGAACGGTCTATAGTTGCCCAAAGGTTTACAAGGGCAGCAGAGCGTTGCATTTGGCACAATTTCGCATGAAAAATATATAATTTAATTTGAATCGCAGACCATGATGAATCTAAATGGCCATGCAATACCACTTAAATTGAACCATATATATGAATGAGACTCTGAGAAATAGACTATGTGTATCGGGGACAATGATACATTCAATTTTCTTGTGAACGCTTAAAGTATTCGTTTTAAGATGTGACTATCAGAAAAGCTCTACAATATTATTAGGAGCTTTTGCGATAGTGAAGTCAAAGCGTTTTTTTGCAAGAACCACAGACGTATGACTGGAAATAAGAATGGTGCAAATCTATGTTATCAGTGTCCCCAATACACATAAAAATCATATTAGTGTTGTACTGCCCTAGTGTATGTTAATTCCTGTTTTTTTATTAACTAGATGCTGGGTTGAAAATGCTGGAAGTTTTGAATGGGTTCTGTACACTCCCAATCTTATATGTATAATCGTAAGTTTTGGTTTTGACTAAACAGAATTTGAGTATCGATCTTCTCCACATTATCAGTACCCATTTTCAAATTGGTCTACTGGAAAAATAAAGAAAGGGTCACACCGGAGCGTCCTTACTGCCCTGCTTTGGCGAGGGAAAATAGTTTAAGAGCTAAAAGTGTGTTGGAAAGCCAATGGTGTCTGCCATTTTCGCCGAGTTGAGGTGCATGCCGACGACCTGATAGTAACTGAAATATCGCAAATTTCCGCATGCCAGAGTGACGACCCCTAGTGATGACCCCTAGTGATATTCCCTTCGAACAGCATCAATCAAGCCCTTTAAGCAAATATTCAGACAGCTATATAAGTACTGATGCAAAAGTAACTATGTAAGCAATAATTTTGTTTTTTTTTAAAGGCAAATGTGTTCTTTCTATGTGGTATATTGCGGATCCTGTTATCCCAGTTGCAATCACATCCAAATGAACCAAGCAATTTCAGGTACGTCGGCTTCAGAAATGTATTTTATCATTCCGATATCCAACTGAAGGTCCTGTAATTCAAAAAAAAAATGGACCAAATGTCACGTCACCATCGCAAAATCTCCATTAATTGGTTCAAGTTGTATTTGTGATAGTGACGTCATAACTAAGTACAGAATCTATTAATTGCCGAAAACCATATTCGGATTGGAAATCGGATTGGTACAAATTGTATTTTATTTTTGTTTTTGTTTTCAGAAGAGCTCTGAAAGCTTCGATTGTATTGGTACCATTGTTTGGTCTTCAGTTGTTCCTAGTAATATATCGTCCAGTACCGGAATCTTACTATTCTTTCTTATTTGAGATTGTGGCTGCTGTTATTACTAATTCTCAGGTAAGACTTGATGCTTTATACAGGTCTCTCTCCACTAAAACGATATGTTTCCATCTTGGTTCACGAAATTCAACCTCCAATATGTCTAAAATAAAAGGAACACGACCGACATCTGCAGAAGTAAGCGAACAATATGATTTAGTTTATAATTTTCGTTTCAGGGCGCCATTATTGCTTTATGGTTATGTTATTTCAACAAAGAGGTATGAATAAAGCCTTAACAATCCTACGTTCAGATATTTTTATCCTACTGAAATGTTAACTTTGTTAATTGATAGAAAAAGTTGTAGAATCTGAGAGCCACTACTGGCTCCTAGGAAAATCTGATCAATCTCTGACCTTAATGTGCCTTGACTAAACATTGCGGTTGTCGATAGTTATATTAGTCATGTTCCTCTTTCTATTGAATCTTGTAATGAACCCGCTTTACAGATTTTGCGACCATCTGGTTGATCGCTTATTGTCGATCAATACTCATGTCAACTATAACGAATCCAATGAGATGCTCTAAACGGATTGTAAATAAGTTTCCTAAATGATTATGACGTCACTATCGCAAAAACCACTAATAATATCTTTGGATCTGTATAATAATGACGTTATAAAACTTTTTGTTTTAGTGGAATTGCACGACCAACATACGTCTGAATGAAAATTGGAAAAGTACAAATCAATGCCATAAGTGACTTCAATACACATAGAAAGTTAAGAAAATCTCTATACAATCTCTTATCTTGAGCCGAGCACGCTTAGTAGTATAACCAGTTTCAAACATTATATATATATATTTTTTTACAGGTGCATCAAAAAGTACGAGCTCATATTCCATATTTCAAAAAGAGAAATGGGTATCGCCATGATGAAGTCAGAAGTGGCTTTAATAGAAATATCCATCCAGAAGCAGATGAAAATTGTCAAGAAACATGTGGCCTACGGACAAGTAAAATGCTTCTTCATAATAATCCGCAACCAAGTGAAATGCTTCAGTTGCAGACTTTCAAATCAGGCTATTAGAAATATCAATGGAACAATGACATCGACAGTGTTGATCTGTTCTGTTTAATGTAATGATTATTTGACTTGAGCTCATTGCATCGCTACCATACATTCCTCATCGGGTCAGCTAATGGAAATCGGGGTTCACGATATCAAGAGACGATATCAGATCTAATAAAATTGTCAATACTCTCTGTTTACTAATATCGTAATCTTTTTAAAAGCATTTCTATTTATCCGAATCTAATAATTTATGTATACCTGGTCACAATTTTTGTGGCAAATGCACCTTTATGAATACAGTCACTGCCTTAAATTCTACTTTATTACTTGAATGGTACAAGCTATAATTAAAAGGTATTGGGCCATCTAGGATACCTCAGAACACATTATCTCAACAAATACTTACACTAACCGAGATTTAAATCCACGACCACATTTTTTCGAAATGACAAAGAAAATGACATCATTCATCGCTCTGTGCGACAGCTCGTCATTGTGCAATAAACAGAAATACATACTTCATCCAAATAATCTTACTAGGGTGTCGCATTCACTGCCTCCGAGAATCGGTACAGTGTCGGCTTTCAACTCCGACAATCTCTTGCGGCGTTCATTAACGTCTTGTCATCGAAAAAAAAATCCATACATACCTAACTTTGCTAAGCTACCCGACTTAGCTCAAGTTTTGGTCTTTTCCCACCAATAAGACCCTAGAGATATGGAAAAACACTTAAAACCTAATTAGAGAAAAATGTAGTATTTTTTTAGTTACAAGGGACGACTGCACGAAATGTGCTCTTAAACAAATAAATTTTTATCTTGAAAAGTTACGAAGCTACAAAGCTGAAATTTTGCAGATATTTTAAAAAAACATAATTAAAAAATCTCCCACTGGCAAACAGCTTTGGAAATGTTTCCGATATTCGGCTCTATATCTTCAAGTTCGAATACCTAACCATGTTTTTGGACATTTCCTACGAACAAAAAATACCCCATGGATTTGGAAAAACACTTAAAACCTAATTAAGAACACTAAGAGAAAAAATAGCATTTTTATGTTACTAGGGTCGACTGCACGAAAAGTTCACAAAGGTACAAAGGTGAAATTTGGCGGGCATATTCACATGGGCTATCAAGAAAAAACAGATCTCTACTCTACTCTCAAACAATTAGAGAAAAAAAAATAGATTTTTTTAGTTACAAGGCACCACTGCACGAAATGTGCTCATACATAAATCAATGTTTATCTTGCAAATTTACAAAGCTAAAAAGCTGAAATTTTGCACACATATGCACCTGGGCCCCCTACACATTTAGAAAAATAACAGAACTGAGAAATCACCCATAGACAAAAAGTTAGCCCAGGAAAGGTTGCCGATATTCGGCCATATAGACGGAAAACGTCCAATCGGTAACTTTGCCAAATATTCTGATTTGGCCCATGTTTTGGGTTTTTCCTACTAATTAGACCCCAGGGAGTCGGAAAAACACTTAAAACCGAATTAAAAACAATTGGAGAAAAAAATAGAATTTTTTTTGTTACAAGGGACTACTGCACAAAATGTGCTTATACTCAAATAAATTTTTATTTTGAAAACTGACCAAGCTACAAAGCTGAAATTGTCACACATATGCACCTAGGCCCCCTACACATTTAAAAAAAACGGAACTGAGAAATCTCCCATAGGGAAAACGTTAGCCCAGGAAAAGTTGCCGATATTCTGCTCTTATAGGCCATATAGACGGAAAACGTGCAATAGCTAACATTGCCAAATAATCCGATTTGGCCCATGTTTTGGGTTTTTCCTACTAATTAGACCCCAGGAAGTCGAAAAAATACTTAAAACCGAATTAAAAACAATTAGAGAAAAAAATAGAATTTTTTTAGTTACAAGGGACAACTGCACGAACGTGCTTATACACAAATAAATTTTTATTTTGAAAAGTTACCAAGCTACAAAGCTGAAATTTTGCACACATATGCACCTGGGCCCCCTACACATGTGAAAAAAACAGAACAGAGAAATCTCCCATAGGGAAAAAGTTAGCACCGGAAAAGTTGTCAATATTCGGCTCTTATAGGCCATACGGACTGAAAACGTGCAATAGCTAACTTTGCCAAATAATCCGATTTGGCCAATGTATTGGGTTTTCCCTACTAATTAGACCCCAGGGAGTCGAAAAAAAAACACTTAAAACCGAATTAAAAACAATTAGAGAAAAAAATAGAATTTTTTAAGTTACAAGGGACTACTGCACGAAATGTGCTTATACACAAATAAATTTTTATTTTGAAAACTTACCAAGCTACAAAGCTGAAATTTTGCACACATATGCATCTGGGCCCCCTACACATGTGGAAAAAAACAGAACAGAGAAATATCCCATAGGGAAAAAGTTAGCCCCGGAAAAGTTGCCGATATTCGGCTCTTATAGGCCATATAGACGTAAAACGTGCAATAGCTAACTTTGTCAAATAATCCGATTTGGCCCATGTTTTGGGTTTTTCCTACTAATTAGACCCCAGGGAGTCGGAAAAACACTTAAAATCGAATTAAAAACAATTAGAGAAAAAATTGATTTTTTTTTAGTTACAAGGGACTACTGCACGAAATGTGCTTATACACAAATAAATTTTTATTTTGAAAACTTACCAAGCTACAAAGCTGAAATTTTGCACACATATGCATCTGGGCCCCCTACACATGTGGAAAAAAAACAGAACTGAGAAATCTCCCATAGGGAAAAAGTTAGCCCCGGAAAAGTTGCCGATATTCGGCTTTTATAGGCTTTTATAGACGGAAAACGTGCAATAGCTAACTTTGCCAAATAATGCGATTTGGCCCATGTTTTGGGTTTTTCCTACTAATTAGACCCCAGGGAGTCTGAAAAATATTTAAAACCGAATTAAAAACAATTAGAGAATAAAATAGAATTTTTTTTAGTAACAAGGCACTACTGCACGAATGTGCTTATACACAAATAAATTTTTATTTTGAAAAGTTACCAAGCTACAAAGCTGAAATTTTGCATACATATGCACCTGGGCCCCCTACACATGTGAAAAAAACAGAACAGAGAAATCTCCCATAGGGAAAAAGTTAGCACCGGAAAAGTTGCCGATATTCGGCTCTTATAGGCCATACGGACTGAAAACATGCAATAGCTAACTTTGCCAAAAAAAACCACTTAAAACCGAATTAAAAACAATTAGAGAAAAAAATAGAATTTTTTAAGTTACAAGGGACTACTGCACGAAATGTGCTTATACACAAATAAATTTTTATTTTGAAAACTTACCAAGATACAAAGCTGAAATTTTGCACACATATGCATCTGGGCCCCCTACACATGTGGAAAAAAAACAGAACAGAGAAATATCCCATAGGGAAAAAGTTAGCCCCGGAAAAGTTGCCGATATTCGGCTTTTATAGGCCATATAGACGGAAAACGTGCAATAGCTAACTTTGCCAAATAATGCGATTTGCCCCATGTTTGGGGTTTTTCCTACTAATTAGACCCCGGGG